GTTTACATGTATTGGCAGATGTATGTACCGTGATTTTGGAATAAATGCCTTGTATCCGGTTGTCTCGATGTTATCTCGATGTTTTCGTGACCCCGATCAAAAACTACCTACCTACCATACCTCCCAAATCCCTTCAAAAACCGCCACTGGACCTCATGCATGCACACCGCATCGGGAAGCACAAACTGCATCTACACCTACCGCGACATCCCGACTGCTACTGCATGCCCATTCATGGACAGTCTAATCCCTGACTTTTTCCAATAACCATATGACCACAGAAAGTAACATGTCATCAGAAACCCAAGTGAAAACAGACCCGAAATGTCACACCGAACACAATCGGCAAAAAGATGAGATTTGCTACATGAAGATACACATACAATTTAAGCCGTTGATTTTATTTGTCAATCGACAGAAACCTTTCAGTAACAAAATACTACATGTAGTATTTCATTGTTGATTTTTTGTGTGCCAAACTAAACCACGAGAATAAATAAAAAGAGGGCAAATAAACCATGTCGCCACAGCAGAGCAAGTTAAGTTTGTTGCAATACACGCGTTCCATGTGCTTCAAGACTTCATGACTTGGGGACTCCCGTTTAATCACTCAACATCCAGAAAACTTTTTACACATTTATTCTCCGACATTGACCAGTGTTTATTTATGGTAATCTAAGAAAACAACTGTGCCATGTGGGCGCGGCTCGCCGTGGTGAGCACATGCTCGTGATCGCCCTGCATGGACCGGATAGCTAGGCCAAGGAAATCGCTACCAGACTACAACAGCCCACTCCATGTGGTGAGTTGGCCCGACCGGCCGGCCCCAAGCACAGCGCAGCCTGCGTAATGGACTCTTCACTGTATAATAGTCGTGCGCGTGTGGCAAGAGTTAAGCATTTTCGCTGCACAATGCTTCTCGTTTTCGCAAGTTTCGGCATGATTTTCTGAACCTTTCGCAAAATTTTCACTCTGTTTTCCCACACTGTTTTTTCCTCAATGTTTTTGCAAATGTTTCACGCCGTGTTCGCAAAAGATTTGCACGGTTTTCACACGTCGTTCACCCCTTTCGCATCCGATTCGCTGCGAATTCACAGGGGGGAAAAGTTGTGGTCAAAATGCGAAAGCGAAGGCAAATTCCTTTTGCTTTTTTTCCCATTCCTTTTCGCAGCGTTAACTTTCAAATGCAACGTACTGTAGCATGTTACAACTAGAAGGTAAATAACAGTACTGGGTAATAACACTACGTGTAGCTGTACCTGGATTAGGGTCTATTGTAGCTAACTGATCTAGATAGGTAGTCAGCTTGCTCAAACGGCCTGGATCTCCTGAACGCTGTAACGCAATGGTAAGCTCTTGTATACTTGCAGTAAATGATGCCGGTGTCTGAAGCTAAAACAGATACAAAAAACATAAAGAAAGTTGAACTTAAGTCTTCTATTTATTAATTACATGGAGTTCCCTCAACCTTTTCTCAGAAACTAGTTTTCTAATATGTAATATCAAGGATCTTGGCTACCATCAACTATGTGCACTCATAGCACATTCTTTTTATACATGTATGTCTCAACTTTGTGTGGAAATAAACAAATGAATATGAACCTCAAACACTGGGACTTCAACTCTGATGCAGTCAACAAGGCTGACTAAATCTTAATAAAACTGACGCTGACATACCCTGTTTGTGAAATTCTACGGTAACAAAATCGACAGGCAGTGTACATGCGCCTATGTTTTGAAGGGTTGTTGCCAACACATTTGGGTGTACTGGGCTGTTATCCAAATTCTAAACTGTGAAACCAGGATGCCGGTATCCGCCATTGAACTCAAATGTTGGTATTTTATGCTTAATTTTAGCCGAGATATTAAAGTTTGTGCTTGTGATAATGCAAAATAAATGTTCTGTTTGCATCCTCAGCTGTTCTAAAAAGAACTCAGAATGGACAGCAACGTTTGTTCTTGTTTTAGTGAGTTTCAAAAAAGAGGGAGAAACAAAACATCATCTAACCTTGTCAATGATGGATTGCATGTGTGACTTGTGATTCAGATCTCCATAAAGCAGTGAAGACCACTGTTCTGGGGAAATTCGCAGACCTGCTTCCATTGCTATGTGCACAATCTGAGCATCATGTTCTCTACGTAGAGCATCATAGTTGCGAAACTATAAAGGCATAAAAAATGGAAGTCAAAACGGCAACTGCAAAAATTCCATTTGAGTACAAACTAAGGGTAATGGACGTAGATATACATGTAGGTACATACACATACATACATTACATAAAAGACTAACATTTGACAAAAACTCCTGTGTGTAAAGATGACACAAGTACATGTCTATATGTACATGCATAGGTTTGGGATTTTTGCAGCACATGCTTGCTGGCCATCAGAAATACAAATCTAGTTACATTTGTGAGATGTTCCTGTCTACTTGGGCCTAACTTGTGCTCAAAGTTTGGAAGATGATGAGATGAATTATTTTCAAAGTGACAATAGTTCACGAATAATGCGGGAAAAAAGATTTGTATGTTCAACTGGAAGCAATATGAATTTCTTTGGAAGAGTAGATCAGATTTTTTTCCAATATTTGTGAGCATATGGTGTCTTGGTGCACGTCCAGTTCACAATGACTCCGATTTCTTGCATGAGCCAACATGTACATGTATATGTATACTACTGAACCCTGAGTGGCTGTGTTTCAGCCACCTGGGATAAAGAACCAGCAAGAGGTGGATGCTACTAAAATTTACAATTTATAACTTCAAATACAAAATATATGTACCATCAATATTTCCTGGTTGTTGTAGAATACATGTACATCTGCAACAACAAATAAATGTATTTGTACAATGCTGGATTTCATCCAGTCAAATAACGTCAACAAGCTTGGCAGCTGAATAGTCACAAAGTCTGGACTTTGACAAACTTGGCTTGCACTAGCAGGTTTCAAGGTTTCTGTCACCATACCATGTAAAGTCAAACCTGAATTACCTCATCTTTGAGTTGCATGAGGGATGATTCCTCATCTCGTTTTGTGACAATGAAGCAAGAGGCTCGATACAGCAACTGAACAACATGGCCTACGCTGGTCTTCGAAGCTTGGGGAAACTGCTGCTCCAGTTTCTGAACAACAAACATGACAAGCACCTTGCGAGACAGAGCAGCTCCATCCTCCAAAGCCAACAGCACCAGCTTTAAGGTCTCTTCTTGCATTGCTACAAAATTAAAAGTGTACACAGCAATGATTTGAGTACTGTAAAAGGCTGGTTGAAAGGCGTTTCTAAATTATATGCCTGAACAATCGGTATACATGTAATATAACATGAAACACAAACAAAGCAGATAATTCAGCAATTACTGCATTTTTTTGTGGTGTTCATCCAAAATTCTTATTGTTTTTGATAAAGTTTCAGAAGGCAAACAAGGAAAAGTGAATGCTAATTCACCCTTGAGATACACGTAACATAGATTTACGTGGTCAGTGAAGTTGGTTTCACCTCACAAAATAGCAAACTTGTGAAGTTTGACAAAATACTGGACACGTTAAAATGTATGTACATATAAGCCAAATTGCCCACACTGGTTATGTGTTAAGGGTTAATTTCACCAGCTTGTTTTATAAGCTTTGAACATTCATTGTACTTGTACATGTACATGTTGTAGACTTCACAATTATTCATAAGCTTAAGATGAAAAGTCATGAAAGTAGTACACATCTTTAAATACACTGTACTGTCTGACAGTCAATCCTAAAATTCCATTGTTAAACATATTTAAAGTATTGTCACATAGTCACAGATAATTTATGTCATTACCTGGCCCAAGAAACTGACATCCTCTGGAACGGACTGCAGCCCAGAGATTGGCAGACAGCTGTTGCTGGTTCTGATGTTGTAAAATAAGCTCAGTTACTGCACGCTCACCTAATGACCTTGCAGCACGCATAGCTCGTGATCGACCCTCGTCCTCCACTAACTGACAATTTACCAGTGCAACCAACTTGCGCTGCATCGGTTTACTTAAGATGCAGCCACCAGAACCACTGGCACTGCTGGCACTGGCAGCTGTAAAGAGAGAAAAGATATCAATATACATGTAGTTATGAGGATTCTTTTAATGTGAAGAAGCAGACTCTTTTATCATAAAACAAAGCTGCACAGCATTTCTATTCTGCCTGCCTCCTGTAATGCAAAGACTAACTGCACATTTAGGACTTTCATTGACTTTCTGCAGAATGCATGACAAGTGCATGTAATGTATACCGCACATGTACATGTACACATATTATACACAAGCACAAATCTAGACATAAAATTTCACCTTAAAAATCAAACCAAAACACTCAAAAATCTACCCATAAATATGGATGATTCTGCATGATGGAAGATGGTACATCTTGGCCAATACATCAAATGAGGCTTGATGCCCCTTGAAAGTCTGCATGTAAGTTTTTCTTTTAATACATGCATATTCCAGCATAAAGTGTACATGAATTTATACATTTTGACGTTAAAACAGCACTAAAATGTCACAGCCAAACTTCCAGACAAGAGCACAAATGAGGTCACCAAACACTCCCAGTACTCCACAGGACTGCAAACAATCACAAAGTACTAACAAAGGAGGGTTACAATTGTACATGTACAAATAAAAACAAAACAAAAAGAATTCAGAAATTTGGGAATAGATACATGTACAAAAACCTGTCTTATATGTAAGCTAACTGGCTGATGAGATAACAAAACCACAGAAAGGCAGAGAAAGATATAAATAAGAGCAATATTTTTGTTTTCCAGGGGGTGAAGAGATTTTGGAGATTTTTAGAAAATTCCCCTTTGTAATTGAAATCTCCACCTGCCAATATCTACACATACTAATTGAGCACTAAAACCTGCATATTTTATATCATAAACAAGACTGGGATATTTATTAATTTTTCGTGTGAGAGCTTTGGCAAAGTATCTTTTAAAAGGATACTGTTTAAGTTCTATGATAGTAAAAGTTTCATGAGCAAATCAACCACCAAAAATTATGGCATCAGTAGGTCCATTCTTTGCTATGTGGTAACAATAGTAGGTGGGTTATTACAGAAATTAGGGGTCTATTTTTTTTCTCTTTTTTGTGTGTGTCCCTGCCACATCTGACATATGATTTTGTTAGTTTAAAAAACATTTTCTAATTTCCAAGAGTGATAAATTAAATCAAAGTACCTGCCAAACAAACAGAAATACTTTGAGATCAATTCTGGTGATATTTCCATGTCAAAGGTCAGCTGTAACAGGGACACAAAAATGTCACACATTTGGACCCCTAATTTCTGGAATTACCAAAGTTCTAGTACCTGTACTGCTACATAAATGTACATGTATGGTAGGTGGGATAGTGATCCCACCAGTCTTGTGATCCCTGCAAAATAACAGTACATTTTCCATCCAACTCCAGTAACAATTCATCAAAGGTGATATGAAGTACATGTACACATTCAAATGTACAAGCAGGTCACCAAGCGTAATGACCTTGGACAAGTACGTGTTTACAGTCATTTAATACACGTATCATGCAGCTGTGTAGAATGATTTCCTCTCAAAGACTACACCTGGCATTGACAACATATCCCCAACAAATGAGGTTAGTCTTTATTGGATAAGTGCCAAGAGAGGCATTGAACATACATGTAACTTTCCTGACACCTTTGATAACTAAAGATGAAAAAATACATGTTATTTGTGTCTGTTGTATGGGCACTTTGCAAGTAGAATACATGTAGGCTACATGTTTTTAATCATTGGTGGAAGCAAACCTGGAGGGTAAGTGGCTTACATGTTTGTGGTGAACCAATCCCTAGGCCCTTTGAAACCATTCACATGTTACAGGAATCTTTGGTGTAGGCTTTGCAGTATGAAAGGATGCATATGGTACATGTACATGTACTTGTTCACATGTATGTTTAAAAACCACTGCAGTCCAGGGACCTTGAACCTCTTACATGACTTCTGCAATGTGAATACACATGGTGTAACCGGTAGTCACAAGCAGAGGAAAGGAACTTATGACAATTTGTAGTCAACCGTATCAGGGAAGAGTTCATTCAGTGTAATGGATACATGTATATCCGTCAGAACATTCCATACAAAACATCTTGCTCTCATTCCTTAAGAAAGCATTCCCACTGGAACGCTGCTTCGGAACAGTCAATGCACAAAGTTCCTGCAAAATGTTCCGATGGAATGTTAGTTGTACATGTACATGTAACTGCCAGTATGCCAGGATAGACATTGGCCTTTGTTAACGGCACTGTTTATTTCTACCGACAATTTTTGCCAACATGTATGATATTCATAAACTCCTCATTTTCATGCAGCATTTCAAGCATTTTGGCAAGTAACTCCCAAGACCTTGGACTGAGATACATGTAAATTGATAATTTGATTATTATAGAAACCTTTTTGGATGAACACTTCAACATACATGTAAATGTGAATTTCAGTGATAGTAGATTTTATAATGATAAGTTTCATTTTGGATTGTGCTACACACAAATATTTGGAGTGAATTCAACTGAGAACACTGACTGAACAGAATGAGATACAAACGCACAGAATCGCACATCTGAAGATAATACAGAAACCTTGAGCAATTTTTGTTTAAACACGACACAAAAGTGACTGATTGCAGACTCTAAGTGTTATATCTTTTTTAAAACTCCATGTTGCATCTGACTGGAATCAAATGTTGAAGGATAACAAATGAACGTGGCAAAAGTGTCTCTTCAATGCCCTTATGAATTGCCTCTCTAAATTCCTTATTTTGGCATGTCCATTTCGAGACAGAAGTAATACTACACATCTCCTAAGTATGGTACCCAACTCATGTCCATGTGCAGCTCTCACATAAATTTCTGGTATTATGTACCATACCAGTATGTCAATTATGTCCATTCTTCAGTTGCAAGAATACTAAATGTAGGCTGTGTCTGAATCATTAGGCTGCGGCTTGAAATTACACAAGTCTACGGCGATGGCTAAAGCCGCTTTCTATAGAGTACTGAAGGGACATCATTTGAACCAGGAAATGCAGTGCAAATGAATGGAGAATGTGCGCATGTTGCTTCATGCGCTGGTTCTCTTGTTTATGCCTTTTACAATGCACATAATTGGGTGTGTGACACTCTCCTATAGGTACCCTACAGAGTCATCACAACCACATAGGACACAGCTATATCTCTGCTGTACTGTCTATTCTCAAACACATTGCATTATTCATATTCCGGTGATGCCATATGACCTGCTGGTAACCAACTGACACTGGCATCAATTATCAAGTGCTCCTTCCTCAAGTTGTGATATTGCTGCTATACAAAAGGTACATACCTTTTCCTAAGGGTTTGAGATACCATGCCAAATCTTCTACACAGCTCTTAGCAGCAGCATAATGTCTCAAGTATCCATTCACAATGGACCGAGGCAACCTTTCTTCATGCTCTCCACCAAGCTCAGCACCAACTAGTTGCAGCAAGGCATAGTTAGCTGGTAACTCATCAATATCACGTGTGATTTCTGTCTGGTCAAATGGACATTGCTTACGGTGAAATTTCCCAAGGCACATCTTGCAAACTGTATGCCCACATCCAAGACTAATGGGCCGGCGTACATTCTCATCAAACTCATTGTAGCAAACAGGACATGAAAGAAACTCTGTCCACTGTGGAGCTTGAATTGGCATCCTGTCTTATTGCATCTGAATCCCTGTAAATGAACAGGTGAAAACATTTACAAGAAATTATACATGTGGTTGCATGATAAATGGCAAAAACACTGTTAACCACAATAAAACAATAACAATACATGTACAAGGGAATAAATATGTGCTTGGTTACTCTCAAAACAAACCTGAGCCAGTATTAAATTAATGTTTAAGACTGGCCAAACATTTAAATTACCAGTCATAAATACCATTTGAGTCAGAAAGTCAAAGCTGATAGGAGACTGCCGCACACATAGCATTTACTGCGTGAGGTACATGTACACACTACCAGCCAGTGCATTATCATTCGTTTAAGACAGGCCAAGTGATGGTCTCTTAACCAATGGAAATTGCTAAACTGACTTATGTACATGTAAGCATGGTATATACATGTACTAGACTTGAATCAAGTCGGCAATTGGCTACGTGTAGCCCACCTTCCTTGTGATGCGTATGCAGTGTGCAGTTTAATAACACGTTGGAACAGTCCATGCAACCTTGCAAGTTAGTGCAAGTTAGAATTTGTTTTTCTATCCTAAGGTCATCCTTGCGATGTTAAAAAAGAGCAAGTCTGGTCCAAGCCAATTTGGCTCATCAGGCCAGTGCTTATCTCCAGTTTCCATGGCATAAAACGACCGAGTATATTTTTGTTCCCCCTTGGATAGGATGCCAGTCCATTGCAAGTTGCTTCCCACCTAATGCTGGTACCCATTTAAACTCCTGGGTGGAGAGAGGCAAGCAGGGGTGAAGTGGCTTGCCAAGGGCCACAACATACTGCCAGCAGCTGAATTCGAGCCTCCAATGCTATGATTAGAAGCCATAGAGCGTAACCACTTGGCCACATGTCCCCTTCTTTCAGTGTTAAGTTCAGCTAATTTATAAAGTCGTTCCCTTAATTCAGTCACTGTTAAGTGAGTTGAAGTCTCTGAAGCAGCAGCTGTCGTGCGCTTCAGGTACCAGTGAAATCTGACCAAATAAAACATCGAGGCAAAATTCATGTGCAGCACATATGTGCACATGATTGCACGGGGCTTTTGGGCACAGAGTAAAATGAAACGCTCATTTACTGAATGTGCAGTCAGGTTGTTTGAGTTCTGGCTTAGTTGACGTATCCTATAGAATACGGACGCAGATATGCAAATAGCTGTACAAAAGCCATACAAAATTTTTAATTTTCCATAGGTTCGTGCACAAACATGGATGTGCCCAGCAGGTATCACTCTGTACATGAGTTAGTGCTCCATATAGCTCTGTGGTCACCATACAGTGCCAAGAACATCTAACACGGAAAACCGAAACTTCTTCCCCTGTATTGCATAAAGATTTCCTGATGACAATCTTCAAATTGAAGGTTGTGCCAAACATTTCTATAGATCTAAATGCAACTGGGCTGTTCTTTTTAAAGATTTTGCTGAAAAGAGTTCCATATACGGACGCCACTAGACACCCTGTGCACAAACCCTACGGTCTGAAAAATGTGTTTTCTACGTAAGTCTAAACGACTCAGTATTTTCCCTCCTAAATTGAACTTTTCTGGACAGGTTTTTGCTTTCCGACTGCTACATGTAATATTCAAAATGTCACCATGGTCACTGTAGACTTATCATGCCTACTGAATAATTACTCCTCAAGCTGCCAAGCCTTTTTATTTGAAGGCTTACGCTAAAACAGTAACACAATTTCACAAATTCCGGCGCCTTAAGTTACATTAGACAGTTAGCCTAAGCCTACAGTAACGTTGGGCCTGACGTTATTCTTTTCAACTTCTTTCTCACACATGCTTGACTATAGGCCTAGGGCCTAAATATGGCCAGGAACCCTGAGGATCGATAAGAATTCCCCGAAAATTCGGCAAAATGGTGAAATTTCATGAAATTTTTCTAGGCCCTAACCGGACTCCTGCCAAGCTTCAATCTTACCGACAGCGCCATGGAATGAAATGAACGTCACAGGTTAGGTTGCTCGAGTTGTGGTTGTAGTGCTAGTAAATAACCTGTATTACGCCCAATTATCGCATCTATCCCAACTACGGTACAGCAGTTGGGCCGGTGTATCTGCCCCCCAATGAGGCCTGAGGTTGCACAACACCAAATACGCGCCCATAGAAAACAGTGCAAAATCGGACCGAAATAGCGCCGCCTGTTGATTCTCGTGAAGAGGTTTGCCTCGTTTTTTTTTAATGGAAATTCAAGATTATGGCCAGAAGATCACTTTTCGTTTCATTTCACGGGGGTGTTAGCCACGAAATTCTTTTTTTAATTTGCCTTTCAAGGAAGATACCCCCAAAACAGCAGTAAAACTAATAAGTGCTCATTTCTGAGTGTAGCCGCCCGCCCCTATCAAAAATAGGCCCGCAATTTGGGGCTTTTTGTGAAAGAAATACCCCGAACTGGAAACTATCGGCAGTCCCAAATTCGGGATTTATAGAAGTATTCATATGATGCCTCCTAATCATGGCATGTCTTATTGTAAAAACCCCGTGGAATTACAAAATATTAATGAGCTGGCGCGCAGAAATACAACCATTTGGTGGAATGCACCCGTAGAGGTGTCCGAGTGGGCAGAATTAGCACCACGCGATGTCTCCAGGTTATTCTGTCAACTCTAGATAATTTTGTCCTCCCTCCCCGTGGGTATATAGAGTTAATTTCTTTTGCCCATGATCAAAATGGAAGGTATCCAGTTCAAAAGTGACCACGTCGAGTCACACATGCAAGCGCCACTGATTGCAAGCTTCCATTGGATGAGTTGCACGTTGACACTTACGAACTGGATTGAACTTTGTTTTTGAAAACTCCGAAGACCCCTAACAAGCATAGCCTTCTTCTGTAACCACCTGTCAGCATTTTGCACACATGTGATAGCACATGTGCTAGTTGCGGTTCGTATGGTGTGTAAATTTGACCTTTAATCACACATATTATGTGCAAAATTAACATTTAATTGTAAAATATCGATATTTCTATTAATAGAGATATCCACGTCACCATAATTCACGCATTTAGCACTTTGACTAAAATTTGTTCTGAATATAAACTAAATTTTTAATGGTTTCATTCTTAGAAGTGGAAAGTTTGACTAAAATCCTTTGTGGATTAATATTATGAAGAACATCGGATGTCACCGAAGCAGCAGAAACAACGTCGCCTGCAAACGAGTAGGAAGAGCAAACTTACGTGACCAAAATTCACGCACGTGCGTTACAAATATCATTTTACGGGGTATCGGTAATGCCCTTCTTCTGAAAAATCTGCCAGTTGATGTCTCTTGAATGAGGAATTATTTTTTTATTTTATTCGCCACAGCTTGATTTTCCATCACTGTCTGATTTTTGTTCACCTATTCAATTCTTGTCAATTTCATTTCAAGTTACAGTGAGGCATGAAATTTTATTTCTTTAAATAAGTCATATTAGCATAAATGTGAGTAGTTGATCTGGGTATTATGACAAACTTCTCTTTCTAGTGTATTTCTGAAAAAAAACCCGCAAAATACGTGCAAAAACCACGCCCGTCGTCGCCAACGGCAATCTCATAATGGGGTACGCAGTGCAGTTTTGATAACGCCCTCAGTAGTTGGCGAAAGTTGACTGAAGTCGTCATCAGCGCGTGTGTCGGACATCCATCCTACGCCGATCATGAGCGAACAGCGATCATTTATCCATTTTCTACACAATTTCAACCAGCTAATTTTTAAGCCCACGGGAACGGGAGGTGCTGTGGGTGCTGAAGCTCCCCTAATTTTTTTGGGACCGGGGCCGGGTGCTGGTGTACAAAATAGCACCCCCAACTTTGACCACGTTAATTAAGCCACAGGCATTATCAAACTCACCAATGCGCAGCATTCCATTACGTGATTCAATAGCATAAACACAAAAACGTTTATATCAACTGTCTTTGGTAACTTTTGAGAAAGGAAATGCTGTTAATCAATGCATTATTCGTATAATTTTTAATAACAGACTGGACACAATCAACAATAAAAGGTTAATGTCTTTTTTTTCTTCACAAAGATATTTCAACGGTATACGATATAATATTTATATTTCCCTTTGCTTCAGAAAGACCCCAGAATGGTACTCGATTAAGGGTTTGGTTTCGTTTGCAAGATTCCACAACGGTATAGATTGAAGAGCTCATTCGATTCTTGTTACTTAAGACACAGTTTCAATTGGTAAGAAGGTAATGGGTTCCTTTTCTCATTTCTACTTCTTTAATCTTAAAAATGGTCTTTGGTAAAGGTTTGGCTTTCGGTTGTTTTTTCTAACATTACAAAAGCGATCATTGGTAAAGGGTTTCTTTTTTCCTGCCTTTATTTTGCAGACATAAAGCGGTATTTAGCAAAAGTTTTGTTGTTTTTCTCTGTCTTTACAAATGTTAAAAGAGTAATTGGTAAATAAATTTTAATTTTTGGCTTCTTTTTGAATCTTCAAAAACGGTATCAAAAACTGCCAATGGTAAATAGGTTGAGATTCCTATTTTTGTTTGTGAAAAATCAAAACAATAAATAGGAAAGGTTTTATTTTTCGTTTTTTGTAACACTTGTTTGAATTGGAAAACGACTGGACGGTATGTACACGGACCCAGCCCCCCTAAGAAACATGTGTCCCCGCACGCATGGTTAATTTTTGCATTTAGTCTGTAAAGTAAACACTATGCTCTGCAAACATGTTTCCCGATGGAAAAGCTTTTAATTAGCACATAACTGCCTAAAGAAAAACGGCGAAGTGACGATCGATCATTGACAGTAAATTAACGTCGGTGCATAATTGCATTCAAGAGTTTCACGAGGAGAAAGTTGGAAGTGAGAATATTATATTTAATGAACCACCCCGCTTCCGCCGCCAAAGCGGTTAATAGTTTCCACTTACTACAGCCATAGACATAGGCCTATAGGCCCTATCCAGAAAGAAATGAGACCGAGGGGTACCCCCCAACATGTCCAATCGCTCTACACACTCTAGACTATTGTATGGTGTACTATTTACGACAAACATTTCTCTCTCTTTAGCCTCCCTCCAGGCGACGCGACCAGACGACGCGACGGCACGACGGCTCCCTTGCGTCATGCCCTCTGGTCGAACCGTCGCCTTCTTGTCATTTCGTTTGTACACACACGACGCATCGTGTCGTGCCGTCACCCGTCGCGTCTTGCTGTCTTAGGTCCTTTCCTTGTTGCATTTTTTTCTGCCTAAACGTCGCCCCTTCCGTCGCCCGTCCCGTCGTGCTGTCGTGCGTTGCGTCGTACGTCGTGTCGTGCATCGCGTCGCCTGAAGCACGACGCGACGCACGACACGACGCAGTGCTGTCGCCCTTTACTTTATGCTATTTATAGAGGGCGCCTTTACTGTTTTCTTTCATTTCTGTCCACCTTTCTTGCAAAGTATATGCTATTCGCTCTTTGGTGCTGATTTTTCATTATTTTTATTTCATCGATTCATTAATCGGGATTCATTTATGTCATATTTTATTGAAAAAATGATAAAAGAGCAAAAGAAAATCCGAATATGTAGCAACTGCTCTCTCAAAATAAGTTGAAACCGCAAGCTCAGAATTCGTCACTCCTAAATTTCCCAGCCAACGATTTCTTTTGCTTTCTCTCATTTCCGTCCATCGCGCTTGCAAAACACATGCCACGAGCCACAGGCGTTGATTTTTTTTTGAGGGGGGATTGTTTCATCCATTCATCAAATGAATTAGTTTGGTCATATTTTATCGAAAGAAAATTAATGAAAACGAGCAAAAAAGAAAATCTGCGTATGTAGGTGTTCTCACATAAAGTGTAAGCCCATAATTCGTCACTTTTTAATTAACCCGGCTGATCCTTGTTCGAATGTCCGTCCAATTTCTTTTTAAGACCGTTGATAAAGTTCCCATTTGCGGTAGATTTATAACCTTATAAATATTTCTCTGTGGTCCATGCCAGCAGTTTCCAAGTAGTTCTCTCACTCTTCCAGACAATTTGTCTACAGTTGTACCACCGCAAGGTTGACCACGGGTTTAGGTTGTTACCGTCCAGCCTGCTCTATATTATCAGCCTTAGAATATTCAGTCTTCCTTCAGTTTAGTCTTCCTCGTTAACTTCATCATCACCACACTTTCAAGGATATTAGTCCTTGTTTCTTAATTAAACACTGTAGAAAGTCCTACTACCATTGTGACGGTGTCTTTTCTTCCTCTCTGTTTGGCCTTGCGCTTAATTTCTCATCAGATGTGCATGTTACATTTCTGCATGCACGTAATAATGATTGATGTATTGTATCTTAGAATGGATTTACAATAATTATTAGAAAAATCAGAATTAGATAAGGAAAAGCTAAAACATTGTGGCTGACATTAATGTTATATATTTCCTGAAGAAAATGCTATTTATTCGCGAAGCTCTTTCTGATTACATTTGATTTTAAAAAAGGGAATAAAGTTTTCTTCAACAACTCACTCTTAATGAAAACACAAAGTTAGAAAGAATCCACGAAAAAGAACAACAGAATCGTGGCCTGGTACCTATGGCATTGTGCAAGCACGGGCCGGGGGAAGGAAATGAAAGAAGACAATGAAGGAGCCCTCTATAAACACCATGAAGTAAAGGGCGACAGCACGTGTCGTGTGTGTACAAACGTGGCAAGGAGGCGACGGCACGACCCGCACTTTATTGCACGGAAATCCACACAAACGCGCCGGCAGGGAGTGTCGGCACGATGCAAGGGAGCCGTCATGCCGTCGCGTCGTGTAGTTGCGTCTCCTGGATGGAGGCTAAAGAGGGAAAGAAATGTTCGTCGTAAATAGTACACCATACTTTTGTTACCTAACCCCCCCGTGTCTGAAAAGAATTCCTCAGATTCCAGTGAGACAATGACCAACACAAAGCAGGGGGGGGGGGTTCCTCTCCATCTCATACCTAGCTTCATATGTATAGGCAAGCGAGCTCGGCCTGGTCCCCATGGACACTGTCCAGAGAGCACTGCTTCTGTCTTAAACTAAAGATTGCAGGCCAGTAGATAAGGCCCAAATTGCCTGCGACGACCGAATCACGATTTTTTGTAGTGTAGGCTGTCAAATTTTCTGCCGTGGCACGTGGACTGGGTGGTCTGTTAAAAAGGTGGATGAAATCCAAGGACAGAACTGCCAACTTGTAATTTCTGAAAGTATCGGACCAAACGGAGCCCTCAAAATTGCTCTATTTTGCACTGGGGCGCGCTTAAGCATCAATTTTCAAAATGTCGACTGGCCTCATGCATGACTGTCTAAAGGGGTGATTTTCTCTGGAGAGAAATATCTTCAAAAGTCAGCGGTTAAGCCACTGAAAATTGAAAGGAAAATGAAAGATGAGAAAGTGAGCTTTTTTATATGTGTCTTGAACACATGTGAAACTTGTTAGTATGTTTCCTGATTTTTGAAGTGGCGATGTTGATCACTGTTGTCTATGGCAGCTTGTTTACTGGCCTGTACCCATAACAAAGGCTGCGCGAAAACACTGGAAATAAAAATATACGCCGTCTGGGTGCTAGATTTGTAGGACACATTTACCAGGGGGCACATTTAATGTTGGGCAGGGGATCCCCCTCGAAGTACATTGTCCTCAAGTAAATTTGTGTCTCAGGGAACAAGTTTACCTGGAAAGGGACAGATTTACCTTGGACTTCGGATTTACCTTTCACATCGCGCCGGCGCAACTATATTGCATTATAGGGTCGTCGTGAGACTATTGATTCAGTGTTGTTACCAACTTTACTCAAAATAACGACCGAGAAGGTTGCGATAGAATTGTGAGCTAACTCTTGTCTGAATTGGAGAATTGAAAAGCAGACTATTATACTAATATCATGGAGGAAGGTGTGTTCCTTCCTCCATGCTAATACTGAATACCGACGATCTGTACAATGATGCAGGACTTATATACAGTTAGAAACAGGATGTAGTTAAAGTCACAAAACTTAAGAAAGGAAAGTCTTAGTCGCATGTCTTAGCTGGATTCTTAGAACAATGACTGTGAATGAATAATTTCATCTTAAAACGAAGTCCTTGATGGACCTTAACGATGGCTTAAATGAAGCATGCTGAAGTTTGCCGCAGCCTCTGGGCTAACAAGGACAAAATAGGCGGAAACAATATACAGTGTACAAGACACTGTGTGGGTGTACTCTTACAAGGAAAATGTAGTGAGTAATATGTCTAAGAAATGGCAAACAGGATATATACAGGAAATGAAAAAGTTGTCAAAGTTAAAATGAAGATTCTGAATGCTAATTCACTAAAAGAAATAAATGCAAGTAATTCAAGTAATATTGTGCAGAACACGCTACAGCATTAGCGCTAGCGCCTACAGTGTGATGTAACTTGTAAGCGACTTGGTCTTGGATGATTTAATTTTTCATTAGTTTTTAAAGCCTATTTATTTACTCAACACGCTAGGGGGAACCGAAGGTTAGTATTAAGGAAGCCCGTTGCTGAATGCTGAATTTTATTGATTTTCGGCTAAAAGCAATGCAAAAGCCTTGGAACAAAGACTATGACCGTCTGCAGGCGCCCGGCGTCCCCGACGCCTCTGAACAAAGTAAATAAAAGAAGACAGACTGCAAGAAAGAAATTAAGAGTGGAGGGGGATTATCATAAAGAAAGAGCAAAATCGGTCCATTTATATCACGAAACAAAAATCCTTCCGTATTTCATGTTTTTTCTTTCCGCAAGAAAACTACAGTTGGGCGCTACTAATAAGCGAATGTAGTCTGGTTCCTTTAATAGATGACGATTCGATTTGATGAATCCCAGAGTCAGGTAGCCAGACGAAAAACAAAATAGCGTGATTCGACTGAGTGGTTGTCTTTTGCCAAACTCGGGTTAGAAATTTGAAGATTTCTTGCTTAAATATCGTCAAAATTTACCTAAACTACGCCTATCAGGATCGAGCAATGGTTCCTTAAGGTAAAAATGTTAGTTTGAGAAAGTGGACTTTTTTCCTTACTATAGGAACAGGAGTATTGGTAATGAAGTCACATGACTCAATCAGACCGGTCACTTACATCATGTACATGTAGTCACAGCAATTAATAAATATTACGATGTACATGTAGATACTGTGGCATTCATATGTAGGCCTACATATAGGGTTTGTACACAGTGTCAAGTGATGTCCGTGAACATAGTGAATGGAACTCTTTTCGGAACTCTGATCTTTCCGTTTGGGGAGAGCAGGAGTAGCCCAGACTAGTATCTACCCCTTGGTTAGACCCCTAAACAGGCCCGATGAATACTCTTCCGTCGTATGATGTTCTTATTTTACTTATTCTTTTCAAATATTTATGATTGTAATTGAGTCGAGCGATACTTGACTCGACTCAACTTGACTTTTTGGCCTATTGACTTGACTTGAGCCACTCACTACATTGCGGGTACAGTGACTCGACTGGAGTCACTACGTATGTTGCAGTGACTCGACTCAAGTAACAGAAACGAGTGATTCATCACAACTCTGCTGAACATTATTCAACTTGCGCTTGGACATGTTAAACTACGCATTCAAAAGTCCAAACATAACGTTACGACCTACACAGGTTTTGGTTTGATGCGTGGTTTCACAATTACTTACATCATAGAGGAAGGACACAGAAGGAGTTTGAACTGCCCAGGCTTTAACATCTGGCCAATTACTGCTTTCTGGCATGCCTGGTATGTCCGTAGCCAGAGCTTGCTTGCTATGCACCATCTGTTTCACAACCACAAAACCCCTTTCTACCCTATGATCGCCGCCGCAATTTGTCGATGGTAATTTGCACCCTTAAAACTTTGTGCACTGAGGTATAGGAGAATGAATATTCATGCATTTGTTGGCGCTTGATATGATCTTATAACAACATCAAATTGAATGTTTGCACAGTTACTTGCATTATGCTGTGTGCCCTAAATCGGTGTCAGGTCAACTCGACTGTTTGCCAAGTCGACTCGAGTCAACTCAACTCTTGACCAACTGGACCGTTGTTCCTTCAACCGTAAAGGTCAACTTGACTCTCAACCAATTTGACTCTCGACCAATTCGACAGTGCAAACGGTGCAACAGGGACATGGCATAGAAGGAACACATTTTTCCTAGTTCTGGATCGTGCGTGTAATTCGTTTTACGGTGCATGATATGATCTGTGCATGCGCACAGTGTGGTGACAGATTTTGGGAGTTTGTTTCTGCATTCAATTGGGGACCCTGAACAATAGAGGACAATAAGGTCCCCAATTGACAGAGGGTCCCCGATTGACAACTGTGTACAAAACATATCAGTGGTCTTCTAAAAAAGTTAGAGTACAAACAAAAGAGGAACAATAGGGGGTCCCCAGTTACAGGCAAATACACACGTGTAGGGGTTCGTGCGTGGGTGCTTCTTCTCAAATTGGGAAAATTATTTTGGAGTATCTCATTGGCACAAGTTCAATTAATGATTGCATTTCAGTTGATTTTGTGGGTTCATTGAGCCGAAATTAGCATCCATATTTTTCGCGATCCGGAACCGATGCGATCTTTATTTTTCCCTTTTTAATATCTATTTTTCAAGGAAAGAGTTTGTCTAATAAATTTATAAATGGTCAAGTTGACTTGACTTTGAAGTCCAGTTGGTCAACGGACGAATTGGTTCAACAGTCCAGTTGGTCGACGGTCGAGTTGGTCAGGGGTCGAGTTGGCCAGGAGTTGAGTTGGCAAATGGTCGAGTTGACCTACAACCCCTAAATCTATATGTGCAGGCATTGCTCTTAATGAGTGCTTTCTTCTGGAGTTATTTTGGGACTAAATAGCTTGGTTGTTTACAAGATTTTGTGTTTTGTTTGAATCATTTTCATTATGGCAATAGCACAAAGGAGTATTTTATGAGATTTCAAGATCACTCCCTGTGATGAAATAGTGCATTTTGTTACTTATGAACTTGGCTTTCCAGTAAAAGTCAACATTTTGTTGGCCAGTCTTAGCCAAATTTTTACCAAGTCTTTGAACACAGATGTATTGGAGGGAGGAGAAAAAAATTACAAACTTTACATGGGCAATGGAACAATTTATCAAAATTTAAAAAGTTTATTTACGATGACAAAAGTAGGTCTGATATTAGGGATGTTTCTCACTCTATTTTCTGGTCACAACAATAATTTGTATTTAATTGCAAGCAAAAAATACAAGTATTGCTGGGATATTACTGGTCCTGCTTATCCAGCCAAGATGCAGGTAGCAATAAGGCATTTTTGGAATGTTTTCTATTATTCGTCTAACTTGGCGGCGACCATCATTGGACACTTTGAAGTGCCAGAGTTGCAACTCCTGTGTCCTTCCTCTATGCTTACGTGTAATGGTACAAATCTAAAGAGCAAAGAATTCCATATTAGCTGTCGAAAAATAATGTCCTTAAAAAGTCAAATTAGCAGTGAAAATATCAATATATTCGCTTATAAAACACTTCTTTCAGACTATAAGCTTTGTGCACACAGTGTCAAGCAGTGTCTGTGTACATAGAGCCTAGGCCTACATGTACATGATGTATGCAGCATCATAGTACATGAATCATATGTTCCACTGGTGTCAACCTAGAGCAGGTTCGAGTTACGGCTGTCAACCACTAGTCAATTTTGTCTGATACCTAGGCTTAATATTGTACATAGGTTACTGGGGAAATGGTTGAGAAATAGTCATCACTTGCATACCCCCGAAATAGGAGGTAGTCACTACACTGCAAATGTGTGTGCTATTTAAGATGGTTATGAAAGGGGCCCTTGAGTCTGCTGGGATCATAAGACAGCTAGAAAAAAACCCTGATGTAAAACAAACACATTTTTTATACGTTCAAACTAAAAAAGGAAACTTGTACTATAAAGACATGTATTAACTGAATAACAGTGAATAATAGTGAAAGGTTGTCAGTCTTCTGGACCTTACAGCATGGGAGATGGTTAACAACGAATCCTATCATGAACCTATCCTCTGTCAGTGTTATGTGAAGAGAAAGTTCAGGAGTTGAAAGAACATTATGCAGCAAATCAGCAAATTTGCCTGCTGTAGAACTGGACTTGGAACTACATTAAGGGAATTTAACAGACTTGCAAGGACAATTGGGGAACACTTTTTTCCCGGTTGCATCCTTCAGCATGCAATCTGTACCAAGATAATTTAGAATAAAAATGCAGTAACATGGTACCATAGTACATTGGCTGCTATTGGCAAACCTTTTAAGCATGACACCCACCGATATTTCTAGTCCTTTTCATGTTTCAGTTTAGATGAATATTTTGTAGAAAGTGGCTTCACTCTGAAAATAAGCAGTTGTGTGTATTTATGCCATATTTATGATGTGTATTTCTTTTAGCATTTACTGAGCCCAAAAGGGGACAAAGCACGTGGTTCATAACCATGGGTGTAAATTCTGGGGGGAAGTGGAGGTATACATGCAGATTCTCCCACTTTGGGGGAGGGGGTGAGGATGGGCTATTATGCAATCCTCCCTCCCACTTTTGTGATGAGCAAAAAATTAATTGGCATGGGGAGTCAGGTTGGCATGGGGAGTCAGATTGCTGCGAGGAGTCAGGTTGGTGTAGTAGTTCTTTCCTCGCCTTCCACCTCTGTGGTCCGGGTTCGATTACCGGCACGGTCCACGTGTGGATTGGGTTTTCAGTCCCTACCTGATTTTGTGGGTGTTTAGCCAGGATATTCTTCTGATGTTTTCCTCCCACCACTAAAACTATAACTTCTTCTCATTGTCTCCTCTCTACAGGTTTTATTCAGGCTTACGAGCTACAATGCCCAGGCACTTTTGAGGAATCCTTGGTTTCATTACCAGAAAGACTTAATAATAATGTAAGGCTCTACATGAATGTGATAAAAGTACAGATGTACGCCAATATATCAGTATCATGAACATCAACCTCTATATGGAGTAGTCACATAGGGTCCCTTCCCCGCCCCCACACGTTTCAGATTTTCATAGCCAGGCAAGTCATCCCCCACCTTTCCCCATCCCCCAAACCATAAATAAAATGGCATGATAAGGTGGAGTGTACCTACATTTCAGAAAACTATGGTGTACTACCATACAGGTACAACAGAAATAATATTGTATAATTTGTGTTTCCCTTTGATGCCATTTGACCTTTGTAGGGAAATAGTAATGTCAGCATAAATTATCATAAGTGACCCTTCAGCTGCGTTCTGCTTTAACCACAAAAATTGGTTTGAAAAATTCTTTGTTTTCATGGTACGTACATGTAAATGCTTCGGAAAGAGTTCATCACATGTATATATGGACATGGTCACTTGACTAGGGCTGAGTCGATTCGAATAATTCACTAGTCGAATATTGGACTTTCAATTTGTTCCAATATCTAAATATTCGGTCGTATGGACCGGCAGATTGTTGATGAACAAACCACATACAATATAAGTTGCAATAAACACACAATTGTACATTATAATCAATATAATAGCATAGTAGCTTCTCACATCAAGAAGTATCTCCAACCATGATTTAGCAAGATGTAAGAGATGATCAAGATTTCTTGCCCTGTTGAAAATTTCTATTCCTTTTAACTTGTCTAATGGATAATGTACCTTTTACATTGTTGTACGATTTCTGATGCGTTTCATTTGAATCTGCTTGAAACAATCCTCCATAGTGCAATTTTCTCATTGAAAACAAAAGAAGATTTTCCCTTTTCATGAATTTGCAATCAAATATTCAAATTCGAAAATTTTGAAATTTGAAATTTTGCAGGGAATTGCTCTAATAGTTTCCCTTCTAAATTTGACTTTGTAGGGCATGTTATTGCTTTCTGATGGCAGATACAACATGTCACTAGAGGAACAAAATTATTGATATCCATACATGTACATACTGCACATGTACATGCATGTACACTGTATCATATCATTCCCTCCATTCAATCCTTGAACCAATTGGGCAATAAACATGGTCATAGTTTGTATTATTTAGTAATGACACTTCATCCAATGACTGTTTTTTTCTTTAATAACTTCGCAAGACATCTGCCAAAAAAAAAAGTTATTTTTAACATTCTATTTTTGTTTGTTGTAACTGCCACATACGTACATTGTACATGCAACATGTACATGTAACATGTACCAACAGTAACACAATTGAACATTTAACACTTGTTGCCTACAGTGTAAAGGTCCATGGTTTTTTTAAGGGGGGGGGCAAATGGCACTTGAGGCAAACTGAGGGGTGCCATTTTCCCCAAGAGTGTACAAAACCCAATAAACGACCAATAAAAATTCACCGTCTATGACCGTGGTATAACAAACATGAATGAATATTGTACATGTATGTAAATGTACATGCGTCAGTGCGTACGGTATTACCAGCATATACATGCAGGAACATTTGTGTGATGTTTAACAACCGTTAAACTTCTGGATCCAGAGGGGGGACTTACAAAATGATGGTTGATGGTTGAATGATGTAATGTATGATAATACTGTCCACGCTTTTTCATGGTACATGTGTGTACTTGAGTTTGACATTTGGTTGAGGTTATCTTTCACGTTCAATGCATAAGGGATTCAACAGCTCTGTGGTTATTTTTTGTTGTTGCATCATTAGTGTTTTTACCCTGGTCTTGTTAAAAAGCAGAGGCATTTGAATACCCAATTCATTTTGAAGGCCTCTCTTTCAGTATCCTGTACAGTCTGATACGCATGTGCATGTAGAGGAAGATGTCTGAAGCACCATCTCAGAATCAGAACATCTCAAGGCAAGCTGACGAGGGGCCTGGAAAATGCACATCATTTACTATTCGTGCTGTAGCAGCAGTTGCTGGAATCAGTAAGTAGAACTTACCAAGTGAAATGTGAAATAAAAGTTGACATCTTTAGTCAGAGATACCAAGCTATGAAACAGAGAAGTCAGAAGTGAGAAGATGCACACATCTTCCCATGTCAGGTGGACTTTGTCTTCTGTGCTCTTGCAGAAAATGTACCATGACTTCCTTCGGCCTAACTCTTCTCGGTGTTCTGATATACTTGAAAATCAAACAACCTTGGTTAAAAAAAGCGAGATTGCGATTTTGGAAAAAAAAGTCAAATCATGTGTCTAATGATTACATAGAAACTTTTTGGGGGGTGGATATATGAATGGAAGAATTGACGCAATTAGAATGTGCTCGTATCGAGTATATTCTTTATTATGTGTGGTGGTATAGACCAATTCAGTGACAAGAATCACGATCCATTACTGCAGTGTCCCCACACCCATGAACAGATGAGATGCACGCATTAGATGCTTCCTCATCAGAAAATGGAAGTCCACTGCTAACCAAAATCACACGCTTGTCAAGCATAGGAATGCGCCCGAGTGACGGGGACTCTGCAGTAATGACGACAGCAAATCGGTCTATACATAGTGAGTGGGCTTTATTCACAAGATGGCTTTTTGGATCATGCTCCCCAAATCCACGTCAGTTATTGAACAGTCTGAAATGGGAAGGAATCAGACTGTTTTACCACAGTTATAGGTATAACCTCTTTTTGAATTTTTTTCATTTGGAAAATGAACGTTACATGACTTTCTGAATTACCCATTGTTATTATTAAGGCCAACTGAGATTCTTCATGGTGCATGTACAATGTACCTGCATGACAAACATGTAACTCATCTTATACATTGCATAAGGGTAGACATTGATTATAAATACATGTACCTCCAAGGGATTTCATGCAGTGTATTGTGTTGTTCAGCATTTAAAATAAAGGCAGTTGAAGGGAGCCAGTGCACATGAATGTACAAAGTCTAAGACTCTATGTTGAATCTGTAAAAGATTGTGGCCACAAACAGTATTCGATATGGCAAAAAAGACGCAAAAATATGCCAAAACTTCAGACAGTATGCAAGGTTTTTCAGGAGAGAACTTCAGGAAGTAGTCTAGAAACTGATAAAGCACCTTGCAAAATGTAAGCTGACAAACTTCCATAGAGTGTCCTTTACTCACATACAATGATCCTTGATGAGTTACATGCATATTTTAAATAATTTAATACGGGTTGAACTCAAGGACAAAAATGTTTTGGACATTCACTCGAAGATGAAAAAGTCTCCCAAAAATTGATGGAAATTTTTAAAATCAGATTTTTAAATTTTTTAAAAAAGCATGATTTTTTTAACAACCCTGGCAAAATGTTTATTGACCATGCATGGTTAGTTAAATGTAAGAAATGTACATGTGGATATATTCAAATGATGACAGTGGAAATAAGTTGTGAAAGATCCTAATGAACATTTATGCTGTCTGTTGTAGTCAGTACATGTACCTGTGCATCTTTTAAGTTGCCAACATTTACATGCACATACATGGATCTGAGTGTTTATAGTAGCCTTGAACTCAGGATACAGCTGTACATGTTGAAGCAACCTTGATTGTGGATTTGTTTTTTTTATTTTCAGTTTGTATGATAACTGGATGCATCACTTTCATCTCTATTTCAGCCATGTGCATTGTGGCTGGGGTTTATTTAATGTAAGTTTGTGACATCAGCATATTACTCGTACATGTATTCTTGTTATGAAGTCATTGTATAAAAACTTGAAACACTGGGATATCCAGTGACAATGTTGCTGGATTAATCTATGCTACACTTGCAGTGCTGTCATATTGCTTTAAATGCAGTCATGCATGTACATGTATCACTGACTTCAATACAAAAGTTTCAACCTCTTGGCAACTGTGGGGATTCAGTGATGAGATTTTTGGTTAGCCTGTGCCTCTGCATGTTGGGCCAAAAAGAGGAAAGAAAAGAGAAAACGTGCCTGTTGACCCCTTTGTGCATCGTCAATTATTATTGTCATATATCTGTCTTGAGTACTGTGTTTCATTAGCCCAGAATGATTGTGTGATGAGGTGACATAACCGCGTGTCACACTCACCATTTAGCTATCATTCAATGATATCATGGGCATGCATGCATGTGGCCCTACCATATGTACAGGATATCGCATGAACCACTACTGTTTTCAAAGCTTCCTTTGGCAGTTTTAATTTCCCTGAGAAAAACAAGTGAAGAACATCAAGGCAGAGATATGACAAAACGATTGTTGACGGCTGTCATGTAGGATATGATGCTTTGAACACTGTCAGGGACGAATAGTGCCCTTGGCTTTATCCGGGGAGCTGTGTCCCTCAGATTTTCAAAATGTCATATCATACATCACAGTAGCCAACAATTGTTGACTGCTGTGTAAAGGGATACACTTTTGTAATACCTAAATTTAGCCTTTTGTGAAAACTCGGATATGAGATAACATATCGGCAGCACGTGTGCTGCTGCCATTGTACATGTCAGGTACAAAATCATTACATTTGTACAGTAGATAATTCAAAAGTTGAACTTGTCTCTTTGTAAAAACAAAAACCTGAGAGTTCCTGGATCCCATGAATCTGACAAAAACAAGATTTCTTTCAGTTGGGAACCAAGCTTTTGTTGGAAACAATACCATTGAGATACATGAAGTAAGATATCAATACGCTACTGCAAGAAATTAGTTGCTGCAGTCAATGTTTGGTTTTGCCACTGCAAGGTACATACTTGCTGCCTAATGGCAAAGATTTGGGTTCTGTCCCTTCTACACTTCTATATGTATATATGAGATACATGCATGCTTACTCTAATGATGTCTATATTGCAGATTGCTTGGATTTCTGATAGAGATGTTTGAGGCTCCCATCTGTTGTCAGTACTTCCGTCTAACTGATAAGATCAATACTTGGGGTTCTAGTCTCCCGTCTTGGTTCAAAGCTTTGATGTACTTTATGTGAGTATTTTTCATGATTAAATTTACTCATTGTTTCAGAAAATGCAATGCATAGCGAACTCTTTTTCATACAAGTTAGATACACTGTATGTTGTCTTTTATTTTGATTAGTGCATGTCTAAAATATATCGGTACGTGTATTTGTCATTATGTTTGCTGTTATGTAATTTCATTGATTTTTGTATATACTGTAGATATGATGATGGAACAAATAACATGCCGGTATTCTAAGCACCACGAAATTCAAGATTCTGTCTGTGCTATTGTGTGTTTTTAGTACAACCGCACATGTGATCGAATTTGTATTTGACATCAGTTAATTTGAATTGACTCAGCCCCAGCATTAACTTTTTTATCAGCAAGTTTATAAACAAAAAACTACAACAGCTGAGCTGCCATGGCGTGATGCTTCATATGAATCTAAATTTCTTTACTGCGACAACAGCTCATGTTATGAGATACCACCGTGCCAATGGCGCTGCTAGAATGAAACAAGGAAATTATGCTGACCAAGTGTAAGCTTTGGTACAATTTTTAAAAACAGCAAGTGCAGAAATAATGGCTGATATACATGTATGACTACATTATGGATTTAAAATGAATGGCATTCTTAAAGGTTCCATCCCTATCCTGTCATCTTATCCATCTCCTGCTCTGTCCCCCACCTGATCATCCCGACTGTTACACCCACAGAATCTCTCCAATCTATACTGTGTAACCTTTGGTAGTCTAACGTACTATATCAGACAAAATGATCCAGTTGAATGCTCCTACAGGGTGTTTACAGATTTATTTACAAATCATTTACAAGGTATTCATGTTCTTGATTTTTTCCTCCGTTTTAGAATAACATTTTGTGGATTACGCATTTGAACTGAACATACAATCATAAAAGTTGAGACTACTCCATGCAAAGAGATTTTTAAAACTGGAAATCTGGATCATAAGGATGGATGCTGGTAAACTGGAAATTCCGGTTCGGCTGTGTAGTGTTAGTAGTAAGGCACTTCCATAGCTTCATGGTAGGTATGGCTGGGGCTTTAGGGCTTGTGACTCTGGCCTGAGCTTCCAAAATGGCTGTGTTCAGTTTGCCCATGGCTCACTGGACAGACTGGATCCTGCCTTGTCCCACAGAATTGTCTGGAGTTTGGCCAGCCCAACTATTATTCTCACAGTAGAACCCTTAGACCCCCCTCCAATAAAAGTCTTGGGCTTCTGGTCAGGGTTTGGGAGCTGGCTCCCAATGGTGGGGCGACGTGGCTTATTTTTTTCTTTCTATGTTTTATGAATCAGAAAAACACGAGCCAAACATACGTCAGAAAGTAAAAGCACAAATAATACAAAATGAAGGAAATTGGAAAAACAGGAGATAATTAGAAAGTATCATAGAAGAGGGAGCCATGATGAGATGTAGAAAGATGGGCACCATACATGTATATGTACATTTTTGAAATCATTGCATAGGGTCTACGAAATTAGAATTGAAATCTCCTTTTTTTATAATGAAGACTGAGGGTGATATTCTGTAGCCTACTGATTTTGTAAAAAAATCTTAACCCCAAAAAGGAAGGAATTTGAGTCTGGAATTCACATATGTATAAATAAAACCTAGTACAAAGAAAAACATAAGTCAAACATTTATTGTAGGGAAAACCAAAAAAGAATCCAAATTCCCAAACTGGCTTTTTTCTTTTTTTACCCCCACTTTTTTTATCTGAAAATGATGTATGATAACACACGATGTCCATCGGACTACATGTGCACGTAACTACGGCCGCTACCAACACTAAAATAGACTGGCCCCTACACTTTTACTGTTTAAAAGCATTTTCAACTTGTACATGTACACAGGACATAAGACCACCTTGTTTGTCTGGTTCCCAGATGTAAATGTATGACACAGAAATGACATCATCTGAAAAAGAGTGCCCGACTAAATGTATGGGAACTGCAGGGACTCCTTTACTGTACATATTACTCAACTGTACCCCATCCAGTCGATAAAGCAAGCTTGGCAGCTTTTGGACATCATTCTATACCAAATAAAAAAACTTTTTTACTTTTGCTGATTGGTAGGCCTACAGGGGCGTGCGCACTGACCAGAAACCGGAGACTTTTTTCTTGCCTTAGTACAAAAACATACATTTTTCCCTTCGCTAAACATCAAGTCGGTTATACAATAACTTAAATTTCATGCTGACCCTGTCGAAATCATTTACAAAGTAGTTATAACCCTGATCATGCCAACACATGGCTAATTAACAAAGTCAGTCATTATATTAATATAATGGCTATTTATAAATGGCAGCTATTTCATGTCTAATTTTATATTCTTAAAATTGGTTGGCATAGCCATTAGTCTGGGTATTGTCAATTGCTGTATAATCAGCTTGACGTAAGTAACCAAATGTATTGCCATTTATACAAAAATCAACTTACAGGTAGTGTTGTCAACCTGGTTCTTGAAATCCTGTGATGAAATTCTTTTTGGTGTCGTAAATTGGAGGAGGATACATGATGCTGAGATTGGCAACTTCTTGCCATTTAAACTCAAGGTTGACCTAGTCATGTAACTATTCATATACTGTACTCAAAATTCATCAAGGCTGGCTAAAGCAGGCCACCCTTGATGAATTTCAGAAGCACGTTTCAGATTTCTGCATCCCGCAAGCAAGGGACACACACACCCAGAAAACTCCCTCCTTGCCAGAAAATATTACCATAACTCCGCCAAAAACATACCCCTGTGACTTCTCAATCCTATCTTCTTATAACCTGTATGTAACCATTACATGTACAAGAATGCATGTACTCAAGTGATACTCTTATCGACCAATCGTGAAAATGTATTTCTTTCCACGAACTATCTTGATAAACATGAAAATACACACAGGTGTGCAAAGGTTCATTGACCATACAAACTTAGTATTTTGTTTCTAGTACATAAACACAAACATACTGGGGTGTATTAAGTTTGGCTACTACCAGGCTCGCAATTATGGTCGTTAACTATGTACATGTATATACAGCAAAGAGTTATTTCTCTTTAACACAACAATTTACTTTGTGACACCATTCATCTCCTCCTCCACCCTTGTACCAACCATGAACTTCTTATCTGTCTCCTATCTGTCTCCTACCCCTCCCCTACCTATCATCTCATCCATTCTGACTTCACTTCAACCCCATCATCCCACCATCCCATCTATCATCTGTGTCCTCACCCACCATCCCATCCATCATCTGTGCCCTCACCCACCATCCCATCTATCATCTGTGCCCTCACCCACCATCCCATCCATCATCTGTGCCCTCACCCACCATCCCATCCATCATCTGTGCCCTCACCCACCATCCCATTTATCTCCTACCCTGTCCCATTCCATCATCCCATCCATCTCTTACTCATTCCCCTTATCCCATTATTCCAATTTGTCTCCTACCACAGAAACATAGGCTCGCATTTGTCCGCAGTTTGCCAAAACACATTCAGATTTTCATAAATTCCATCCTAACCAAAATCCTCCTCCACAGCCTGTGGACATCAAAACCCCAACACACTTGTAAAATTTGTGCTTTCTGTTTTTCTAAGACAATTTTTTAATGAGAGTCTGAATTATGAAACCAACTGTGAACCTGTTAGATCAGCTGTGTATGCAAGTTTCTAGGCATGCACATGCAGTACATGTTCATGTGCTATTGTTATGTGGGACCCTCTTACCCAATGGAATTGCAAGCTTTGTTTTTAGGCTCACTGATACTTCCTTTAAAATGGAAAGTTGCCTTTAAGAGAAACAGTGGTTTTTACTTCTCCCTCTTTGTTTTTTTTAATGTTACCTTGCAAACAATCTGGAATAGGGCTGATGCATTTGCACATCATTTTTTTTTAAATTCCATTCAAATAACTTGATTTGCTGTCAAAAGTACCACAGAGAAAGGATTACACACTCACAAAACAACAACCAATAGTCATGATAGTAAAACATATCCAACTGAAGATGGCTAGAGTAATTGCTGACAGTGGAAAATGAAGTGAACTACATGTATGGTTATTTTGTAATAAAACTATAAACTACATGTTGTCTCCCTTTTCCCTGTAGTGGAACTGATGTGACACTGAGTAAGACATTTGGTTCTTTTTTGTAACAGTTTACCAATATTTGCCATTGTGATGTGCCAGGGACTAAGTGTTATCCTTGGTGCTCTTGTCGTTGCGGCTGTTGGCATCATGTATGGCATGGTTTTCATCGGCAAAAAGTAAGTACAACCTTATTTAACATTGCCAGTGATTCACCTTTGTCCCTCAAAATTAGTGGTTCCCTTGTGTCATATTTGAATCTCACTGTAAACTTATTTGAGTTAAAATTCTATATGTTGTGGCCAAAATCATTAGTCTAGGTATTTAGATGTGTTAAATCTGAAAAGTTGGAAAACCTGATCCGACCGTTTCGGGTTGTTTTGTTTTCGGGTTAATGGAAAGAAAGGCCTCTAGGTCACAGTTCTTTTGTGAACTTTTTCTTTTCCTGGCATTTGCTGATGGTTTACTTTGTATAGTCCCTGTTCTTACTTATGTAGATATGTCCCTTCTTTGTGTTGCGTATTTCTGATGAATGCCAAATACAAATATTCAGAGAATTAATTTGCAGAAATCAGGGACTGCTCCAGGTTGGCTCAGGGGGAGGTTCTTGAAGAATTGAGCAGAGGATTTTATGATCTTGATTGACTTTCCCTTGACTTCTTGCAGTAGTAGGCTTAGTAAAACTCATGTATGTTGCTAGGGGGTGAGCATTCCCCCCTTTTTAAAAAAGAAATATCCAAAAGTAAAGGAAAGCCAAAAGAATAGAACCGGGACAAAAATGGCCAAACTCCATGAAAATGTCTTGGACATAAACCCCACCTGCACTGTTGACTTTCTTAGTGAGATTAGTAGTGAAAGGATACCACAGTTATTCAAATTGAAACCCCACTTGTCTGTCGGCTGCTGTTATCGGTGTACTGTCTCCTCATAAAACTTGGAGAAGGCATGAAGAACTTCAAGAACTTCAAGCTTTCTTAAATACCTCCAGGACAGTTTACCCATTTTTGTCTGTCATGTGGGTGTGTTGAACAGGTGATAAAACAAGCGACTGGTTTGAAACATGTTCGTGATCATGCGTGAAATGTTGACAGTTTCATGGACTCCCCTCACTCAAGACAGATGTACTCACAAATTCACATAAGCATGCAACCTGTCAAGCTCAGTATTCATACTGAGAATCCAAATTTCATTCTACATGTAGGCCTATACACATTCACGTACATGTACACTCCAGCATTCTGTGTTACACAACACAGTATGCATTGCATGTGCCACTTTTCATAAAGGGATTTAGTACCATTCTAGTCATGGCAACTGAAGAGACGTTTCTCTGTTTGCCATTGATATTCATACATCTGCTGATAGAACTTCCTTGCATAGCACTTTTTTCATTGGTTTGGCCACAACCTTCACAACCTTCTGGATACATGTAAGCAAAATGTAACTACTGTACATGTACAGGCAAAGCTCCAATGTTACAGCAACCTTTAACCCTAACACTCCTTAATCCTTTACCTGTTGGAGGACTGAGGAGTGTTAGGGTTAATAGCACAAATTGCCAGATTATTTATTTTGCTTTGATAAACTATAAGCTTTTCATGATTTATAGTGAGCTTAGAAAAATTACAGTCATTTATTCGGCAAACTTCCATGTTTGTACTGCTTTTATAATCAGCTATACGCTGGTTCACCAATTAACACACATTACAGGAGCAGTACTGTAGCTTTACATTAATCAGAGAGACCTCCTATATCCAGTCGAATACTAGACCATAGGTACTTCACATATTGCCTTGATTTAACAGGGACCTTGTCAGTAAAAGAAAACAAAGAATGCGAAGACGTGGGGACCTAACATTTATCTTGTTATAAGCATTAAGTAGGATGTTGTATACATGTACATTTAGAATGCATGTGAACCAAAGGGCCGGAGAGGTCCTTTCATTTCCATACACTTAAGGAGTGCATGTTAAGAAAGCTTGTGTGAAGTCTTGTAGGCCAGTTTCTGTAAGATTTGGGTAGCTTTTTTTACTTGTAGGTTGTGCTTGGTTTCTAATGTTATGAAAATTGTTTTGTATTTGTTGCAGGGGAGATGGTGTTCGGAATGCTCAAAGGAGTCATCAGTTTGATGCAGTCAACCTTGTAGAAACTGAAGAACACAGTTTTACCAAAAGTAATCCGTGAACTTCATTCACTGCAGATATTACAGTTATCTTAGGTTGTCAAAAAGAAATCATTTATTTATTGTGAGGTAAAAAGATAAGTCAAATTGAGTTCAGTGGATAACCTAAAGAATGAATATAGTACAGCAATGGCAAAGGAGTTTTTGAACAAGTAATGTCAAATTTGCTCATGTGGACAGAGTAGAGTTACATATCTTGAAATTGATTTCTTGTAGGGAGCAATCATTACCTGAAATGTAAGGGGATAACTGAGGGTGCCAAAGGCAGCCGACTTGTCAAAAGCTTGCATGCATGTTACCTTTTAGCAGGCCAGAACCAGGTATGATCTGTTCTAGTAAATGCATTCCATGACAGACGTAATGCCTGACCTCAGGAAGGAGTATCCATGGTTGGCAGGCCTGTATTACTCACAAGTTACCATGCCCTAGCTGGACCAAGTCCATCATACTCCAACACTTCAGGCTTTCTGCACTGAGTCCATCAAAATTGTTCAACAAGGGAATGGATTTTAATGGATTTGGGGTGGCTAGGGTTAATGTACTTATGGTTTAGCATTTCCATGGCAAATGAAGTCATTTGAGGACATCTTATTTCCACTGTAGCCCTCGTGTCTTGTCGGTTCCTCCTGTATGTATGGTATCGTGATGGTCATTTGTTTCTTCTGGCATGAAGCTGTTTTTTTTTTATCAATCTGTAAGTGATTAATATTGTGTCATTAACTTATTGTTCTTGTGGTAATTTTAGAATCATTAACATTACGATCAAAACGTTCAGGAACTTATGATGCTTTGGTCCTCCTTTACATGGTTTCTTGAATGTTTGGTTTGTTTAAGGGTGGCTTTCTCTTTGAAATTGATATTTAAGTTAAAACAAACGAAATCAGACCAAACAAAACGATGACAAAAAGAAACTCGGAAAGGAAATAGAACAAAGTCAATTATTTCTTAAAATAATATCTCTTGAGAACAAGCTATGCTAGTTGAAACATTTTAAAACTTAATTGTTACATGTATTTGTATGTTTCTGGAATACAGGAAATATTTTGGTTTTCTCCAGTTGTCCACTTCTTTACAAATCTAATGACATCTTATTAGGCTCGCCCCTTGATCTGCACCTTTGTAACAAGCAAAATAGCCTCCATGGTAAGCTTAAGTAGCTCAATGCTTTATTGACGACATCTTAATGCACATGGTAAATTCACAGGACATTTTTTATACATCTGAATCATTTTAGGCGTTGCTAAAAGATTTTGAAAAGATTTTTGCATGTGTATATGCTCAAAAATATCTCCCATAAGTAAATACTATAAATGCATGACGATTATAAATTCTCCACTTTGACTACAAATTCCTTTTACATATGTATTACAAAAAGGGGATACAGTGATTGATTGCGGGAAACAAGTTATTGTAATTTGTTGTATTCATTTAAAAGTGGATAAAACAATGATCTTTAAGTATGTATCTACAAAAAAAAATTAAGAACCAATGACCATCGTAAATGTCTTTTGAAAAATGTGAAATTTTTCTGTAAAATGTTACTCGAATTAAAGTTATTTTGGGGTGTAACATGTCTGTGCACTTCCTGAGTTTATGTAACGATGACTTTCATGGACATACTTTGAGACTATTGTGAGATGCCGGTAATATCCTTGCTAAAAACTAAAAGCTACCAAAAAATTCCGATCCTGGTTTGCCTGCATTTCCTTACAAACACGTGTGAAGACAAAGTCTTTTCTTACAGTATGTATTTTGTTACAGGTCATCTGGATTCAAAACGGGTACGGAGATGTATATAGGTGAACCAGCAATAATTTACACGTGGATCGATTGTACTATAGTTTTTGAACAGGAATTAGATGTAGTGATAGCTTCTCGAGCATGGGTAGGGGGATGGATATACATCAGCTGTATAATGTATAGTAATCCCCACCCCCCCGGTGGAACGTTTAAAATACTTAGGTGCGTTCAGTTCCTAATAAAAATTGACACGTTGGGGGGGGGGCACTTCCCCTTGCCCCGGGATTCGCCACTGGACACGTAATGCGACAAAATAAGATTTTTTACAAAGATACAAGCATGAATTTGACACTGATCACTACAGTGCCAAAGGTAACATTTCAAAAAGTGAACTGATTACAAAAAGCCGTGTCATTCATTTGCAAGTAGTTAACCCAGCCTTAGAAAATTGGGCATATGGCGCTGTACAGCAATTATATCCAAGTACGCAGTAACTCTACAACTGAACTTGCCGCTCTCATTGTAAATGAAGTACATGCGCATACAAAAGCCAATTGGGGAGGGAGCCATGGCCAAGGCCCAAGGAGCCACAAAAAAGTATTTTCTTTATGATGTAAAAAAATATACACTGTACAGAAAGGCAATTTTCTTTGGTTTGTTTCATTTCCCTTCCTTGAAAAAGTGTATAAAAACTAAATGTAGCCCCACTGAGTAGAAAGGCCATAAGATAGCATGAAAATATTCAGAATTTGGTGGCCCCTTTCAATTAACTTGGCCCACTCCCGCTCCCGGAAAAGTTGATTCTGGATGCGCCCTAGACCGTGAACCACAATTTTGCGCCCTAGATGCGTACTATACAGATTAAAGGCACACCATCCCGGAATCACCAACAATGTCGTACTTGAAGAAAGCCATCAAACTATCAATACCTGCTATTAACGTCAGATAAAATTTGCATAATAAAGACCCCGACGACTTTTATAAGGTAGCCGTTACGTTCACATGACCAAACCTTTCCGAAATTGTCCGAACTCATTTCGTTGATTTCAGGTTATTGTCGATATTTTTCGTAAATTTCTGCAGCGTAAAACTCGCATTACCCTTTTCTCTGATTTACCCTTGATTGATTTTTCTTTTTGTATTTTTGGCCTATTGCCTAAAACTTAGACCTGTTGCCACTTGTGTACAGCGTTTTCGTCACTGTTTTCATGAAGATAACAGGTTGTCGAGATCATCAGCATGAGAAGATTCTTGTATTTTAAAACTGCAAAAACGAACTTTGCCAAAACTTTTGCACGCATGCGCACAAATGGCTTTGGCGGCAAAAAGTGTGAGCGGGTCATTGAAAACGTATAGGGGTGCTATTTTGATCATTTTCTCTGAGGTTTTCTGTCTTTATTCATTTTTTTTTCAGAAAATCCCATTGAATCTTTTTTGCTATTAGTTTCTAATCTAAGCGGGATTTTAGTGCTCTGTAAAAAGACATTACAGTCGTGATATGTTCTGTACGCACGAGATTGCCGTATATATCTCCTTTCGTGTTGTTTTATTGCAAAAACGATTTAGAGGGAATTATGTTCGTGAACATACAAGAACAAGCCGCCTGAACTTAGCCATAGCGCCAGCAATCACCGCCCTCAACGTTCGCTTTTACTTCGTTTCTTTGTGTCCTTTGATCGTTTGACTCTATCCTTTGATCGTTTAGGTTTGTCTTGAGATCCTTTGGTTTTGCTCTTTGATCGTTTGGTTTTGTGTTTTTGTTATTTATTTCTGTCCTTTTATCATTTAATTTTGTCCTCTGATCGTTTCCTTTGTTCTGATTGTTTGAGGCTTTCATCGTTTGTTTCGCAAACGCTATTCGCAAAGCAGGATTTAAAGCTCGGCTTCATGTTTCTGTTCCTTGTTTTTCACTTTCTCGATGTCCCTTGTTAATGCAGTTTTTTCTTTGTTGTTAAATTTTGAGCTTTGTTATTCATTTTGGACATTCGTTTTGTAAAATATTTTCAGTATGGGGCCCTGATGGCGTCCCATACTGAAAAGCGCATTTTGGTTTATGGCGAGCAAAGAACCACTCAGTGTCGCCCGCCCCCTTGCCGTGTGAGGCTGGAAACAAAGCCCTCTGTCTGATCCGCAGACGCGACGATGATGTGTTGGACTTGGTAGGCCCAGGCCAGCCACCGCTCCATACCGTTCTCCACTCGAGCCTCAATCAGGCTCAACCCCTCTGTTTTTGCAGAAACCAGTTGGGCCTCAAGCGAAGCGAGTTTCGACTGGTAGTCGTTTTAAGATTTAAGTGTCCCAGTTCCATTAAATATTCAGCCAATTTTCTGTTCCAGGAGATTATCATCTTGGGAGGGCAAGAGATACCGAATGGAAGGGGTGGGAGTTTTGTTTCTGACTTTGAGCCAGTCAGGAGTCTCGCCCCACATGAGGTCTTCCTCTGGTCTGGAGGCATGTTTTCAACCCAATTTCTCAGGTCGGCCAGGTGAACAGATTCTCGGTAGGCCTATAATGGTGACATGTTATTGTACATACTACTCAAGACCACTTCGTGGATGCCCTATGCTGTGCAGGGTGCACCGTAGCAAATAAATTCCCAAAAACACCAATGATAAATCCTTTAATTTCAACATTATTTTAAAAATACAACTCTCATAGGTATTAAAGTTTTTCACCAGAAGAAGACCACCCCTAAAATAAAGGCAATGTCCCTGCCCGTAAAAGTAGCCATTAAAAAAAGAAACCCTCTGCAAAACGGCCAAATAGTGCCACTTTTTGACCCAGATGCACCCAAATTGCTCAGAATTGCAAGCCCAAAGTCCAGGCCAGAGGTTCAGTGCAATGCCTCTACAATTCCTCATTTTCGTGGCTCTTAGGACTCCCTAATATAGAATATTTCGAGTCTATAACTTTTATTAATGAGCTCGGCGGACATATTTCTGGCCTGTTTGCGTTGGTGCACCCTGCGGGCCAGCAGAGGATTATGTCAGATCGACCTGTGCGTTTCTCATAACCCTAACGCAAAGATCTTTGCCCAAACGCGACATGTATATGTACAAGCGTAGCTGCAAACAACGCGGTCAACAGAACCCACAGTGCTAGAGATTTAAGTGATTTAAGAAGCAGTGATATTCATGCTTTCATCCTATTGTCATAGTACATACATGAGAGAGATCCGCGGGGCGGGATCCGCGGGGCGGGATCCGCGGGGCGGGATCCGCGGGGCGGGATCCGCGGGGCGGGATCCGCGGGGCGGGATCCGCGGGGCGGGATCCGCGGGGCGGGATCCGCGGGGCGGGATCCGCGGGGCGGGATCCGCGGGGCGGGATCCGCGGGGCGGGATCCGCGGGGCGGGATCCGCGGGGCGGGATCCGCGGGGCGGGATCCGCGGGGCGGGATCCATCCGCGAGGCACCACGAAATAATGACATACTAAAGAGTAGGATGACGATAAGGTGTTGGCATCCTTGGCCTGGGCTATACGCTGTGGTACAGCCGGGCCAAATTCAAACAATCTGACTTTTTATAATTCGGCACAACAAAAGCACAGCGGTTCGGCAGACTGCTTTCGGCACGGTAAGCCTTGCAGCATGACAAGGTATGCCGCACTATCTGTGCTCTGAGCAGCAGTGCCACTACCCTGCTCTCAATTGCTACGCACTGTTGTGCTACACCCATGCTTAGGCCTATGTGAATAAAGTTTGGCATATCATTAGCAGCGCGAATAACCTAGGCCTTGGGTCTAATAAATAAATCAATAAATTAACATGCGATTGATCAATAATTAATTAATTAATTAATTTGAAATATTGGGTAGTTCATTAATTAATCAGTTACAGCAAGAAAAAAAATTACATCCCGTAAGGGATATTATTTGTTATGCATTTCCTTTCTGCCTGTCTGCAACAATTAAACATTGAAATATCTAAAAGGCATGCCCGCTTGCTGATCCGCCCCTGGCTCCTATTCATACGCATAAAGAAATGACCGTAAGCCTGCAGACTCAAAGAAAGAAAAAGATACCTGCTACAGGAATCTGATCAACCTGGCAATAACCAATAACAAGCTGCAAAGGCTGGTGTCAAAATGTTCGCTAGACATGTACATTATACAGAAATGAATAGCAAGTAGAGTTTGCACTTCTGTTAGTATCGATACTTAATTTGGGGGTCCTGGTCATATCCTCTGTGTCACGTTCTGACTGGTATAATAGCTGAATACAGTTTTCAGTTATCAGTAAAAATAACCCTGTTGATTTTTCAAACCAACCAAAAGGTTTTTCCCTTCTCAGTTGAATCTTTCTTCAAGACTTTATAACAAAAGACTACTTTACAAAAAAAATAGATTTTTTTACATCAAACTGCAAAGCAGGTTACAATTCTACAACCAACAAAAAGGACCTGTTTGGGACTTATTAGGATGGGATGATCAACACGCCAACCCCCTGCTCTCATGCCAACGGGGCCATTCATTAGGTTGTTTTCTTCAAAGGTATACACGATCACAACATAGCCGGTAATCGTATAGGGAATCCTTATTGTAATGTCCCAAAGTAGCCGTGGTTATGGGTATGAGGTAGGTTACAGGCTAAAGTCCCGTTGATCCGCAGTAATGAGGAGGAATCGACGGCAGCATACCTCCTCGTTCCACAGCCAGACAATTAACCATGGCTCAACAAGCTTAATTGACAGGCCTTACTGCGTAAAAAACCGTCACTCACTCGAAGGGGTCTAGCAAAAGAAAAGGAAATACTTTCGCTAATCCACTACGACCTCATTAAGACGTCTATAAGAGAATTTGAGAGACGTGGGCTCATCGCATCGATGGTAAAGTAGATCTGGACGAATTGTCCGTAAAATTCTGCATAATTATCTCAAGCAAGGAACAGAGATTTTTGGAGCGAGCTGTTCTGTTGATACACCTTTTCATTCCCGAGAAAAAAAGTGAGCGAAGGATAGAAGGTGTAATTGGAGACAGGGATGGCCAAATGAAAGGATTGTAACCATCCATTGTGGTTTTTTACGTTACTATTGTCCCGTGGAATTTCACATAGAGGAATCCGGTGTTTTCTCTTCACTGCGAGACGTCATACATCTAGTTTAGTGTAGCAAGTTCTTGTGTTGGGCCAGCGAACTGATCCGACAATAAATCGTTTTGACATTCGCAATGCATCAAGGGATTGCATGACAAACAAGCCGTGCATTTTATGTACAAGTCGTCTTTTCACAGTGTTAAATTGAAAATGTGGAAGAAAGGCATTCGCAAAAAAATTAAAGTTAAAGCCAACCAGAAAGAGGAAACTGGGGGAATCTCATTCATGAACATCAGTTTCTGTCTGGTACCAATGAGCTACAGCGTGTGGGTCTTTCAGATTGAGATTTAAAGCTCATTTTGCCCTACACTGACCAATCACGTTGGTTTTACAGCTAACATTGACTGGTTCCCTTAATTACAACAAATTTAAGAGCAAGTTTCATGGAAAAATGTTTCCTTTAAAACGTTTCTTGTTTTGTTTTTGTTTTACAATGCATCAATGACGTAAATTTGCGCTAACAATTGAGGGACGGGGATTTGTGTGGAATGACTTGCCCGGCCATGGAAAGTTGAAAAGCCGAGGGGGGAGGACACCTACGACACCATATTGGGGGCGATGTTCCTGATTCAGATGTATATCTGTAATATGTATTACATTCATGCAGAATCTTCAATCGGAATTGCATATTTATGGCTTATAAAAATGTTTTCCCTGTTTGAGTGAAACTGAATACATTTTAGTGGTTGGGAAATTCGAAAAAATACCTAATAATTTGCTTTGTTTTGGCACACCACAAAAATGTGTGTGTGTGTGATTGATTTAATAGCCCATCCCCACCTCAAAAAAGGTAGGGGATATTCACCTTCATCCCCCGGGATTTACTCCCATGCAATGGATTGATCTTTCACTAGATGATCACGTACTTCAGAAATATTCCGAAGAAAAATCATAATTGATGCTTGACTGATTCTGTTTCTCCACGGGTTCATGCATAAACTGCACGAGTCACACCTGTTATCGTATCTCATGATGCCACGGAACGTCGATAAGATTTATTTAGAACTCTACTCTTCAAACATGAAAACATACAATACACAAGAAAGTAGCCAGTTCAACACTAAAATGCCTCAATTTACCTCTACACGGTCAAACACATCTTTGATGACAGTTTTCATACTTTTGTTTGACCTTGACTGCCTCTGTTTATTCACAAGACTTGTTCTGGATTGTTTTATTTTTTGGTCTAAAGATGTAAAATAAATAAATAAATAAATACACATACAATCAAATCTCATTTTAACAAAGTTACACGGACCAGACAAGAACTCAAGACATCGTGGCTCTCAACATTAACTCTACATTTTAAAGGTATTTTGTTACTACAGTGTTCTTTATATGGAGAGTCGACAATACTGTAACGGGTACTTTCTGCACAGTCATGGACCGCAGAATGGTCCACCTTAATAAAGGATAGGTGTATACGATCAAAACAAGTCTTACATGCACTATGACTTCAAAAACTATTGACTTCACTCCGTCTTGTGGAATGTTAAAGAAAGTGTCAAGTAAACACTGAAGAAGGTTCTCCCTAATTCGATAATTTTACTAATTGTGAAGTGTGAAAATATGGCCTTTTTCACGAGGTGTCTCACTGTAAGTTATCGTTAATCGTAAACGATAATTAGCATGACAAAATATTTCTATTCTAAGCATTTATTTCCATCAATTCTACGACGCACAGTAAAGAATATACGTTCTGAAACGAATTCATTCAAAACTTTCCCAATGGAAATAATCGAGTCATACGGGTGCAATATTTATATCTCTCAATATCATAGGGTCTTGATCATTATTTTCCAAGTGTTCGGACTCACCAATATCTAGATGCATGAAAGCCACATTATTGAACAGTGATTCTTGAAAGCAAACACACCAGAAAAATTTGAACTTACGGGATCATCGCAACGACTGTTCAGATTTGGTCTAACTAATAAACCAAATAAACATGAACACGAAAACGATAAAAAAGTTCAGCTGAAAAGGANCACACTGACCAATCACGTTGGTTTTACAGCTAACATTGACTGGTTCCCTTAATTACAACAAATTTAAGAGCAAGTTTCATGGAAAAATGTTTCCTTTATAACGTTTCTTGTTTGTTTTTGTTTAACAATGCATCAATGGCGTAAATTTGCGCTAAAAATTAAGGGGACGGGGATTTGTGTGGAATGACTTGCCCGGCCATGGAAAGTTGAAAAGCCGAGGGGGGAGGACACCTACGACACCATATTGGGGGCGATGTTCCTGATTCAGATGTATATCTGTAATATGTATTACATTCATGCAGAATCTTCAATCGGAATTGCATATTTATGGCTTACAAAAATGTTTTCCCTGCTTGAGTGATACTGAATACATTTCAGTGGTTGGGAAATTCGAAAAAATACCTGATAATTTGCTTTGTTTTGGCACACCACAAAAATGTGTGTGTGTGTGATTGATTTAATAGCCCATCCCCACCTCAAAAGTGGCAGGGGGATATTCACCTTCATCCCCCGGGATTTACGCCCATGCAATGAATTGATCTTTCACTAGATGATCACGTACTTCAGAAATATTCCGAAGAATGATGCCACGGAACGTCGATGAGATTTATTTAGAACTCAACTCTTCAAACATGAAAACATACAATACACAAGAAAGTAGTCAGTCCAACACTAAAATGCCTCAATTTACCTCTACACGGTCAAACACATCTTTGATGACAGTTTTCATACTTTTGTTTGACCTTGACTGCCTCTGTTTATTCACAAGACTTGTTCTGGATTGTTTTATTTTTTGGTCTAAAGATGAAAAATAAATAAATAAATAAATACACATACAATCAAATCTCATTTTAACAAAGTTACACGGACCAGACAAGAACTCAAGACATCGTGGCTCTCAACATTAACACAAAATTGAAAGGTATTTTGTTACTATAGTGTTCTTTATACTGTAACAGGTACTTTCTGCAGTCATGGACCGCAGAATGGTCCACCTGAATAAAGGATAGGTGTATACGATCAAAACAAGTCTTACATGCACTATGACTTCAAAAACTATTGACTTCACTCCGTCTTGTGGAATGTTAAAGAAAGTGTCAAGTAAACACTGAAGAAGGTTCTCCCTAATTCGAGAATTTTACTAATTGTTAAGTGTGAAAATATGGCCTTTTTCACGAGGTGTCTCACTGTAAGTTATCGTCAACCGTAAACGATCATTAGCATGACAAAAATATTTCTATTCTAAACATTTATTTCCATCAATTCTACGACGCACAGTAAAGAATATACGTTCTGAAACGAATTCATTCAAAACTTTCACAATGGAAATAATCGAGTCATAGGGGTGCAATATTTATATCTCTCAATATCATAGGGTCTTGATCATTATTTTCCAAGTGTTCGGACTCACCAATATCTAGATGCATGAAAGCCACATTATTGAACAGTGATTCTTGAAAGCAAACACACCAGAAAAATTTGAACTTACGGGATCATCGCAACGACTGTTCAGATTTGGTCTAACTAATAAACCAAATAAACATGACCACGAAAAACGATGAAAAATGTTCAGCTGAAAAGGACTAGATCTTCACCATTTTCTCGTCTGTTGCGAATTGAAACAAATTTTCTGTCCATAATAAACAAAGGCGGCATGTGTCTTGATCCAACAAAATACCGTCACGGTTTTGGACTATATTATTACACATTAATCACATTTGCCGGTAACATCACTGTGCGTAACCACGTCTTCTGTACTTTGTAAGCGAAGTACTCATTTCTACGAAGGTGTACGCTCCTAATAAATCCTGCGGGTGGAATCAAATCCAACAACTGTCATTGGACGTTCCAGATGGTCCCCTAGAACGGTTGAAAGTGCCGTGTTGGGTTTTGTTCAAAGCATCTTCCATGGAATACTTCCAATGGCGAATAACAGCTATCACAATGTCTTTCGCCAACAACGGGCAATCGAAAACGTCCAGCGACAGCGTAACCAAAGACACCGGACTCGCCCATAGGAGTATAGCTGGGTCAATTCAAATACATGTAATTAAATATACAGGATATTTCCCTGCCAAAAAGCATCCAAAAATAACATTTTCTCCTAAAACAAATGCCATATTGTTTCGGTATCAAACTGAAGTCTATATATGTTATCTTCTTAAACTTAAAGATTTCATTTCAATCTACTGATGCGCACTGATGCGTTGGGATTCACCATAGCAATGAAAATACTATATTGTATGTTTACACCGTTTAGCATCCTTTAAGTCATGACATCATTACAAAGGCCTACAGAATGTGGATACTGGTTCTGTTGAATCCTCTTTTATTTTCCATCACTGAACAGGGTCCTGACATGGTTCAAAGTGATTAATATTACAGAAACAAATAAGATCAGCACCTTGTTACAAATTTACTGAGGTAAACTGCACAACTTTCAGCTGAAGTTTCTTCCTTTGAAACAAATTCATTAAACTCTGAAACTGCACAATTACAGAACTACTGCCGTCTCATAATAACTTTGGTTTCATCAAAAATACAGCTAGAAAGAAATTTCGAAGAAGGAACCCTGACCGTTGTGTGTTGACGTAGGATTTGAATTCAGTAACGACATGAACTTCAAGATGAACTTCAAGTGCGTAGAACAAAATGAGTTGTGTTACGTACTTAAAAATATATCTCTGCAATACACCATAAGCGTCCAATGACATTTGCAGAAAAAGCAGAAGCAAGCTGCAATTTTACACCTTAACAATGAAATACGACCATTACTTTGGGACAAAATACATGTTACGTTTAGGTATAGTGGTTTTTCCAGGTCAGGATGTATATTCAGGGAATTCTCCACTTACGACGGTCCCAAATATGATATCGATTCGACTTTACAAAGAGAAAATATTGAACCAGTACTACAAATACACAAACAATGATGGTTACATGTTATATACATACATGTAACAACTTTGGTTCTAGAGTGAAGCGAGCGCTTTTGTACTCCGACAGTCAAATAGAAAGTAAGAACGACGGTTAATGAAAGAAAAACATGAGTATGAAAGCTATAGTTAGTTTTGTGATAAATATAGACATAATTAAGGAAGTTCTAATATGTAACTTTCTTAGAGAGGGCCGTAATTCATTGCCGAGAATGGGTTTCTCGCCTTTGTTGGCTTTGTAATAAAATCACATTGCATATATATTGCAAATTATGCTAAGGATTCTTCCCTTTACATGGCCATGTATGCTGGGAATCAAATTAGCGTCTTTTGGGGATTAGTCTTTTCAGTGAAGTTTGAAAACCATGATGATGTGGTCAACAGTACATTAGAAGTGATAAAAATCCAAGATTCCCCTCTCGTCTTATGTAATGCCACTGGCTCCAACGACACTACTGTTTAGGTGCATTCAGAATAACACAGAGCTGTTGACTGATACCCCTTGGAATCTTCTGAAATCAATTTAGGTTAAGCAATTAACATATGACCTTTTGTTCGACTGATGGTACGTGCAATATGTCAAATTGTGTTTGTAAATATTAACAGATAAATCAACTTTAATTACAACAACAGGCGACATGGCGTCACACGTGTATTCAGTCCTTGTACGGAATCATCACCGGCATTAGCACAAGACACAGCCGTACTGAAATCTTTCCGTGGCTATTCCTTAAATCTTGCCGAGCTGTTACCAAAACTTCCTGTGCAGCTTCTGAAATCTTCCATTCCAGGGACTAACATGAATGAAGGGTCACTTTTAGAATTATAGCTTACATCTGTATTTAACTGGCATCCGTATAATGCGACACGAATAACAACACATCACTAAGTATTACTGCTTTAACCACCCTAACATTTTAATCCTTCTTGGTCTCACAACATTATTCAGTAACTTCTTTAGATTTACCAAAATGGTCCTGCGTAGTTTTGATAGCAATCTTATTGGTGATTGTGTCTAAAACTGACATCAAGTCAGTTACGGGAAAAACAGACCTTACCTTTTAGTCCCACGGAACTACACGTATACCCGTCGAGTCACGATATATTAAGTACAAATACATGCACAACTTTAACATCGGTTTCAACAGTAAAACCGTCATCAATACAACATAAAAAAGGTTACACTTCACATTGCGAGTAAATTGCGTAGCGTGTAATTATTAATCATTCATATATTGCACTTCATGGGAGATAAGTTTGTCAGGCGACTAGTCGTTTTCCTGTTATCGCTGACGTACACCTACACATTAAGAATAAAAACAAATCCTGTCTGTATTTTCATTTAATCGAATTAAATTCTTCCGTTTCGGTTGAGCAAATACCGCATCTAGCCCTAACATGATCCAACATAATTTCTTTGATGCGTCTTTAGTATATCTTATTACTCCCTTCTCCTGAACTGGCAAATTTGACTGTCCACGCTAGCCAACAGGCCTTTTCTGGGACAGGCAATGACTTCTAAGCGGTCAAAACGATCATCGTTTTACACTCATAGCATACATCCAAGGGCGGATCAAGAACCAAATTTTCGGGGGCCCATTTTTTCTGCCAAAAATTCAGAAAATTCGTTCAGGTAATGTTTCCTGGCCATTGGGATAGGTGGGGCAACATTATATGGCTTTTTACACACTTTTGGGAGGTAGAGAAATTAAGGAGACCAAAAAATCGCCTGTCTTTTTTTTTTAATTGCTCCTTTTTTGGGACGGGGCAATGGCCCCCGTTGGCCACCTAGATCCTCCCTTGCAAACATCAAACATTGTGTTGAATAACACACATAATTTTTATATACAACTTTAACACAAAATGTTTGATTATGATTATGTTGTACATGACGGCCCCCTTTCCTTCAAGCACACACAGTACGTGGTCCCGCAAGTGACACACATATCCTGTCTTGACGCTGTATTGGGGAACAGAAAAATATTGACGACATATTGTTACGTCTTTCTAAGGCTAGCAAAAAAGTCTCAATCCCTGCATTACCTCGACTCCAAAACATTCAGAAGTACATGTACATGGAACCTGCATGTCAATGGTGTGTTAAAAGAGCAAAAGGCGAGACTCAAGAAACCTGTGGAAAAAATAACGGACAAAACGGACAAATTTCAGGTTTTAGAAGTGTGGGGGAAAGCCATCGATTCTATTCTACAATTTGCGATAGACAGGGTTAAACGTATAGATACACTGTAAATGTATTGCTTGCATCTATTACTCTATCTTAACCTAAATGTACAACGATAAAAGCACAGGCACTTATATATATCAAATACGATAAAACTAAGGTATTCCAGGAAATGCACTGGACAGCAAAAGAAACTTGCCCCTTTTGTCAAAGGCCACATAAAAATACACTCCATAGAAATAAACAATTTTTGTACAAAGGTATGCTGCAATACCCCTTACTAATCACATGCCCAAAAGCAAGTGATTATCTTTATAACAAAGAAGAAATTGACATGCACAGCAACTTGGTTACTGAATCAAAAGTCACACACAAAAGCACTCTCCACCAAGCAAAAATGACACATGAATGGACAACATTTTAAAATTCAACACGTTTTGTCAATATGATGTTCATGAGTGGTTTTTATATAGGGATGCCATCTGAATATACACATTATTGAAAAGTAATTATTGTGACCTCTTTATTTCGTCTTGTGCCATTGATTTCTACGTAAAACTTAAGCCTCATTCTGTTACTTTCTGTGACTTTTGATTCAGTAACCAAGTTGCTGTGCACATCAATTTCTTCTTTATTATAAAGATAATCACTTGCTTTTGGGCATGTGATTAGTAAGGGGTATTGCAGCATACCTGTGTACAAATTTTTTTCACTTACATGGAGTGAATTTTTATGTGTGGCTTTTGACAGAAGTGGCAAGTTTCTTTTGCTGTCCAGTGTACTTCATCTCCCTTTCTGGCCGAATGCTGGCGTGAAATATAACAGGCAATTACACGAGTTGTGTTGAATGAAACCAATCAATCGTAGTACCGAGCGAGGCTAAACACAAACAGGTGCCAGTACAGTCGGGGAATGATGAACCTGCTTCATTAAATTGGTTTGCAAGCTCAAAGAGGAGAAATCTACTGCCTTTGTGAAACATCAAAATAACCATGATCTAACAAGCTCTACACCTCCATGGATTCAACTGTGGAACTGAATATAATCCTACACAAAAGGAGACAGTTGAAATGTGTTATCATTTAAAGTCAGAGGGAAAAGCAAAGGAAATTAAGTTTAAGAGACAGTTTTCTAAAATCTACGTACACGAATTTATCTTTAATTTTTTTCAATTAGAACTGTGTAGTTTTATTTAAGGCTTTTAATGGAGTTTTCGTGAATACTTTTAGGCTAAAAACTAAAAATATATGCCATGGTACATGACACGCATCGTCCGTGATACGGTGTCTTTATGTTTTGTTTGTAGAGAATAATGCCACCCTGGCTTTAGATTTGGGTGCCATTGGCTATATAGGCGTTTGAAAAAAATATACACCAAGACCCATGACAAGTATGGCCAGCTTGCCCCCCCCCCCACATGGAGCATGCACCCGTGAACACTCAGTCTTTCTTGTAGAATAAATAAGGCAAGGACATGTAGAAAGAGATTAAACAAAGAAACAGTAGGGAAATCTGGCCCCTCTAAATGAGTTGGGAGTGGTCACTGTTGGATATGCTAATACTGAACTTTAATTACCTTCATCACCCGACGATGAACCATGCAACATATCTCTGGGTGAACCTTTGTGCTTCTTTTGGCGTGCGCGTGAATTCTGGAACCACACCTATGATAGGAGAACATACGAAAGCCCTGTAGTGCTATCAAGTATTTATTTTCCAAACATGGAGTATATTTTTTCAAAGTCCATTTTTAGGAGATACAATTTTTTCCGACTTTGTTTGTACTATATGTTTTGTCCAAAGTTCATTTGTTCGAGACATACATTCTCCAGTTCATTCTAATGAGATCTATATTTAGAAATATTGTTTTTATTCTTGGAGACAAATCGTTTTACGAGAGATATTTTGGGATGAAGTTTGTTGTTTTATGAGATATATTTTTTCCAAGTTAATACTCAGAAGATATAGGCCTACGTTGATATGTTTGGATTTGTTTTTCGTAAAAACAAACTTAAAAAGAATATAACTCGTAAAACGAACATTAAAAATCTTCTTAAAATGAACTTGGAAAAATATATCTCGTAAAAACGATGTGTTCCGCAATAGAAACAACGTTTCTGTTTATAGATCTTACTAGAAGGCACTGGAAAATAAATATCTTCTTGAACAAAAGAAACTTAAGAAAAAAATTTATCTCACAAAAACCAAGTTGAAAACAACATACTTCATAAAAACAAACTCGGAAAAAATATTCGTCATAAAAATGAATTCTGAAAAATATACTTTACTTTTCGAAAATATATGAGCCTACTTGACTGCACTCCAGGGCTTTCGTAAGAACAGAAAGCGCGTTATGATGTTGCTAACACAGCCATGCAGACCCAAGGTTAGACCTACAGTAAGTTCCAGGAATTGGTAACGATAAAAAAATTTCAAGCTGAGCTACAAGGATGTTTGAAAATTACAGCATTCCCGAACGCCTGCTATCGGGAAACTTTTAGAACATATCTGTACATGTACAACTTAAGGAAAATAAGACACATTAAGATGTCGCAAAACTGTGGCATGGATTGTCTGACGGTTAGTAATTACATACGGACAAAGAAAAAAACATCAGTAAACATGGACATACTGAAATACCCAGGCATAATAGGATTACTGGGTTGGTTGAGAAAAGTAATGAAGTCCAATGAATAGATTGGTCAGGGTTCAGTGTTTGATGGCTGTAAGTACTTCTGAGTCGTGTGGAAAGTTTGTACATGTACATGTATATATACACACCTACCTGCGTGACGCGTTTGCTGAGGCCAGTTTGTTGTGCAATACGCTCTAGGTCCTGTCCATCTGGGTTACTATCTATGGTGAAATTGGCTTGCAAGACCTCCAACTGCTCCTCCGAGAACGTGGTTCTTATCCTCTTAGATTTATGTACATTTCTCTTATCAACACCATCCGAGCCCAAAACAGAACTAGAGTCTACACAAAAGGGTAGAAAAAACACAGTAGGATGTACAACATAATTTGATGTCTTGAAATCGACTCCCTGCATCCAACTGCTGCAGTCATATCACAACAAAAACGCACACACAGCAGAAAAACAAGCGGTGCATTGAGGAGTCTATGCGACACGTAAAAGTATCAAATGTGCGCTTGCGTTGTTTTTTACAATTAGGTCTAAAAAACGTACCTTCTATTACTTCACCGGTAACTATAGTATACCTTGGAATCCCTTGCATTTTATGAAGGTATTACTCCAACAGGTTTTGTTTCCTTTGCGTCCACAACAGTATGAGCAATTACTGTACTTTTTTGAAGGCAATGCCACTTTCGTAATAAAAAAATCAATGATTAAAAACCACAAAAGTTGATAATTATGTCTCGGGTAAAAGAAAGCACAGAAGAACGTTATCTGTGGTTGTCATAGTCAGCTTGATCTTATTTGCTTCTTTGTCTAAAATTACACAGTCCACGCGCGTATGGACCTATATGCCGTCGATAATGCATGTTTACGCTGATTTCCGACAAACATTTCAATATTATTTAATATTCCTTGTTCCATCTAAATATTTTTTTGTCCAGATGCGGTCTCAGTAATTATGGACCTTACACGAAAGGTTTTACAATAAACGAAAGAGAACAATGAAAGCCATATGGTGTGTACCGCAGCGTCAAATGGTCCGGCAACATTGTTTGCAGTATGTTTCCAAATTACTGACAATGAATAGATTGAGTAACAAAGATGACAAACAAGGATTTGACGACGTTCAGTGTAGACTTCAACACTCGAAATTTGCCAGTGGTTTCATTTGTATTCTTTAATTTGAATGAAGTGGGCTGCCACATTAGACCTTCAACTATACTATAGCTTGTCATCGGCCAACACCATTCGCTGATTTCTAGGTGTACGCATAGAGGCTCTTCCTTGCATGACTTTCCCTTGGTAACATGTCAACCTGCATGCAAATGCTTCCCAACCAGTTACTTGAATTCGGGGTATTCTCTCATATCCTGCCATTTCCAGTCTAAGTCTTTGATTTGTCTGTACCACATCATTTTGACGAGGCGATCTCGACGCGGCTCAGGATGGTAAAAATGTTAGCCAATTTGGATGATAACGAACGAAAGTCAAGAGAGACCTTCGGTAATAACAATGTTACCGTGTAGCGCGCCTTTGCTAATCAACTCTGGTTTATAAGCCTTTATGGGCCTTCAAATACTTGTATTCTGTGCATGACAAGAATTAAGAGGCATCCAGATCTAAGAATTAGATAACGCCTGCCTTGGTAGACCCACAACGTACAGAAATGTACCGGTAGTGGAGGCAACATATATACCCTAACGAACCATTGATTGGCTCAGTAGCAAAGAAGAAAAATACAAGCGTAATCTACCCTCTAAAATTAGGTGGAAATCTGAGTTATGCCAACACACGACATCGAAAAGTCAAATGTATAGAACCAAAACCAACAAACAGAATTCAACTACAGCGTATTTCCATATCAACCTTCATCGCAACTGACGTAAACATGTCGTGTTCATTTTTGCTGACTGTCTGCGTCGAGACGTCAGGGCAGGCCCATGCAAAGGCTCATGCATGGCGGGCGCAGAGCGATTCCCTATCTATTAAAAGCCTGGTTTCCATATCGACATAAGAAACGCAGAGGGCAACGCAATCACGATGCAAACTGCAACGCGCACATATGGAAACATGCCAATTGAAGCTGTCGCCGACAACGCAGACAAACGCAAACCAACCCGTGAAGGATCTGACTGTCTGCGTCGAGTAGCTGTGGTATCCCCATACAAACTAGCTTGCTGGCATGACCGTCGCGCAACAATGTCTTTTTCGCGTAGTTCCATGATTTTTTCCTTAATGCTTAAATATTACACCCTTATGATTAACTGAGTAGCTGACCATCAACAAAATGCATGAAACTGGAGTACAGGTTTGGCATCATAAGGCGGTGCAGTCAATCTGAAAAGGTATTTTCCGCAAAAAAATCACGGAGTTTCGGACGTCATTTTGTTTCATTTTTCAATTTTGGGTGGATTGACGTCATGTACCGTCTCTTCCGTTCGTGTCTGCGAATTTCACGTCTTGCGGACTGTCCGCGTTAAGCTTGGTTTCCACATTATGGTCGTTTGTAACGCAGACGGTCCGCAAGACGTCAAGACGCAGACAGTCGCGGAAGAGACGCTGCGCGACGTCATTCCACCCAAAAAAATTAAACAAAATGGCGCTCGAAACTCGGAAAATCCTCGCCAAAAATGCCTTTTGATGTGACATTGTGCCTCTTGGTGCTAAACTGATACTCCAGTTTGATGTAATTTGTTAATGGTCAGCTATTTTGTTGACGATTGCGGCTGCATATGCTAGCAATAAGGAGAAAATGGACAAAATGAGTGGTACCAAGCGAGAGAAACATCGTTGTATGCCCGTCATGCCAGCGTGCGCGTATGTAAAGGCCTACTCAGCGACTTGACGCAGAAAGTCGGCAAAGTTGAACCGGGCTGAACTTTGCCGATCCGTTTGAGCTGATTTACGTTTGTGGTGACACTTCAGTTTGACACGTTTCCATATGTCTGCGTTGCAGTTTGCGTTTCGATTGCATTGCTCTGTGCGTTTCTCACGTCGATATGGAAACCAGGCTAAACAAAGGACCATATGGAAACCAGGCTTACATTTTATCGACTGCTTGAATAGCTCATAATGGGCCATTTTTTCCTTGTGACTAGGCAATAAGACCTCAAACTGATAGCTAACCACAAATACCTCAAATTACAGTACACATAAACAGGCCTCTTCTACAAAAATTTCCGGAGTTTTGGACGCCATTATGATTCATTTTTTTCTCGAATGACGTCACACACCACTTCTCCGCGACTCACGTATGTTTCACTCCCATTCGACGTGGGGAAATTAACGACTTCGACCGTGCGCGGCGGTTACTTGACCGGACCCAAGTGAACCATACGGAATTGTCCGGGGCAACTCGCCAATCCTCTGTTGAGCCTTCTCGTTTTGAAGACTTGGTTTGTACAATGTTACATTGAAACACTTTGTATGTGCTTTAGAAGGCTTAAACCGAATAAAACACTACATAATCATGACAAGAAATGAAATAAATATGAAATTTAGCCTCAAAGAGGTTGCTAAGTTGATAAACTATTTCCATTTTCAATCGATCTCTTGGTCTTTTTTCCACTAAATTTCTCAATTTTAGACGTTTTCCCAGAACAGTGAGACACTGCATACGACAGGCCAGAATCTAAACTACACAATCCAATCAGTTCTATGTAGCTAGAGCTTTTTGTTCGACATTCATGAGTTATATTTGATAATTCAGTGCAACATGATCTGCGTGTTTAACATGCACAAAGCCAATCCTGCCACGTACCGTGCATGGTACGGTGAGGCTTATACAAGCGTACCGCGGCGTACATGTGCATGTACATGTACATGAAAATTCTCGACGGAGCCGGTGTAGGCCCTACACGCATGTTCATGTGGTTCATGCATGTAAAGTACATGTAAAACTTTCGATATATACCGTGAATTTCAACATTTCCTGGCAATGTTATAATGACAGATAGACCTCTGTTTCAATAATAAACTTCACGTTAACTTCCTGTACTTTTGGTTTTTTCGTTCCCGTGTCACTGAATTCTTACGCTCACAATGCCATAAGATTATGTGGAATAAAAGGAATCAGTATTGAGGCCATGTCCGAAACGGGCTTCCAGAGCTACGGCTAGGTCTATTGTCTACGCATCTCCACGCATTTCTAATGGAACGAAGACCTATATCTAGCTCTAGACATGAGATTCAGATGCAGCCTAAGTTAGGTTGATATGCAGGCTCGTCCGCGGTCGGGAAGAGAAAAAAATATAGCACCTTTCTCCACCATGCACAGCCCACCTTTGAAAACTTGAGTGAAACTTCGAATTTTTTGTTTTAAGCTTTCAAAAATCGCATCAAAAGGTAAACAAACTACCGCTCACGAAAAGAGCTTTTTACACAAATTATTAATTTTGACCACTCTGGTGCTATTTCTCAATTTCATTTTCACAAAACACGTTAGAGAAAGGCCTTGTCTTACCATGAAAGTATTTTGGGCAGGAATTTTTATTTCCAAGAAGTGAAAATAAGACGTAAATTACGTAAATGAAGCAGCCGCTTGCCTGGCACGAATTCTCATTGCCCTCAGTACGTTTGCAAATGACCCTAAAACTGGGACATGCGCAGTTAATAATTTCCCTCTGAAACATACGTAGACTGTGTCTTCATTTCATGCGCGCTGTCGGCAATCATTACAATACGGAAAGCAGACTTTTAAGACCCATGGCTGTATGCAATTATTTCACTTTATCTTTGTCGATATTTGCTTGTGCACACTCTGTGGAATTGTTCTGTTCGGTAGAGTTCAGAGATTTTGTTTCATGACCTGCAATAAAAGAAATAGGTATTTACCGTTTTTGCCAGTTGCTGCCTGAAAACTTCCTTCGATCATATCCAAGTAGTGAGCTTTACACAACACTTTGCTGTCCAACATTGCGAACTCTTCACCTGTAGACAGCTGACGTTTGCAGTCATCGCAGGCAAAGCATGCCAAGTGATAAACATGATTCTTAGCTCGCCTGACCCAGTCACTAGATTGGATAGTGCGCCCACATCCAGCACACTTGGCGCTAAAAGTCCTGAAGAAAGAATAACACATCGTGCATTTAGAAATGTGCGTACAGTGAGAAAAGCAAGATGTTGTTTCTATAAATAGTCTTTCAATCACTAACACAAAGGCAAACCCTGCTTTTTATATACATCCGTGTACATGATGTCTAAATTTTCCCCTCATTGTCAAACAGTGAACTGTGTCCCTTCATTTCATAACATTTTAAAAAGTTTGAGAAATCTCACAGAAAGTTGAACTTCCGCGTGTTAACAGGAATCTTCACACAGACGATTATGCTGAACGGCCCGTTTAGCACGAGTACTTCGAATGAAAGATAGAAAGTGACTTTTCAAGAATACAAAAAGAGGCCAAGGCAGTCTAGTATGTAGCAGGCATATTTAGGTCAGTTTCGGTGGAGAACACATCACTGTACAACGTTTGAGAATACAGGCGTATACTTTTATCCTAGTCAATACTTGCGCAAAGCGTTGCGTATCCGTCAAAATCGCTCCCGGGCCGATTTTGACGGTCGAACGCAACGCACACGTGTTTTAACCTGGTTCCCACGTGGTCATTTGTAACGCAGACGGTTCAAAAGAAGAGAAGACGCAGACACAAACGGAAGAGACGGTACCTGACTTCATTCCACCCAATATTGAAACAAAATGACGTCCGAAACTGTGATTTTTGCGGTAAATACCTGTCTGTATCGCCTCACAATGCCAAACCTGTACTCCAGTTTCATGCATTTCATTGATGGTCAGCTATTTAGTTGATCATAAGGGTGTAATATTAAAACATTAAATGGGCAAACTTCGTGGAACTAATCGAGAGGGACATCGTTGCAGGCTGGTCATGCCAGCATGCGCGTTTGTATGGGGCTATACTCGAAGAAGACAGTCGCAAAGTTAAACCTGTCTCAAGACTGCCGATTGTTTGCGGGTTGGGTTTGCATTTGTTTGCGTTGTCGGCGAAACTTCCGCTTAGCAAGTTTCCATATGTGTTTATATATGCAGTTTGTGTCTTGATTACGTTGCTCTCTGCGTTTCTTACGTTGATATGGAAGCCAGGCTTAATAATAATGGGTCGATTTTTGTGTCCGTGAAAGTGAAACGCACGAACGCACCGTGTACGCAACGCACCCCAAAAAAAGTACACACGGAAAGGCGCCTTTAAACAGAGATATTTTAGTAGTTGTTTCTGTTACAAGCTGAAACAATTGCTTTGATTTTTGAGTTTCTTTTGTTTGAAATACATGTGTGCATCTTTCGTTTTTAACAACTCAAATAGTTTAGCACAATAGTTTTAGCACAATTTAGATCTCTGTCATTTATCGAATCACTTTGTAAAATAAACACTATACGTGTATTGGATGTATATTGATTAAATGAAGAGTGGTGGATGTCTGGTGGTTAGCTCTTCGCATTTCAAGACAAAATGATGGAGGAATTTCAAACCCCGATCACAAGTCAAGATTGGCATGTTGATATATTTTCATGCCCGAGCGAGAGCTCAGTACATGACGTCGTTAGAAAACTGAGTTTAAAAAAACGGTTCATTTCAGATGACTGTATTATGTCTATCGTCTGCAGATCTGAAAGGTATTTTGATAGAGAATGATCGTTGGTCCAAAACAATCATAGGCGTATTGTATAAATCTTCGCTGTAAGCAAATTTAGGACCTATTCAAGTGCACCATACCAAGTGAAATTATAAAACATAAAAACATAAAAACGAACATATGATATAGCATAAGGCATAGACCTACATCATGTTGACATTGGGGAAATGCAAAAGGTATAACGCTTACACTCATGTACACACATGACGAGTATTTTATTAGGCAAATGAATGTTGTGTTTTTATAATAACTTCATTACAGCTATAAAAATATAAAACTTGTATTTAAGTATCATAGTTTATCTCCCACTGAGTAGCGTTTTTTCTCGTTTATGAATTAATATTTAATCAACGAATACGCCTATATGTATTTGATAACAGTTTTTGGCTTCTTTATTTTGTAATAGATATGCAGAGCTCATACCAGGAGAAAGATGAATCATTTTGAAAAAAAGAGCAAAATGTAAATTTTGTGACAAACAGTCGAGCTCTCCCCTATCCTGAAAAATAACAGACAGTAATAACTAAATGAAGACTCTGTAGAGTAATGATAAGGTATTGAGTAATGAAAAAAAAGTCACAGTATCTACGCAGTAAACTCCGTTGATGTGGTTCTCATATTGCGCAATTGCCTATTTGGCTGGGCGAGTCATTTATCGACCCGAGTTTTGAGGGCCTACCGCGGGTAGGCGGCTTAGCGTACTTACCTAACAATTTACCTACAAAGATACACTGGCAAAACTGGATTAACCCCCCTACTATCGATACGACCAAATTAAGCCCATTACCTGAGGAATATGACTTCACATTTGGTTATTTCTGATTAGCGTTGTGAACCCGTGTATTTGAATCAAGACTTTCCTTTCCAGGCATCCGCCCATGTGCATGTCTTTTGGTTCGTCTCTTATCCCCACCATCTACCGGGTTTCTTTCCTCATAATCTCTGTAACTCCCACGAGACGCACCGAACATGCGTCCATGGAAAGGAACCATATATGGTGCGTGTTAGTAAATCTTGGTTTTTGTTCACTGAATCGAGACATGCAGTTCAAATTAATGATGGAGCGGAAAAGAAGGAATCAAACCCTGGTTTCCAATCTGAAAAGGAAAAGTGCGCGAAAGAACTGGTCTGCTTGTGACTTGTTTCACGTGTCAGGACAACCTTGTCTGAGCATGGAGGATTTTTTTACCATCAGTTGTTCAATAATGCGATCCTGTGCGCCACCTAAGCATCGACTTTAATTATAGTAAATGTAAAAACCTTTTGAGCCGAAATCTGATAAAGGCTGTTTGAATGGTCGATAGGTGTCACCTGACCATACTTTGCCCTGTAAATAGATCAGCTGACCAGGTTAGACAACCTCCACGAATGACACAAACAAACACACAAAGACACACATCCAGTCTAACCAGTCCGCTCTATGGCGACACATGCGACACAGTGTTTTCCTTTTACATCATCAAGCCTACCTGACCAAAGACCCGAAATACATGCTGATTGGTTAAAATCCAGACGTCAAGCGGGCGTCAACTCACACAATTTGTTACCAAGTGTGCACAGATATTATGCGCACAAATTTTGTGAAGGAAATAGGTCACAGCCATTAATGCGCAAAGCACTTTGGATACTTGCTCTCCGGATCGGAGCGTGTATGCATGGTACGCATTCAGTGCAAATTGTGTAAACGGAAGTATTGACCTGTGTTATTTTTCAAATGAACTTCATCCAATGAATTGCTCGACAAAAATGGTGTCATGTATTCCCAGCACCCTGTGAAGGTAGTGAGGATGAACGAAAGACGATCGTCTAAATATAAGCGCCTATTACACAGAATAATGGTAACCTGTAAGCACTCATGCAGTTCAAACGGCAAACATGTATTGCAATACGCAGTGTAATCAACGACTGTTTTGAATACTTTACATGACAATATTCACGAATGTGGTTTAATTACCCATTGTTCATGAAGGGGACGTGTTCACCAGAACAGACTCGGACGTTAGTTTTTGTGAAGAACGTTCAATATTATCAAGGACTATGACGAAGAAGCAACACGGGAGTCAGGGAAGTGGTTCGGAGCATGCCTGTAGTGTGACTGATCATCCGTAAGAACAATGAAAGACGCCAATGATGAATTGGGGCGGGGAGCACTAGGGACTTGGATCCGTGAGTGAAAGATTTCAGTCTACTTTCCTCTTTACATTTGTTTGAACAGTAAACTACAGTTTCCTGAGTTTTCGCTTTACAGTTTACGATTTGATTTGTTGCATTTGCAGGAAATGTTCCACTCGTTTTACTTCCAATGGTAGGCAATTTTGGTTTGTAATTCCTAAGTTTCAAAGCCTCTATTGGTGTACAACATACGATGACTTTTGTGATAAGGATCTATACCACTACGAAATGGCTCAGTTGAAAATTTGGGAGTCCAAAAAGCTAAATCTAGTGAGGAAATGCATGGTGAGTCTCAAAGCATGTGTATATCTTCAAAATAGTGAGGCTGTTATAACGAATACACCATACAGTCCCTAACCTAGGCAGAGGATAGCAAATTAGACAATCACACTGTTACCAAAGCAAACTATCTTGCCTTCTGCGGGCCAGTGTTTCTAATTATAACCCATAAGCATTCTCACAGAATTAATATTCCGGTTTCAGTTCGACATTTTTATTTACGCATTTTTCTGAGTGTTTATTCTGAGTATTGCACTGAAGCGTATTTCAATACCGGTCTGATATACCTAGTAAGTACATCACGTCATTTCCACCTGCTGATTTCCGTCATTTTTGAAGACCGGGGCAAGAATTTGGAAGTTCTTGTTGACTTAGGTATTCCCTACCTTAGACTACTTTGTATCCATAACAGAGTCCCAATTTGTCACAGTGCTTCTGAAACTGACTTAGATCCTAACGGTATTGGTATTTCAATAAGCCTTTTGTGAGTTAAAGTTGAATAAAATCTGGTAAACTGAGTTCTTTAAATTCACGTGAACATAACAATTTGAATTCTCCATACTAAAAACACTGTTGCTGTACATTGTGATTCGGAGCAAACTTTTGCATAGTTTAATACACAAGAAACTTGCAACAATACACTGTTCTCAATGAATAAGAAAGGGCACAAAGGAACCAGTTCATTCCAGAGATGGTGGTCACTATGCAAAAGCTTGCCCTGAATCACGAGGTATAGTAACAGTGTCTTTAGTCTGGGGAATTAAAATTGTTAGGGTTTCTGTGCAATCTAACAACTCAGTGATGTACCAGATTTTATTTAAATTTAACTCGCAAATGGTTTATTCAATTCAATTCTTTATTGTCCAGAAAAACTAGGAAATTCTTCTTGTTCGCTTTACATACATATTCATAACATATCAATATATTAAACGATGTAATATAACATCACTGTATTTAGGCGTTCTATTCGTATTCAAATGCTTTATATAATTAATATGAGACAATTATCGAGTGTTCACCGGTTATATACAGGAGTTGTCAAGTTGATTAAAGTTACAAAAGAGGATTCGTAGCATTGAAGAACTTTGCATTAAAGTAACCATCGTATGGTAAACATTACCGTTACGGTACTGGTTGTGATGACTTGTTGAGGAGTTCCAGTAAAGCCTATTGCACAACCTATATACAGGGTTGGAGTTTATTCCACACACATTCTATTTTTCGTGCATACATTCTACGTTAGATTGCTTGAAATAAATCTGCAGCACTTGAAATTTAGAGCTGATCAATTTCACCATATCACGACTCAATTCATCCGAGTCATTCTGGATGTAGTGTAATCACAGGAACAGAATGCTGTGTTTTCCTTTAAATGTGACTCTCCTGTATAATGTGCAACATAACATTTTAGATGGGAATGATATGCATCATTAATTCCTAAATAAGGATGCATATATGGGCTTCTTCTTCGGTGTTAATAGGACACATTTAATTTCCAAAACTAAACCACTTTAGAGACTAGAAAATCAGGTCCCCAGAAATCTAAAAAATTTCCTTCTACATGTGAATGACAAGCTTATTATGATCATGACCCTTTATTTTTGACGGATAATGTCGACGGATAATAAACTCAAAATTTGTTTAAGTGTAGATTTATTTGAAGAGCCGTTTGTGGATGTTGTAAATGCAGATTTTGAACCTTATTTTCTCAAGAAGGTACATTTCTCTTTATACACGCTGTGACTATTGTACTTCTCACAAAGATGACAGTGTAACCACGCATGCGCCGATTATAATCATATGCGAGACACCTGGGGGGTTGCGACATCATTCACATCGTTCACGACTCTTATTACATTGAAGAAGTATATGTACATGCACATGTATATTGAACAGGCTCTGTAAGTTGTGGCTCTGTCGTTAATATTTTAAATTAAGAGATTTTCGATTATACTTTCCATATTATGTAAGATCTCGAAACATTTGAAAATACGATATACATGTACTTACCTTGAATAACAGTGTTTGCAGTAGACTTTAGAGTCGCGACAGTAGCAAGTTACCTGTGTATCTAACTTGGTCAGACAAGCAGTGCAGGTAAGACAATTTAAATGCCAGCTGAGGCTACCGCCAACACGGAGAAAGTAACGGTCAGCTATGATTTCGCTGCAGCCATTACACCTCACACACTTACTTATCTGGATGTAAAAAAGGGAGAAATACCAAAATAAAAATTTAAAAATTAGACGTTGTGTTTCATAAAAATATTACAAGGAACTAGCCAAAGTAAACAAGTTTTAGGACATAAAGCCAAAGTAGAATGGTCAATCGATGCAACAAAGTATCATACTCGGGAGAGCAATTACCGATATTGGCTGTAGCTTTAAACAGTGCATAACGTTAAACAATGAAGACACCGCCTCACTGCTCCATTCATTACGCCACCATCGATTTGTTTGGGGGATATTTTGAGCCGTTTTAGGCTTGATTGATTGAAACAGTAAACATGTAAAATGCTACATTAAATTTAATTCTTGAAGGCATGCCATATGAACTGGTTGACTACCATCGAAAGAGCGTCAAACTTAGTTATTGTACAGCATAAGTGAAATGAACACAAACCGGTATCCGGCCACGTGGCGTCCATAATGAATCAGAATGCGTCTGACGTTGGCGTTCAAGTTCGACCTTCAGTTCATGTAAACAGACTGCGTTGTTGGTTCTACTCTGCTCACACAAATGCTCGCAAACGATAACTTTACCAGTTTGCCTCGTATGAAGGACAGTATTACCACTGTCTGACGGTGGTCATTTGGTTGTAATTATTAATTTCTTTTTGTTACAAAAGAAGAAGCGAACCAGAGATATGTGTTATACAGCACTTTTTTTTCCTTCTAGACAAAACAACCATGAAGCTGGGAAGCCTGATCACACGTTCGAGAGGGAGACACAATTATTGGTCCCAACAAATTTTATTTTGGGGGGGGCTCCCAAACCAATTTCTCCATTTTTTTCTCTAAATGAATCATTTTCTGCAGAGAGATAACCTGACTACTTGAGGCTACCATTTGAAATTTTAATATGCTACTAAGATTGATCTTAGAGTGTTGCTTTGCCTGTCATAAAAGTTACACGAGTTCAAGCACATGAAGCACCACGTGCTAAAGCACTTGAAGTTAGCTTACACTCCTAAAATTTACCCCACTGTAATGTTTAAATACAAGGGAAACACAGATAATTAGTTAGCCATAGTATAAGGCAAGCGCAATGGTGATTCGGATGTGGAGTTCTATTTGGCACCTCATTTTTGATCCAAGTGTGTAAGTTTTTAAATGGTAATTTTTTTTGTAACAGTTGAGATACATTTGACATTAACAATGATTACAAAAGATACAAGATGACGCATCAAGGGTTAGCTGATTTAATTAACCGATTTAAATCACGATTTATTTGAAACTATTTTTTAAAATATCCCTTATAGTGATATTTATATATAATCACATAGAGCCTTTCAGTTGCTAGCATTGACAAGAAGTATGAATGTACACGTGTTACACACAATCTGGGTTGGTAAGCTTTTTGTTCAATTCGATCCACTTGTTTCGATTTAAATCAGCTTTTTGGATTCAGTGAATGAATTTGATGTGAAGGATTTTTAATTGTGATTTAATTTCACTTCATTGCCCACTTCAGAGTTTGACATGGTAAAGTATCAGTGTACATCAACCTTTTATCCCTGAGCATTTTGTACCTACATGTACATATAGCATGTAATTTGATACACGTAGAATTGCCCTGTTAAAAAAATTCTTGTGAACTCCAGTTTCGGCAAAAACTTAGAGTCCGATTTAAAACCTGGTATGCACTTTATCCTTGCTACATGTACCTGTCTCTGAAGGAAGTATCTGTTCTGCAGGTATATGTACTGGTAGGTGTTATACTTGATGCATTACACCTGTGCTTAGACAATGTTTCAGGTGGTTTGTGAATTTAATAAATTACTTGATTTAAATTTCTTAATTGTCTTGTCTCCATTTTAAAAAAATACAAAAATCCGATTTAAATAAAACAAATCTGAATTGAATTTTAAAATCGGGTTTCTTTAAGGGAGATAAAAAAAAACGCCAATCCTGTGACACATATAGATGCTATCAAGTTCTTGCATTTGAGTCTGACAGCCACTTCTAAAATGAGCTGTAGGAAGCAAGCAAGAAAATAAAAAAAACAAGCAAAACCAGACATACAAGCAAGTAAACAGATGAAATAAAAAGGAAAGGGAAAGAAAACAAAAGAATACTTAACAAGAGAGCTGATAACTGATAGTAAATCGTGATTGAAAAGTTCCGTACAACACCGAAAGAAAATTGGAAAGAATGAAAACAATTTCTCTGTCTTGTTGTGACTACCTTGCTTCAGGCCTATGGCCAACATCATTAACTGTTGTGAGGACAAAATGGCCCGCTTTTCTTTTTTGATTTCGGAGATAAGTTGGAAAAATAATAGCTGTTACAAACTTAGCCCGTTTTCCCCTCGGTATTTAGTTACATGCATTATTCTTATCTACTGTATTCTTATTACCTCGGACTTTCTAAAACGGTGTCTGTTGGCCGATACAATGATACATGTATTAGGACATATGACACTGTTTAGGTTTAATTTTAATTTGCGCTGGAGCTTTCAGAACCACTAAATAAGCTCAAGTAACTGTAAAAGTATACAGCTGTTTTGGGTTTAACTTCCCCAATCACCGCCCCTTAGTCGTTGAGTATCTCCCATGTCAACCAAACTTAGCATCCTGCAAGCAACACCGTAATTTTCAGGAAGAAACTTCCGTTATAATACCCTCATGCATGTTGTTGATTTTGACAGGAAGAAGTAAAAACATTAAATGTAACTTATTTGAATTTTTTATCGTAATTTTGCTGATTTGTAAGTGACATGCTAGCAAATTGACAGTATTTGCAATCCTTTTAACACCTTGGGCACTGTATCGACCAAGAGCAATTCGAAAAGAAAAATGACTTAGTGGTCTTAAGCAAAACATGATATACACGAATAAATATGAGCTTTCCAAAAAGAGAAACTTCATGTTTCGTGTTTATCATGACTAAATCCCCAGAAAAACCTCAAAGTGGTATTTCAAAACTACGTGTCAGCTTCTAGCTTTTGAAAGCGATGCGAGTTTGTGGTCCTGTTTATCGATCACCGTGTACCTTAGGATGCATGTCTGACCGGCGTCCAGCTGAGAGGAACATTGGGCGAGGACAACCACTGAATTATTTCACTGAGCACAATTCCAAGGAATTTCCTTTAAGAATAATCGATGGAAGTAAACATGGTCTTTCAAAAGGTAAAATAACAATTCTTTGCTAATACTGCGTTTAAGGGTCTACAATCCATCCCCACAGCGTGAAAACTGTTTGCGAAATGCTGAACTACTATGGAACCGCAATGCGCAACGGTCAAAGCGTTTTAACACGGGTCCCTTATGTCATGAACACTTCCTGAAAGAGATCAAAATGATATTAAGTATACTGCAATATTCACCGTGATAAAAGAAATGAAATCTTAGTCTGAATTTCAAGAATGCAAATTTAAATTTATTTCGTTTGGCTTTACACTCTGTAAACATGTTATTATCCATGACCGATAGCCATATTGCAGTTGCCTTCATTTCATGCAGTTTTGCTTTGCTACCGATGTGCAGTTTGTATGGACATATAAAATATCTCATAATACAATTAAGAAAAGCTTGAAAACAATTTGCGCGTCCTTGCTTTTTTAACATGTTTTAAGAGATATTTTCTGGTAACACTGTTTTCAACGTAAAAATGAAACCTTGAATTCGTCTAAAACCTCCGAGTCACTGTTTCGATCACCTTTGGTCACTCAAGAATTAACATATACTGCGCTGAATTTGCCTATGTTAGGCTAACAATGCAATCCTTAATTCAGTGCAGATGCTGTTTCAAATTAAAAGTAACAAAAGGATGCATGCATTTAGTTGTATTTTAAATACATCCTCTTGACAGACCGACAGACACAATTTTTCCAGGGGATTTACGAAATCATTCCGAGAAGAGCACTTCCCACTGAAATAAAAGTCCACTTGTATGTCATTCCAATTGGATAATCCCCTAAATGATTAAAAGTTAAAACCTCGGGTTCAAACGCCGCAAAGAAATCAAATCATGAAGTTTGAATGAATTTAACAGATTGTACACCACTATTGTAGACCAAAAGCTTACGACAATTACATACCTTTTGTCGATATATTATTTATTAGTATTCTTGGAAGGCTACTAGATTTGGTCGTGCACTTTAACAGCAAGATATACCGTACTCTTCTGGGTACAAGAAGACATTTGTACATATTCTTTCAACGAAGTCCGACTCTTACCAACATTAGAGTTCCGAGCAAGTTCTTTTCACGTGTAAAAAAACGAGAGCGATTTGAACAACGTGTCTACGAAATTAATTTACCACATATAATTTTAAAATTGGTTCAGAGAAAATCGATTTTCCCTTGAGGTTTGGTAAATAGTATAGGCCTACAGATGATTCGTCTCCTAGTGAATTATAAGAACCTTGATCGTGAACGAGAGTGAAGACTGCAGTTCCGTTTAACTCATCTTTTCCACACTCCTTTAGCCTCATCATAGCCCACTGTTTTATAATTGCTCATTCTGTAATACTTTATTTGATGTGTAAGGCGTTAGGATACCAGTTTGAGTCAGAACGCTTTAAAATACCTGAAGTATTAAGGTTATTTTGTACACAAGTGGAAGGTGCCCGGCTAAATTCAAAACGTACGTGTAGGCCCAATAATTCCAGGCTGTTAGAAAACCGTGAACGGAATGAAGATGTTTAGTTTATCGAAAATTCAACTTCATCCAAGTTTTTGTATTTAGATGTCGATAGTATTGATGAATCTTACCGCGGAGTCCAGTGCCTCTTCTTTAATGATGATATCTGCAGGATGTGGCAAGGTCGCCATCTGACGCACAATTTGAGGCATATATAGTCCTACACCTAGCTCTGTCCCTGCTTGGGACAGATCCTCAGATCGACTCAGGAACACTGAGGAAGTGAATCTCCTCTTCTCCCCGTCTTCATTCACCGTGGATGTCTATTAAGTACATGGAGAGCAAACCTCAGAAGTATAGTCATGTGGATGGTGTAATCCGAAAATGGTTGCTGTCGCTTTTTCTACTGTCAGTCTTCACCACCAAATGTACGCACAATCCATTGCGAGCTAAATGCACTTCTTGTACAACATGAACGACTCCGGTCTGGTGGTTTTTGATGACTGAATAACCAGTGTTTGTGTGACCTCCTATTGTGTTGCATAATCCTTCAGTCTAAACGAGATGGGCGGAGTTATTGATGCTCCTTCGCCAAGGTGGCGTCAGGCATCTAACCAAGTCGGGGAAGAAGACTTGTCAATCAAAAGGAGTTCACTATTGTCAGATTTAACTGACAGATGCCCTGTTTTGTTCGTTTTCTAAGATATTGCTCATCTTCCCAAAGCAATTACAACCCTTCCGAGTCTTGGAAAGTTTGTCCAAAGAGGTTTTGTAGCCTGCATTGTCATCCTGAACTTAAACAGGATCGAATATACTGCAACCAGCTTTACATTCATGCGAATAATGTTCACCTCCGTTTCAAGGTAAATGTGCAATTCAACAAACGTAAGTGCGAATTATAGAAGGATTGATTTCTACCTACTCACAAGTAGGTAACCAAGCATTCGAGATCAAGGCGACCAGTAAAAATAAATATTCGGTAATTAATTAGATTAAGCCGAACAATTTAAGTAAAAAGACAAACAACAGACCCACTTTTCTTTATATCATAATAGTTTTGCCTTTTATCTGTCTGAACAAAAGAATAACTCGCAGAAATCTCACGCGGCTATCAAAATCCCAGAGTGGTGTAATGGGGAGGGATTCACGCGCATAATTATGAGAAGGGAAATGGGGAAAATATGCATTTTATGTCACCAACAGTGGGCGATTGTAAACGTTTTGCAAATTGATGACAGGCATTATGCGAAGAGCCTTTAGTTACAATGCATGCAATATTGTGGCTTCGTAGAAATCCCTCACATTCATCCCGAAGTCTTCATGGGTACTGTCGATTGCAATATCCCAAGCGCTTGATATTGGCTACCTACGCGAGGAAGGTTTTTCTGACAAGAATTTGAGACGTATCGCAGCCGCATTTGTTAGGTCCAGATCTTTCTTGATGACCACACAAAAGAATTAATATGTTGGGGTTAACGTGAAGTATAATGATTCAACAGCCGATTTAAGAGTCACTGCACATGTTGATTATTCTTGTTGACTTACAACTAAGTAAGTATTCGAAAAACCAGGAGCTAAAAATGCCCCGGGAGAGTTAACACCTGCCTAGGTAGATGGCCCCGCTTATGAGGTAGGCTTACCGCCACGATAATTGGTGGAATTGCTTTTTTTTTTCAATAAAGGAAACAAAATTACCACTTAAAGTGCATAACTACTTCGATGGAACCATGACGTGTAGGGAGGGGGGACATTTTTTATTTTTGTCACATGAATAGATAGATGGAATTGGAGTCGTACGCTAGCCCAACAGTTTTATTCATTTGGGAAGGGGGATTTGACAGCAGGTATTGCTGCACGTGTATACTGTGTAAGAGAATCCCCTGAATAGTGAATATCGTTCGTTACTATTTTGAGATGTTCCTTCATCGATGTCTGCGAAGAAATGCGAAGAAGTAAATACCCTCTACGTTTTAAAATGACCGCATTCTCTAACATCTCAAGTCAAAGCTGCTCTGTTATGTTACGTATTGTTTTCTCACGCAGAGGACGGCAACTATGTGCTCATGTTGCTGCGGCGCACGTGTAACGATTGACTTAACATGAAGCGAAGTGCCACTTGATCATGTTGTTCTTTTGACACAGAAACGCGCTAAGACGTTTTAGGAAGGCCGTTCGTTTCATTTTTACCTCTTTTTTCGATAATAATGATCAGTCTTTGGATTCCTGTTATAGTTTAACCATTCTGTTATTTATATCAAAGCTTTCTGAAACCTTTTCACATTAAATGACTTTAAGCATTTTCCTCATAATGTGACAAAAACAGTGGGTCAAAAGTTTACATACACCAAAATGACTTGCTGCATGAAAAGCTTAGAATATTCTGAAATGGCCTCGTATCACTGTATTGTGTCCCGGCTGATTATAATTGTACAAAAGGGCCTGGGTTTCCAGAGGCATTACTTTCACTCCCATTATGATGCACGATTTGAAGCATGGAGGGACCCCTCCCTCATTTTTGTCTTCTTTTGTGTCGTGGGTATCTCGGGAATCCTCTCGGATATTCAGGAGGAGTGCAGTAGGTTCAATAGCCTTGGGTATACAGCTTATATGCATCATAGTTGTTTGAGGGTCTCCCTTCCCTACTTACCGTGTGGTGTACCTCTACTTAAGCCAGCATATAAGGAAAGCAACAGAATACTTTCATGAGGAATACTGTCAAGACCTGAGGAAGAGCATTGGCTATAGTTGCACAAGTCAGGGACAAATTATTTAGACAACTAGAAGAACCACGTACGGAAATCTGTCCAGGCGATTTGCAGAAATACAGCGACCTATAGGTACAACCAAGACCCGTCCAAGATCAGGCCGGACGTCTAATTTAACACCAACCGATAAGAGGACCTTCGTCAGAAAGGTTCAACTTCAAGATTACCAAGAAACACCTGTGCCAAGAATTTGAGGTTTCAAGGACGAGGGCGTCACAGTTAAAGAATCCAGATAGTCCTTCATTGAAACAAACTACAAGTATGCAGAGCAAGGAAAGCCCCTCTTTCAAAACACCCACGCGCTGAAGCCAGGCCGGCATATGCAGCCACAATATTGCCAGCAGTGCGTTTGGTGAATGAAAGAAGGGAGAGGCTTTCTAACCGAAGAACATAATACTCGTGGTGAAGTAATACAATCCAATTTAATCGCATGCAATTTCATGGGGGAGTTTGAGTTTATCAGAAGATAATCTAAAATTACACTATGTCCATGCGCCTATCTGCTACAAATGATAAACCTGCACCAATCTGCCTGGAAACACACCAGAGAGATTCTCCAAGTTCTCCAAGTAGTATGCTATGGACTAATTAAGTCACGGTGATGTGAGCGTACACACTGACTGCGACACCTCTTTTGCTCATTTTACAGCGGGTAGTTGTTAAGTCGAAAACCGTGAATGGATTTCTCGTTGACTGTACAGGAGCTGAAGAAAATCGTGTTGTCTTGGAGAAAAGACTGGATTGGGGATGACCAAACCTAGAAGTTTAAGAGTCTAAACCTGAGCCGACAACGTCGTGGCTACCAGGAGCATTGAAACATTCTCCTCAGGAATCTTGTGTTTAGACACTCGGAAAATAGAACAAAGGATAGAAAAGGTAACTTTTCAGCCTCTTCAGCTGATTAGAGGAGTAGCTACTACCCGGCTGCCGCATCTGGATACCTAGACATGAACTTCTCTCTATGTTCATCTTAAGTTTAAAACAGGACAACCACTGGAAAAAAGTCACCCTGATTATGATCTTCCTGCAGATCCCTGGAAGAAGGCGCCATTCCGTCGGATCGTTGAAGATCATTGTTAATCTAAAATGTGTTTGGCTGAGTAATATTCCTTTCGAGACACTAAACTGTGTGGTCTGCTTTTGCTCTGCCCCTCTTTTGACTCAGCAGTTAAGGAAGCCTTGGTATCATTACCAGAAATTAAACAAAGGCAACAACAGTTATAATAATAATAATCTGTTTGAATCATGGCTATTCAAGATAGGAAATCCACATTTATGATAATACATGTATATCGACGCCTTTGAATTACAGATACTGAGCGCCTTATAAATGCGTTGATATTATTATTTTCCATAATACCTGTCTTGTCTCTCTGTGGCAAATAACGGAATTACAGTTTTGTTGTTCAGAGATCTCATTCAGACAGATGATGTTTTGTCTAGTCAAAGGTTGTGATAGGAGATGAGTGTCGGAAAGACTTTTTCTGCTGTCACAAATCTTGCCAAAGGCCGATGAGTGAGGTAGTAGTTTATGAAGACTGAATGAAGGAAACTGATTGTTTGATACAAGCTGACCAGACCTTCTGGAGACCCATCTGACAGTTCCCACATGGTTACATCTTCTGGAATTAGAACTGTGGTGAAAACTTGTGGCGTGCCACCCGGCAAATAGATTCCTGCCGTGGAAACGAAGATCTTTTGCTTATTGATATGTACCGTCAAGATATCTCGTCCTTTGAATCTATTGATGTTATCCAATCGTTGGGTGGCAGTAGGTCCGTCACTGACATGCAAATAGGTGGCATGTTTGTTCAGAAGATGAAGGTTTAGGACAGACTGCCCGTTAGTAAGTTGCATTGCATTCTGGTATTAGGAGCAGCAACCAGACCGATGAAGGTCAGGTCTTACTTTTCCTTAATAAAAAAGGACAAAGTTATAAATTACAAAAATTGATACTCTTCCTATTGAGCTATAGATTTACTCAATTTAGTAAGAGTATCCATCATTTTTAAAGTGCGCTCCGCGATGCTGTACAAATTTTGATGGAAACGATGCTATCATTATCTGGCAGTTATGACGAGACGAAGATTTCCTGACTTTGTGTAGGCAGGCCTACTATAAAAAAAAACTGACTTGAACTGGGGTTTCAACTGTGATTGCTCCAGTATTTAGCATTTTTGCAACCCTTGGTAGGAAATGACGCCTTGATGAACAGACTCAGTACGTGTAAATACACCAACAACACTGAGTGGGTTTTGACTGAAAATGAATCATTAGATCAGATTCTGCCTCAGGAATCCCAGGATCATGCATGAATGATACAAGCTCAATAATGAACAAACAAGAAGCACCAGAAAGGAGTGCAGAAAACGCTGCTCTTGGTACAAGAGGATATCAATGCCTAGGGAAGATTTGCTGTTTGAAACTAGAATTGCCGAGATAAGGAATGACCAATGGTTTCGAGGTTCTAGATGTAATCAGACTGAGAAAATAATTACTTCTCAAGGAATGGGCAGCGACTTCCCATGATACTGATGATTGAACGGTACCACGGTAGGAGGGATGACATCATGTAGAGGCATATTGTTACAATGTGGGGTCTGAACCGCCTGTCCCTTGATGGAGTGAGTAGCTTTGGCAGCGAGTTAGCGAGTTAGCGTTCAGTTTATTAGCTTTCTCTGTCATTTCGTTAAATGCCCAAAGAGCTCACCCACAAATGGAACATTTTTCTTACGCACTTTGTTACGTACGGAAAACGCACGGCAGAACAAAAATCAACAGATGCATGGGCAGAGGAAGGTCAAGGAAATAATTTCAAACCACATTTAATCATAAATTTAAAGCAAAGAAAATCCTTTTTTTGAGTTAAACTTCTCATGCAAAACACTGTGAGTTTTGGACAAGCAAAAGAATGTTAGCAAACATTATTTACAAAAGCACAGCCAAGCAAAATTATACAGAGAAACATAATGAAAAGCAAGCCGGCAAAAACAAATTAACGGACAAACAGAGGCAAATTACATTCGGCCCTGTGCAGTTTCCTTAAGGAGCCCCTTAAGGAGCCCAAAAACAAGACGGGAAAGACAAGGCCCCGCCCAGTCAGTACCATGACGAAAAGAGCAAAGTCGCTGGACCAAGCACCTCCACACCCGCACCAGAACAGGCCAGCTCAGACAGGTAGGTCGGTGTCGAACCCAGAGATTCGGCTTCTGCATGGAGCCACGACACTCCAGGATCCACAGTCCCACAGCGGTGTCAGCCTCGGCCACAGTATCCAGCTATGAAGAGGAGCAAACTGGTAGAAGACGACAAGGAGGTGCCGAACCAACGCCGGCTATTTTAGAAAGCACACGCTAAGAGCATATAAGCAATGACTGAGGGCGAAGCAATTGACTACATGGTCAGTTATAGGTTTTAAAGCGTGCGTAAATTCCATAAATACCTTTGCCTGGAATCATAAATGTACAAAGAATTTGGATTAACTGGGGTAGTAACAACCTCATCAAAAGCGTACGAGGTGTTGCAAAATATGAGATTAGGGTAAAAAAATACCGTACGAATGCTGTCCTAACTACTACAACGAGTCTGTATTTGTGGCCTTCGGCTCTATATCAAAATATCAAAATCTCATATATGCGTACTATAAACTGTTGAAAAAGAATGATGAAGCAGCAGATATTTTAAGAGCCTTTTGTCGTGCCTGAGCTAATGAACCATTACGGAACTAAAAGTGATTACAGGTAGGCCAGCAAGGTAATCTAATACTGACAGACAGACAAAGAAAGAAATAAAACAACTGTTGGGTACTGTATGACACATGTAGACACTGAACGTCACCACTCTAGGAGTCGGCTTAAATGTGTGCAGGGAAATTGGAATACGGAAACAGAAGTAACATCAGGTCATAAAATGGAAAAAAATCAGACAAACTATAGAAAGGGAGTCAACCTTTTCAAAATGTTCAGTCACGTGAAAATCCTTCTTTATGCTACTTACAGGCAGTACTTTTTCCAAATCACTTCCGAACTTTATTTGAATGTTCTTGTGTTGTGTTTTCAAATTTAATTCCAGTAAGATTCAGTATCAGGTAAAAACCACAAACAAATTTAAATTTCTTTCTCTCTCTATTAGATTTCAAGCGCATAGATTTCATTCCTTCCTTGCAGAGGCTCTTTTAATACAGTAATTAACATTAGTCCTGTCCTCAATACCAAATTTATCAAATGAGTATACTCTGAGTGAGATTCCCTGTTCAATTCCACTATTTCTGGTAACCTTCTGAATGAGTGACCCTCTCATTGACGTTCTTGCCCGCGGTCTTGTAGTCCGAGGTAGAGTCATGTGGTGAGGAATTAGAATTATACCAACTTTCAATCTACAACGACACAATTATCCAAAAACCTTCTGGTCGACTAGTAATTCTTACAAATTATAGCACTTAAATATGAAAGTTGCCATGTAATTTTTCTTGCGCGTGATTTCCCAATTTCATTTGAAAGAGGACCAAAAGCTCTTTTCTACAGGTCGTCACCGTTTTTACCAAAAGACAAATTGGCCCAGAATCATGATTTCTTTTTCAAATTTCCGAGGGGTTTGCAAAATCAATGCGAAAAAACTTAGTGCAATCATTTTAAAAATAATTTACTGAAATTAGCCAAATCACGATGATATCCTTGTGGCAAAATTCAACTAAATCGAATTGTTTTAATTTCACGAATTTGTCTGTCATAAATACAGCGTTAGCAAGCAAGGGATAACCCATGGGCAAACTCGTTTTGCTGTTTTCTCGAAGAGAACAATTTGACTCTGGAAATGTATACAAACCTAAAAACTTTGCATCTGGCACGTGCAATGGCAAAAGCATGTACTATGAATAATTATAAAAGTTACAATTATTTTAAGTACAATTTTTAAAGGTAAGTTTAACAGTTGCACAATAGTGGAAATGTGTATGGTGCATGGCAGTGAGTAAAGCCAGCCTGCTTGCATAGGGCCTATTTTGTTGCACACAGATCAGTGATCCGTAGTTGGTTAATTAAAACCCGCCTAACGGATGGAACAAAACAGCGTTGGGATCACTGATCGAGATCAAGATCTGTGTGAAACAACCAGGCCCAATGTTAGTTGTGATAGACTGAGATTGACGTGATCTATTTTCTTCAACATTCTCCACTGCAGCTTAAAGGTCTCCCCCGTCAATTGCTCGATAAAAGGGATGCACACTAAAATATCATTCAATAATAGTTTATGCTGAATTGCATGTAGCGTTATGAACTATATTCCACCAGAAACTGTATTTACGTTTGTACGTATCCTGAGGCACTTTTAGAAGCATTTTCCGGTGTGAAGGAAATTGCATTCAACTCGTTTATCTCGAGGCATGCTCGTCATGTACCTTTTGTCACCCGAGTCAAGGTAACAGTACTATTAACGTAACATTTAAAACTAAATCAGATTTTTTCCCTTCAAAAACAAGTGGCAATTTTTAACTCTGAATCTGAATTCAGGTAGCCATGTATGATGACAGATAAGGTCTTCGGGTGCAGAAATACTGCGAATTGCCGCTGTTGAATGCATCTTACACTCTGAATGATAATCAAAGATTGGACCGTATTTTTTACTTACGTTTCGTTGCTTTATGATGTCTGATGTCTTTACTCGTAAATTCCTATACAATAAAACAATTACGACAGATCCTTAAAGTGTAGGTGCGATGAATTTTTCTTTGACATTTTTTCTGCAACTGTATACTCTTCTTCAATATATGGAAACTATTCTTCACCCCTATTTGCTTAAATGCATTGAAATACTCTTTTTAAATAAATTTAAAATAATCCTTGCTTTTGTGGACAACTGAGGGTGCTGTTGTTGTGATGTCATCTAGGGATAGTGCAGTGTATAGGTTTTTCTATTCAAATTATGAACACAGAATTTCCTCACTGCGAAAATTTCTCAGAAGGGTTGACTATTGCTATTGCTCATGTACATTACACAACAATGAATCAACAAAGGACAGAAAATTTAGTCCAACAGTCTTTTCAAAAGCATTTTGTTGTTGTTGTTGTTGTTGTTGTTGTTGTTGTTGTTATTGTTGCCTACAAACCAATGTAACCTCAAAGCTTGCTTTCTGGGATTACATCACAGTTTTGCTCATGAATATGGAAATATGAATTCACCTAAAAACCAAAAAGGCAGTAAATATACTTTGAAACTGTGAAGCATAAAAACGAGGTTACCTCCGACACATAGGTTCACTTTGAATGTTTGTATGAAAATAATTCTTTTGTATTAAGTGTTTACAAAATTAAGTGTAGCTTACACGTTCTTAAGGTCCGTATTTCCCGAAGACAATTTTGTACAACAGATCATTCGTGTAGTGCGGGGATGCTATAGGACCGGTTTTCAAATTGTTCTAAATGTTATGTTGTTAAACCTTACCAGTGATAGATATTACTAGCAAAGCGATTTCCCCAAATATCGTTATTTTGCTTGGCTAGTTTCTTCCTCAATGAAGGCGTAATTGTCTGCGTCCTGCTTGACGTTCAGCTCAGATATGTCGATGATTGCCATCGTAGGCTTGATGTCGTCATTATCTTTGCATCGCCAACACCTAAACCTTGAGACGGCAAAATAACACAAAATGGCTAATAAATAATAGGCAGTCATCGTACGTGGCAAAACACACTACTTCAAAACATTTGTTGCAATTTATTTATTACTCGTCAAGCCTTCAACCTGAAAACACTGCTGACATCGGCAGCGCATGTCGTCAAGACCCCCTGCTCGTCTGACGGTATCTCAACCTTCTTCCAAATATCAACTGTGCAAGGCTACATGACGTCACTCAATATGCCGCATGTTGAGGGATGTGGTGCTGTAACTTTTTTCCGCCAAATGACTCCACTACGGAAGCTTAAATGACCATCCATGTTACCGCGTTACTGAGTTAATAGTTATCGTTGAAACAGAGAAAAATACAATGGCTAACACTGATTTCAAAGATAGATAATTTCCGAAACACGAAAATCAACGGTAACGCTTTGTGAAAACACTGATTTCAATGATAATAGCTCTGAAGTGCAGAATTCAAAGATAACGTATCTTGGAAACATAGCATCGTACATGAAATTCAACTCCAATAACTCGGAAATAAGGAAATCATTTACGCGGTCATTTAAGCTTCCGTACTCCGCAGAAAGATAACAGTAAGACGAGCCATGAACACCAAGAACCAAGTGGCTTTTGGAGGGGATCTTCACGGACAAGGGAGGGGGGCCTTCACGGAAAAGTGTAACAACATACTTCTTGCTGGTTCTCTATCCTGTATGCGTGCGAAGTTAACATTTAATCCAGGAATAGAGGTATCTCTATTAGGAAAAGAGAAATCTCTATACGCGGATTAAATGTCAACTTTGCACGCCATAAATCCTGGTAAGTTGCAGTTCACCTATAATATGCTAGTACATGTACATGAAATTTGCATCAGCGTGAATACGGGCGATTCACAGTAGCGCGCCTCCGAGAGTTTGCAACGCATTGATTAATCACAGTGCGCAAAATATGCCGACCCAATGCGCGTTTGGAATCGGTCGACAGATTCAGGTTATAAGTGACAGGTGATGTGTTAATTACACGAAATAAACCTTGAATTAAGAAAAATCAAACTTACTTTCCAAATGCCTCCCCTTCCTGCAGTGTCTCCGGCAGTTTCTTATCTTTGGTCTCAGGCAGTAGAAATGAAAGAAAACCAGCAATCACCGATAAAGATCCAAACACAACGAACGGAAGAGGACTCCACAGTTCCTTCAACTCCAGAATAAATGGAGACAAAATACCTGCGAATCGTGCCGACGCTGAGGAAATTCCTAATCCAGCACTTCTGCGTGTTGGAGTGGGTTTAAGGAAAAAGAACATTTGTCAAAGCTCCACTAAGGATGGTGCTTATTTCCTTTCATCGGCATTACAGAAACCAATTGTTTGGGTTTCTCAGTTCCGGGCTGTCGCCCATGTGGCATGAAATACCTTTCAACTCGATGTCTTTTTATTTTGATTTCTAATCTAGTCAATCTAACTTCCTGAAACAAATTTAAAACTGAGTTTGATATTCAATAAATGGACGTGTCTACACTCCCAAACAAGAAAAACATTAAAATGGCTACTTCGCGTAGTAAAAGACTAGCATCTGTCGGTGATCCGTTGTGCATCTCTATCTTCCCAAGAATAAGTCGAAGGAAAAGGAACTCGTTATCTACAGTTTATGTATGTATATTGTTTTTGAGATACACGAAAAAACACACGCAGTGAACTGAAATGTCACTGTTTATATAAACCTGTCAGTATGTTGCGGCCCTTTCAAATTCTTAACAGGCTCCAGAGACAAAGAAATATTTATATTATGTGCTTGGCCGGTATCCGTCCCGAGCTGAAGTGCACCGCCAATCGGCGAAAGAAAGACAGGTGGTTACAAGCGGGTTCTTGCACGCGTTCTGCGTGTACGCAAAGACCATACATGCCACAATAAATTAGTAAAGCGTACTCAGCGGTCGAGTTCGGGCGGCCTGTTCTTGACACGGGTTTCTTGTTCTCGCGCTCGAACGGCGAGAACATGACTCAAAAACACTGTTCTCGGAACAGGATCACACAGCACCTCCTCGTCAGGGTTTTACAGGAACACACGGAAAAACTCGCGAGATTCTGATTTTTGAACAGCTGCAAAAGTAGAGAGATAGCTTCCAAAGCCATAGAAAATGGGAAGTTTTGCAAAATTAACATTAATTATTTTCCGTAACACAGAAATGAATGTTCCTGTTTATATAGAAAAAAATTCAGCCCATCCAAACATAAACTCTCGAATAACGTAGCCTACATGGACGCCGCCATGTTGCATGTTGCTTGTCACTAACTACCAGCGATAACCAGTTGTTTGTTCCCGGCATTCGAGCGGTCGACCCGCGAACTATAAATCGAACTGTTTGTGAACATACGGGAACAAGCCGCCCGAACTCTGCCAGCGTGTTCTGCGTAAAACGCGCAAATACTTGCGCACCTCATGGCGCACCTACGCGGTGAGTACCAAAAACACGCCCTCTTTTGTTCCGCTTGGAGAGGATAGAGCCTGAAAGTTGACCCCTGATGGCGCGCTTCCGGAACCCTTGGATAGGAAAAATAACGTGCAGAAATTTTAGAATTTGTAATATTTTTTCGTTCATTTATACTTCTTAAAAACTTTACCCTTTAAAAGGCCTTTTGTAAAATATTTGCTAGCATTGATTGAAACTGAAAAATGATCTGACCTATAGAGAAATATCTTGCCAAAAATTGACTTATCACTTCCAAAAATCCAAAATACATGAAAAACAAAACAATTCGGTGGTCTCGTACGCAGATGAACAATTAGGGATTTATAGTTTATGGCAGTCTTTCGGTAAAAGCCAAAATTAAAACAGACCAAAATATCTGAATGATTTTGAAATTTATAACGAAATAAACGAAAAGCAATAACATGCTTTTACAAACGATTCTGATGTACAAAATGTTTAACCAAACCTTTGCTGCCAAGAACTGCATCACGTTAACTCAACAAAATCTGGAACCCATTGACTGCACGTAGGTAAATCTTTGCAAGATTGTACAATCTCGTTTCCACGTAAGCACAGGGAATGAAAACAAACGTGCATGAACAAGGAGACCTAGGAACAATACTGCCGGAAGCAAAAGGTCGTTAATGATATTCGTTTTTTACCCATCTCCAGGTGATTTTTGCAAATATTACTTAAGGAGGATAAAGGGAAAATTCCAGCATGAGTGTTTCTGGGGGTGGTTTCGGTTAGAAATCATTCTTCCAAAAATTATCGGATGTGATAGGGCGGCCCATGTAAAATCCCACAGGCGGACCGCACGGTTCCGGAAGCTTGCGGTGACCTTTTACCTTCAGGCTCTATTAAATGTTCATGACCGGCTAAAGTAAGCATGTGCCTTCAAATTGGAAATAACAATAAAAGATTTATTCAAACTGAGCAATGGATGTTGATCAGAACGTGCATTCCGTCTAGTGCGAAAATGAATAATTTTCCATCAATTTGGCTGTCATGTCTATTAAACGACCAGGATAAATTTAATACATCATCAAACGATAAAAGCAATTTGCGAGACAACCAGGAGCATAATGTTGACGCATAAACTGATTCGGAACATGCCAACTTCATGTCGTGATTCAATGCTGGACAGAGAGAGGAAAATGGCGACCTGTAGATAAAGGGTTTATTCAGCTCAGCCCTCTATAAAGCAATGAATATTTAACATTCGTGCAATAAAAGGAATAATCCCTCAAGATGCGTGACAGACTGCACTGCATAGTTCCCTTGCATTTGCTTTGAACAATAAAACATTCTATTCAATTTTGCATCTCATAAAATCATTCTTACCAGTGCACTAGAAACATCTGTTTAATGTGTTATTACTATACTTGCAGAAATCCCCGTTTATTACATGTCATTGAGTTATTCGTTCAATTCAAGGAGACCCGTTGACTAGAACTTCATTTTTACTTGACTGCATGGTTCCAGTCCCTATTTAATACATTGTATGCCCATTAAGAAAGAGGAAACTAATGTAGGGATGGGAACCAGTCGATCATAAAACGATACTACCAATGGGTGGCACTTCGGACACGAAGTGGTTATAGAGCCCTGGAATTGTCGAACTGTTTGGAATTGGTCAGAACCATTTATAGAGAGTAGTAACAGAAGTATCCCTATTGTTGGAAACAACCTTGTAGGTGTATGCGCCACTACAAATGGATAGCTGGTATATCTGCCCTGAGCTGAAGTGTGCCCCCGTCGGCGAAAGAAAGACACGTGGTTACAAGCGGGTTCTCACGCGTTCTGTGTGTACGCAGAGAAGTGCACCCTCACCGACGAAAGAAAGACAGGCTGGTGAGAAATTTTCCAACCTGGCTCCTGCATGCGCTGGACGCGAAGGCCAAACATTCCGGCATAAATTCGTTGCGCGTACTCAGCATGGCCCGTGCCAAACACACATAAACGTACACGCCTATGTGGTGAGTTCCTACCAAAGGACCGTCATTTTCCTTTAAAAAACACAAACTTTTTTGTTACCGCTCAGAACGGATAGTGGCGTTCCACTGAGAGAAGATTCTGAGTCACGTGAGTTTTGACGGTCAGCGTCCAATTTACACAGAAATGCGCGTAAACGCGCGCGCCTTCGAAGTCTCTCAACATTCTGACGTACGTAAAACTGCGAATCCGGCTCGTAAGTGTGACGTCACTTCAGTTTAAACCACGCCCACCGTACATGCACTGCACATAGAGTTACATGCATTGAGCGCCGTTTACGTGGAACCCTGGAACCGGAAGTTAACGTGCAACTTCAGTGATCGTCCAATGGGAGCCTGCAAATCATGGTGCGTCCGCCTCTGTGACGAAGTCAATTAAGAACCGGATAGAAATACATAGATTTGAAAAGGCACGGGCCTCCAACCCCATTAACGGATGTGTCACGCCTTCTGAAATGTTTTTGCCTGTCGTGTTACGTCACGTGAAAAACCTCTATGCTTGGGAAACAGAAGCTCTACAATTTTGAGCCTTCTAATTTCAATAATGAACACACACATCAACTTCTTTGTTTTTGCATAACTCAGTGAATGGATGCAGTACATACCTGACTGACGTAGGGTAGATTTCGCCAGACACAACGTAAATAATTGCAAAAGATGCGGAAATACAAAATTTTCCGATCATAGCAATAACGAGTCTCACGGTGCCGGCATCTGCTCCACAAAGGACATATATTATCATGTCAACAATCAGTAAAATGTAATGAATTCATTCTCAAATGTTCCCTGACGGGCATTACTCCTTCTACATGTAAATGACTGTATCTTACAAAGGGTTTCTCTTCGAAATTTTTGGCAAAATCTCATTTTCATTCTCCTGAGCCGGTCTTCAACGTACGTTAAAGACCGGCCAAGCACATAGTTATTCCCCTATTAAAGAGTCCACGAGATGAAGTTTTCTTCACTTCACTTTTGTTGCATGTTTACACTTTCCTTCATTATGTAAGAGCAATTTTACACCTCATTTTTGGGTTAGGCTGCTTGGAAAGTCTATTTTTTCAAACCTGGTCTAGCTAATATAACAGTATGCTAGGGCCATCCAAATTTCCTTTACTTGCTTAGGAGCATAAAGCAAAATGAGCTGAAGGTTGGTCTCTGTGTACGCGTTTTACAGATATTAGAAGTGATAATAACACCTAGGACAGATCTCATTCCCCCCCCATTAGTTTGTACTCTCTTGGTGTCGAGAAAAATAAAGGCTCCTAAACTTCACAACTGGAAGCCTAAAAACAAAGTTAAGAAGCTGACCGTCAACACGGAGTTCTTTCAGTGAGTACATTCGCTTCACACGGCCACGTGAAGGTGTAATTGATTATTTGCTTGATTGATTGACCTATTGTTAATTTTGGGTGTTTCCAAATTTGGTCACAAAGACCTCCACATTATTTTATGTGAGCTTCCCAAACAACTCGAAAAAAACGTGGAACCGGACCACTTGGCTCAGATTTGAGGCTTCGGAGATTAGCCTAGTCCCGCTCCAATGAGGTGGACGTGATTACACCATGATTGATATGGCTGCAACACGAAATATCCCTACCTAGAAACGAAGTGATGACGCAAGCTACTCCTCCAATCAACAAGTTGCCACCTAGATTGATTCTACGGCCCACGTACTTCAGTGCAATGACACAGTACACGTAACATGGAAACTCCACCAATCCTGAGATGACTGACGCTAAGTAGTCATCAACGCCGAGGTCTGACGTACTCAAATTAAGCCCGTAATATACCATACTATTGACGAACCTGCACGTCAAATATAAATCAATTAATAAAGCTAAACGTCAGTCCAATATGGAAGTAATTTGAAGAACGCCCGCTTTGTTACTTGGGCTAAAACGCCAGAAGATTTTCTTTGTGTCTCAGGCTTATCACCCCAACGCACAAAGGTAACCAACTACGACTTGAAAATGGTCCATACTAACAACCCTGTAAGTCAGTTTGAGGGTTGATTCCAACTAAACGTGTTACACGATAACTTGCACTCCAGATGCAGTTTCGAAAACTTCAAAACATATATCCCAAGCCAGTTGTACTGCAAAAGTGCAATTTATTAAACAAATCCACCGATGTACAAAGGCGAAACATTGTTCAAGGCAGAAATCGATGAAGTAGTTATTGGCAAACTATAAATAACTTACGAATTCATGAGTATTAAATGATTAACAATTAAAAAGTCATCCTGCGGAGGAAACTTTGTATCAGATCGGGTGAGATTTTAATAAGGAACATTCAGTGATGCTGTTTCACAATTTGGACATCGTCGAAGCATCAGACTTTTTGACAACGTCATCATCCTCTGACGAATCACGTATACTCACCAATTGAACATTATATTCAATGTCTTAATACGCATATTCCGGGTGCGAAAAAGTCCTAACGCCGTTGCTTGATGACTCGCTGAGGGAGACTCCTGTTAAGTAACGAAGTACATACGTTCACTGTTAGGACTATGGGCACATTTTCAAGCAATCCTCAAAGGAACAAAGTTCATCAGGCATTGTGGTGCAAACTCCAAAGACGCCAAAGCAGCTCAGTGACTTCTGTCAAACGATTGCTGATTGCAAAAATATGGGCGTAAATCTCGGGTGTGGGGGAATATTTCCCCCATTTTTTTACCGGGGGATGGGCCGTTGGATAATCCCACAATTTTCGTGGTGAGGGAAAAAAGGCAGATTTTGAAGTATTTTTTAGAACTTTTCAATAACCAAAATGCCTTCAAAATTTTAAAGGGTGTAAATACGCCGGTTTGATACAACGGCCGGTTCATACTTGATGCGAAAGTGAAAACGAACGCGTATTTGTGCGGGTAGATCAAATAGTCACGCTGCGAATTTGCAAACGAGCACATTTTCAAGTCGAGCGAAATTTTGCTTCAAAATAATCTTTAGTGACTGCTGCACCTCGCCTGAAGTATGAACGGGCCTTATGGCGTGTAAGTATACACCTTAAGGCGTGTAAGTATACACCTTAAGGCGTGTAAGCAGACACCTTAAGGCGATTAAGTACCAGGGGAAAGGCAAAGGAGAGGAGTCACGCTCAAGTTGAATATCCATGTGTCTACACGTTTCAAGTATTTAAATGAAATTGGTTTCGTTTTGGTTGTCAGAATTTGGATGTAAAATCTGCCTCATTTGTTACGGCGAAAACAAGCCTAGGTCCTGTCTTCTGAAACTTTAGACTGGCTCGTTGATCATGGGCCAATGATGCTACGCTTTGAGACCGTGGGGGTATAATGCTCTTATCGGTACGGTAAAACAATGTGTTTTTGTACTTAGTATTCACATTTAGAATGTTTCTTACATTCTTTGTGTACATGCAACAATCACGGATATCGCCCCTCAATGCAACTCATTGGTGGGTTTTTATTCTCTACTACAAACATGGCCAAAACTACCTCGAAATAAATCTTGCACGACTGTACGCGTAAAATCCAAACAACTAATAAATTATAGGGACCAGTGGCTAGCGCGCAAAGAACGCATCTGATTGGTCCTTTTGTCTACTTTTGAATATTTAAACTGTATTGGTTAAGCCAATGACGTTGTACTTATGTTACCATACATGTCGTGCTGGAGCAAGTAATCGCAAAACTGACTCTGTGCTCAGCCCCTCGTGACCACAGTGTTGTTTTTAAGTAAATGTTTATGATCACATCTTTTGGCAATCGACCTTTTCGCCGATAAATTCAGCACTATTCAGGCAGACGCATAAATGGCCAAGGCGGCAAAAAGTGGTTAGATCTGTGCCCGGAATACGTGCTGCATAGGTTATATATATCTCCTTTGGAATCTGAACCAATCACCTGCAGATCGTCCCATATGTTGTGTACAAACCAAAACTAAAACGAACTTTCCAAGTCGGTAATAGATATACTACGTCACGCTTCGTTTACACATGCAATTTCCAAAGACAATGGGGTGGGACGCTATCCATCGAGATCCCACAGGAATGTGCACACGTGAACAAAGCAAGACGTCGTTATGTTTTAGGGCTAACAGAATGTTCAATCATTCGCACGTTAGGGACAAGGCAACCAACGTCCCTGGCACAGAGGTTGAAATACGTGTACAACGTCTGGGTGATCGCAGCAAGTAAAGGTGCCTTTAATGTGTACGTCAGTGCGTTGCGTACACGATGCGTTCATACGTTTCACTTTCACGAAAACAAAAATCGACTCCATTAACATAACACACGTGTGCGTTGCGTTCGGCCGTCGAAATCGCCCTGGGAGGGATTTTGACAGACACGCAACGCTTGGCGCAAGTGCTGATGCGCATATGGGAAGGCGCCCTAAGGTGCATAGATCGCTGAGATACTGCACGTGGAGAATACAACCAAATCAATTACCGACCACTGACTTCGTGTAAAATATCTGGACCCGTGCTGCCTTGAGGCACCCATATGTACGTTTTTTGGTGCGTCTGCTAAGCACACTTGTGTATGGACCATCTGTGGTACGTCTCCAGCACGCGTTGGCCATTGTCATTCTTTTTTTCCCGCTCCATGGCTGCCCAGCACATTTGGCCAAGCTGTACAGTTTGAGCCAGCATGAGCATTAAAATCTTCAGCTAGCACCAGACGGTCTTGGAGGATTTCGGTTCGTAGAATTCATTCTATACTTCTTCCGAGGATGGCCGTCTAGGTGTGTGGGCGGACACATTTTGGGTGCAGTTTAAATGGCACGAGGCGGGAAGCTATAGAGATAGGCTGTCCGATACATCGAAGCAGCTCATTCCTAAATGCAAATCCCACCCCATTCATCTGTCTCTCTCTGTCCAGACGACCATTCCAAAATCTGGTGAAATTAGACTCACGAATTGAACCACTACCAGTGAGCCAAGTCTCACTCAAGGTGGCAACAGATATGCCAGACCGGCAGAGCTTAGCATCAGGCCTAACTGCAGCAGGCTTGGTAAATCACAGTCGAGATGAACACTGATCTAAAGAGAGCGTACATAGCCATTTACACTAAGAAATTCATTATTATGCTCTCATGCACACAAAATGGCCTTCACGGTAAGAAGTGTGAGCGGGCCATTGAAAATGTGCAAAAATTACGATTTTAACATCTTTATACAGAGCACTAAAAATTCCACTTAAATTAGAAACTTGTGGCGAAAACGATTTAATGGGATTATCTCAAGAAAAAAATGAGCAAAATCAGAAAACCTGAGAGAAAATGACCATCGAAGTCGCATCCCTGTACATTCTCAATGACCCGCTCACACTTGTTGCCGCCAAGGCCATTTGTGCGCATGCGTGCATAATTATGAATTTATTAGTGAAGAGGTCTATTCAAGCATGCAACAGGTGAGAGGCAGTCACAGAGTATCGATCTGGCCTTGCCGGCCTCCAACAGAGCGATTTACTGATTTCGCAGTCTAATCGCCATCATAGAAGAGGTGCCTGTAACAATAACATCAGGAACCAGGGCAGGAAATAGAAAAAGTGAAGGAGTGAAAGAGTGCTTGCCCTGGACAAACTTTCATATCTGGACTCAAGACTGCGTGATCTGACGGAACACCCGGGGTGTGACAGCCAGCACAGTTGTGAGTTCCCCCACAATCTCCTACTGCCTTGAAGTTCGGTTCCAGGCCGATGACGTATAGGATTCATCTGCCCAGCAACCAGCTGTACCAGATAGACACTGGGCAAAAAGAGCACTGTCGTCCTGAGCCCAGCTACTGGCCCCTGTTGCCGTGCCAATAGATGCAGTTTGTAGTCGTGCTCTGGACCTGCCAGGACCTGTGCTAGGACACAGTTATCGTCTCCTAGGTGCCAACCATGACTAACGAGTCCCACCTGCCAGAGTTTGAAATCAGAGTTGACGAGCCCTGCGCCTGTCCAGAGCAATCTGGTTTTAAGGCGCCACAAACACGCCCTCCACACCCCTGCCATCGGTTTTAATCAGGGACGGGCGCTAATAGCCAGAAAGTAGGAATTTTCCAAAATCTGTTCGAGAAACAGGTCATTTGGTTATTTCGTTGGTGGGGAGTGCTCATTCTCCATACCATTCTGACAAGCCAACCCTTTAACCTCCAGGGTCAACGGTCTATTTCTGGATGTGAACAGAAAACCATTGGGGCGCATGCACTGCTCGACAACATGTGGAAGAGGATACGTTGATTTGTGAAGACAAACTTTTCTAGAATTTTTTTACATTTTGCTGTAAGTGGTAAATTTCCGTTTCTTTGGCAATTGACTGTTTGACAATAAGCCAACGAGCAACCTTTTCTCGGAAATGTTGTGAAAGAGCAAATTTAAGGTTCAAAATTTAACATGGAAACATGTGAACTGAACAGTGTCTTTCATGAGATACATCACAGAAATAGTGCCTCATTTGTCAGGAAAAGCTTGAATAATTTTGAATGTTAAAAAAGTTGAGGAAGACAAACAAAGCGAGTCCGAGCAAAAAAAAAATCATTGCATGGAACCCTTTTGTGCATCTGAAGCGGTTGGTGTATATGTCACAATGTGAGGTTCTTGTGGTAACGTTGGGGTGAACATTCTTGTGACATTTGGATTGTTCCCTTGAATGCTGGATTTACGCCACACTTCGGAAGTCGTCTGTTCACTCGTCCGTTTTGTGTAGAAATTTCAAAATGTTTGACAGCATAACGATCCGCTAATTTGTTATAAGTGCACGACAAAGATCAAATTATGCTTTCTCTCTCTTTCCTGAGTTTTTCACCTTCCTGTAATCTTCCAAACACGAATGTATCCACAAATACAATGTAACGATGCTACGCAGCATTCAACCCATGGGGAAAACTATCAAAGAAACAGTATTCAACTATAACGGATAACAACTAGCAAATGTTATGAAGTCCAAGTAAACAGCAAAAACTTTTACTGAGAAGTCAACCCATTAAGAATAAGCAAATGCTTGAATTTATATGAATAAAAAGTAGCATTTGCTTTTACTACCATTTTTGAAGCATTTACTCGTGTTTGTATGAATAATAATGAAGCAAAGCTTTTTACTTTAGTGCAACTGCTAAAAAGTAAAAGTAATTACTTTTTACTCTTTAAGCTTGTGCTTGACAATAAGCAGTTGCTTCATTTTGTACTACAGAATTGGAGCATTTACTGGGTGAGGGCAAGCTTGAAAACGAGGAGCATATACTAATGTTCAAAATGGCAGCGTTCATGAATGACATTCGAAAGGAAAAGCTGTATGCCTTTTGGAAGGAATCTCAAGAAACCAGATGCAGGCAGTTGTACCGATTTGAGAGTGGCAGAGCAATTTTCTTCATCAAGGCTTTTGCGATCACTATTACTGCCATCGTGCTTATCTGCCATGCTGAGGTCTCAAGAGCCGGGCACCGTGCTGCACTGTGTGTGCATTTTAATTCAATCCTTAACATGTAGACCGTTTTGTTCCAGTTAACAGTATGTTTTATTGTTTTTGCTGTTAAGGAATGCTTTGGAGGTTTCTGTGCTAATGCATATGTCCATTGTGGGCAAGAGCCATGATGTCATTTAGAGCAGTAACTTCAGTAATTTCTAATTTAATTACTAATTTAACAAACTTAAGGGAATTGTTGTGCCTGTCTCTTTGCTTTCAGTGGTTTACTGCAAACAATTAATGCATACAATGTTTCAATGTGAGCAACAATTTGGATTTACCGAAAGAGACCTCTGCAGGGGGTGATTGGAGCAGGTATGTCTGCTTTGACTATAGTACACGAAAGTCTTACTTTCTTAGTTCTGGAACAAACGAGGAGTATGATGAAAGGCTCCAATCGTTGACAGAATTTGCCAATTTAGATGAACCCCCCCCCAAAAAGACAAGAAATCAGTTTGGAAAAATGTAAAACAGTTCTAAGGAGAAGACCTTTAAAGCTCTTGGTATGGAATCACTGGTTGTGACCTGTAAGAAGTAAACTGATGAAATTAAAGGTGACTATTACACACTGAAATGTAAAATCTTTTCAGTGACTTTTAAAAGATGTATGAATTTGAGTTTTCAGCGCTAATTTAAGTCTCTTCTTTAAAATCTTGCAGTTGAGAATAAAAATAACCCCATTTAATTTCATGTTGGCAATGAACCTCGCATGTACAATCAAAAGAACATCCAAAATTAAATACTGGTGTATATGTTCTTCAAGAAGAAGCGTACATGCACTAGATTAATATTAGACGATACACGATGTCCGAGTTTCAAGACTTCTCGAAATAATTTTGTTTAGCAGCTTACCTGAGCAGTTCTAGTCACATCTGGACGGAACATTTCTTCTGGGAATTCCTTTCCGTTTCGTGCTGCCACCTTCCGAAGTGTCTTTTCTGCTTGAGTGAATTTCCTTTTAGTTATCTGCCAACGAGCTGATTCAGGCATTTTACTGTTTTGGTTCGACAGAATTTAAAGGATATGGAATTTGGCGTAAAAGAGATGGTTGACGACGTGAGTAAAATAAGGAGAGGAATTAAATGATCTAATGACACCCCTTGGTCAAAAATGGGGGGACATGTACCCCCATCCCCAAGGATTTACGCCCCTTTGTATAGCGTTGTCCTGTGTGGATACTGAGGAAGTTAAACACCAAGTTGTCACCATAGATTCTGCAGTGCACTCCTGATAACTTTTAGGAGGTTACTGTCAGAATGATTGACTTGTCTGGTACTTACAAGTACGTTAGAATATACAAGGCAGTGGGCAGCGCTATGGCGAGCTGCAGGAACCTCCAGTAGCGTACGAAATACGCAAGCAACGGAACAAGCGTTAAACCAGCTGCGAAGAAGCCTTGGAAAGAAATTCCCACCAACACACGTCGATGTGGACTGATGAACTCATTTACTGTTGACAATAAATACAATGAATCAAGAAAAGTCATGCCAGTGAATTTTTCTAGTTACATGAAGTGGTTTGTTTAAAGAGAAAACATTTAGGTACAGTCCAGGTATGTACCGATGTTCAATGTACAGTACATGTACTGTACATGTACATGTACATGTACGTGGCTTACCATTGAAGTTGGACATAGCTTGGAGTACTGCCGAAAAACAAAATGGCATCCAGATGTTGTGTTTGGGGTTGTACAAGACAATTAAAGTGCAAATTCCAAAGAGAAAGAGATGTGGTTCTTCAGATTTTCCAAGTGCAAAAAGCAGCGAATCGAATGGGTACCGGTACATGTACATGGAACCATGGAAGTAGATTAAACATCAGTACGTGATTTAACAAATGTACTCAGGTTGGCCCCAAGAGTAGTTTAGGCTACATTGATAATAATGGATGATGGAAGGGGCCATGTAGAAACTTCGATCTCGTGCGCACAAGAAAAATTACGATTTTGAATTAGAAACTAATAGCGAAAATGATTTAATGGGATATTCTCACCAAAAAAATGAACGAAGTAGGAAAACCTGAGAGAAAATGATCATCGAAGTCAAGGCCATTTGTGTGCATGCGTGCAGAATTGTGAGTTTATTATGCAGAATTTGTTAAGAGGTCTATACCTAACTGGCTCATTATGGGCCTCGAGCTGAACCACGAGGGGGCGATATTTGCTAAGCAACGGAGACTCTTTGGTCAGAACTGAACTTTTGTGCGTACTTTGCTGAAAACGAAACGAGGACTTACACAGCTTCAGATTAGAAAAAAAACACTTCAAGATTGCCCTCCCCCATTTTATGAACAAAGTAAACTCTAAGCCGTGTCTTAGATCTGCCCTGACAGCTGAAAGTTGTTAACAAGTGCATGTGTAGGCCTACGAACAATTTTAGTTTATGGTAGAAGTCTCAGAAGTCAGAATCAATTTTGTACTGTATTAGCTTACCGAGTACAAAGACACAGATAAAGGCACCTATGCCTCCAGCGGCTACGAAGAACCGTAGAATTCCATATATTATTACGTTTGGCGAGAAGACGTTAACCAGAGAAGTAACGAAGAGCAACAAAGAAGCAATATAGACCGATGGCTTTCGGCCAACCCTGCGTAGTAACCAGCAATATTTAGAGGAATTAAAAAAACATGAACAGGATAATTTTTTTAATGTAGTGTATTATAGCACTATTTTGAAAACATGTATCAAGTAAGGCCGTATCTGCTTAGCCTGTCACACTCAGGGCTATAATCACCGTTGGCGGAAGCAGGGGGGGGGTGCAGGTCTATAGTGAAATAAAGCTTAATGGAGCAGCCTTTCAACGGCTGATGCCTGATGGCCTCACAACCCCTCCCCCCCGAAAATCGTGCCGCCGTCAGTGGCTATAGTACGCAGGTGGCTATGAATCATACCTGGCTCGAAACGTAAGATTTACATCCTGTCTGCTTGTCATTTTACCTTTAACATTAATCAAACTATGTTTTGTGTGTCTCATTTTGTTACTTGATTCAAAGTGAATCGTATAGCATTAATTGCTGTCTTAGGCTCGACAGAATCAACGAATAATTTTAAGCTGTAATTAAGTACGCGATAAACACTTTCACTTCAGATCGTAATTCTATAATGTTGTTGATTTCACTAAGACGCACTATAATACCAAATGGCACTAGAACTTACAAGTCTGCAAGTGATCCAAAAAAAATGGAGCCCACCAGCAGGCCAGCGAAGTAGATGGACTGAAGAATGCTGGGAGTTGCTTTATTGTCACATACAAGATCAAACTACACATAAAATGACAGAGAAGTACGAAAGAAGAATTACATGTATTCAGGGATGATTTATATTTTTATGAGGACAAACAATAAGATAAAGTACCTGTGGGTGGTTGGATTAAAATACATCTACTACCTTATTAATTAGATCTTTTCAGGGTTTCATAAATCACTGCCATACGGCGTCTTGCTTTTATGTGGTCCAGCCTTCAAGTGTGCTGACTTGTTTCAGTGTATTGCTTTCAGTTTGAATGTTTTAAATCCTTATTAAACTTTCTCTTCTTTTTGTTTACCTTTTTGGCTTTTCCCAATAGCTGCGGAATGGGAATACTCTTTGTTCTGATTTTCCCTTCTTAATTCCCTGGTTTTCTTTTCTTCTCATAAACCCCAGAGACTCTGTAAACTCATCAAACTCGTTCACTCATGTCCTAGAAATACTCCATTAATAAATCAGTAGTGACCTATAGGTTGTCCCAGCCAAATTCAGTAAAAACTGGCTCATTTTCGTCAACACGTATTCACATTCGAACACATGCTACGATTTGGTTTGTTTTGGATTTTCTTTTTTCCCTCTTCTGACATTCAAATTCGTCTTGGTGCACACAATCTTTATCTTTGCCGTTCAGTTTCGTTTCCGTCATTCCACGTCAATAATGGGCATTCTTCTTCTACTGCATGTTTCCAACAGGTGTAGTCGAATCAAAACTCATCGACACGTATATAGCTTCTTTTACCCGCGCATGATTTGCTTTTTCGTTTTATAGTAAATGTATTTCTTGTTCTGAGTCTTTTTAATGTAGGAGTACATAAATGCCCTCTGTCTGTCTTTTATTATAAGTCATTCTTTATGATATTCTTGTTCCATACTCATTGTTTTTGATGATTGTGAATGATTCCGTTGTATCCTACTTTTTTGTTTGTTTGTATCTACGCCTTTTTCTGAAGTCGAATCAGAAAGGTTTTGTGTTGCTTTTTGTTGTGTGCACTGATGCTGTTCATGTTGTGTTTCATATCTGATTATTCGGACCATTTCGAAATATATGTAGGCCTACTTACAAATGTTAACAAAAGTTCAGGGAAACTAATTCAAGATTAACGTTATAAACATGTAAAGAACAAAAATGAAAAAAATTACCCAAAAAAATTAAGGGCCTTTCTCTGCGTTGTTGAAGGGAAAGTGTACATCAGTTTTTTTTCAGTTACCTACTATGCTCACTTTTCTGTAAGACCATGGCTGCCACAATGGTTGCACAAAGTTACGTTAATTAACAAAAAACTGTCCCGAGACCCACTGTTAATCCTAATCCTTAGGTGTATGTAAAACCATATTTAAATTTGAGCATTGAGGACTGTTGGGGTTAAACCTGTTTTCTTGGAAAATCAGATGTTACCTAGGATCCATAAAGAGCTTATCACTGGATCGAATTTGAATTCCCACAAGTGAAACAGCTTACGCATTGACTAAAATCGAATCAACCACTTTCTAAATCTTTTGACACAGGTGAATGAACAAAACGACGTTTGGAATTTAAATGAACTACTTCCCGAAAGAATGCTCCAGAAGGAAATGGAATGCCTGTTTTTGATTTTCGAATTTTATTTTGAAGGATAATTCTTTTTAACCACATTTTATGAGCCTTGTGTTAAACTGAAAGACTTTTTTGCCGAAATTGGCTAGGAAAACCTGTATTAGACAGCAAGTGCGATGTGTGAGCTATCACAGAGTCCCTGCTTCAAACAAAAAATTCACAAACCTGTATTAGACAGCAAGGGCAAATCAACTTCAACACACAACTCATGTTACACAGTTGCCTTGAGATGGAATGTTCTTTGTTATAAATATGTCAAATCATGCTATGCAACAATTTGAATCGATATTATAGAATTTTTTTGCACAATTGTAAAGCTGCCTTTCTTGTTTCTGCTGTTATGAGCAATCATAGGTCTGGAAAATGTCCAACGTGCCCATCGACAACACAAGCAATGGAGAAGTGTTTGTGCATGGGCCAATCAGGAGCTTCACTGAGAGTATCTACAAACATCGACCACTATTTTGTATGGGCGGTCAGAGTTTCCAGAAAGTTTGCCCTTTTTATGCAACCGATTTTGTCTCAAAATACGCAATTGTTTCAAAAGCGTTACCTTTGAACAATGGGCAAGGTGCTTTTATTTACAATTTGGCAGTGGCATTTGTTATTTAGTTTTGTAATAAATGTCTGAGATGATGGGTACTGTGGATTGTGAGTTTTTGTGACGACGGGGCCCATAGAATGGCTCTGGATTCTGATCAACTTAATTTTGGACTCTGCACTAAAAAATGATTTTGTGTGATCACTGCCAATCCTGTCTGAACATATTTAAAGAAATAAATGAATGAAAAGAAAGTCTTATAAAGGTGCAGAGTGACAATACAATGCAATTCAATGTAATTCAAATTTCTCAAGATAATTATCAACACCCCCCTCCCAGAATAAATGAAAAGAAAGTTCAATTTAGTACCTGGCGTAAATAAAGTCGCTCGTGCCAACTTTCATGAGACAATTTTGTTTGCAATAAAAAAAGAGACAACATCGTTTGATCCAGGGTGCTTTCTATGGTAGATCCACTACATTGACTATAGGACAAAGGAAGACTGACTAGTTGCTGAATTGAATGCCTAGTATCATATCAGTTAATGCCAAAGGCCACTCATTCGCCAGGATACACGCGATATCCTCTTAGGAAGCATGCCATTATGCCCGAGTTTTCGGTAAAAAAGTGCCTCAGGAAGGGACCCGGTGCCCGCTCACCAGTTTAATCTAGCCGAGAGCACCTCCAATCCTGTTCGACCGCGGGGAGCATACCCCTATATGGAAATGTCTGGCCACATGAAAAATTAAGCGCGTTTTCATGTACGTGCGTGGTAAGTGAAACTATTATGTACGTACGTTAAAGTATCGAGTACGTACGTGATAGTTTTCACGTACATATATATAAGAGAAAGAAATATTTTGATGTGTGTGACGTTCAGCCCTTTCTGTATTCCCACACAATACTCTACATCAAAACTTTTCTACACAAGGACGGAAGGGCCATAACCATAAAAAACCAAGCAACGCTTCAGTATAGTTGAATTTGGGTACCTCTGTTAAGATCGTTGTCTTGTACTGAGTTGTGTCATACACCCAGGCATGTGTATCACTCTCTGTTGTGGGGCATTTGATGGTGTCGTTGCTGTAGTTGGAAACATTCAGTCTCATCGTGAAGGTGATATTCAGCACGTCGTACATTTCGCAGCTGCGGTACACTTCTTGACCTTTTTCTATTTTGAAAGGAATAGATGCATTGCGTTTTGCTAGAAGACATTCCCAGTCGTCTGGTAGGCCATCTACGCTGCAATTGGCATCATTCCAGTTGGGCACACGGCACCAATGGTCCGCCTTTCCTCCCATGAAGACCTGAGCTAGGGTATGCGCACCTGTCATAATACCAATCAGTGGAGCCCAAACGCATAATACCTTCTGCCATTTTCCAAAACCACCAATGACCTCAAGTATGTCGTCAAAGTTACGTGATTTTCTTTGTACAGCGTCGATCCCAGTGTTCTCTTGCTGAATTTCAACAGAAGTTTGGTTTTCTTCAGGCATTTTGATGAATGTGTAATCATATTTCAAAAAATAAAACTCTGAGAAATGTTACACCGATTTGACCATTTATCAGTTTGGTAATTTGACAATATCTACGGACTTTGATCAGACGAATTCACTTCTTATCACATCTCATCTGCTGAACTTTAATCTTTTCATTCTTGTTTCTCATTCTGCGATGGCTTCGGTGACCTAAAATACAAATCGAAAAAGGAGGACCAGCCATTTCGACTTTAGCAGATTCTTCATGAAAGGCAAAATTACAAGTAGACAGAGTGGAAGTAATCAACCAAAAAAGGCAGAATGCAGGGAGACAAGGGATGGGGAGGTTGAGAATACTAGGCCTAGGGCCTATGGGGCCAAAAATAGACCCCAAGAAGGGTGTATTATCTGCAAAGGCAAGGGAGACAAACGATTGTTCACTAGTAGTTCTTTTCTTGGTTGTTTGCATGAGGCCATGTTGTTAAACAGTCTGAAGGCAGCTTTTGTCTGGGGGGTTGTTCTATTTCTGTATTGGGTTGGATTGCTATGTGCATTTTCTGTGTTTGTGAATTGTTTATTCCTTTATATATAAATAGATGTATTTAAGTAACAGATCTTTCATTTTAAAGTCCAGAGTTTGATTGTGGTTTCTTATATTTATAAAACATAAACTATTTTGTGTTCATATTTATTAAATTGTTTATTTTTTAAAATCTAATTAGTTTAGAAAGCCCAATGACTGCTCATGTTCTCTAAACCATTTTTCTCTTGTATATACAGTACTAAGATGCAATTTAAGTAATAGCGATTTCATTTCAAATTTTAAACACCGAACATTTGTAGTAGTTACTTAAATTTAATTGAAAATTTAAACTGTTTTTGTTGACAGGAATCTTTTCCTTTTAGGCAGTCCGTGGGTAGCTGATCAGATACTTTGTAGAAGTTTTTGAACGTCTTATCCCCGGAAATGAAATCCAAGACTTCTCCCCATACTGAGGCGAACGGCATCTTTGTAGAGTCCTAGTGATTATACGCCCTTCCAGAAATGGAAGGGGAATCCATTCGCCCGGTGTTGACCGTAGATCTGTGGCCACAGAACCGCTTCTTCAGAGTGTGCGTACTCTCCGGCTCCATCAACACATCATAAATACTGCAGACCCTGCAGGAGGTGTATGTTAACATTTTAAGGTAGAAGAGCTATTCGCTCTTTGCGCGCTGGTGCCATAGGCACGCAGAGCCTCGATCTGGCAGCTTTACACATTGAAATTGGTTCAGTGATTTGCGTTGCTTAGTAATTTTGCGCGTGCTGCGTTAGTTCTTATACCATGCAATTGGACAATGGTATATTTAAAAAACCTGCGTTGACGCGGCAGCGTGCAAAGAGCGAATACAAGTTATTTTGCTTTGAATCCTGCTGTGGATGGTAACGGAGGAGTATTTAGAAAATGTGTCTGATTCCCAGATAAGTTCCGGCAAAAGCAGCACATTTGTTGGGGTCAGACTTGAATGTGTCTGTGTTCAGGAATGGAAGGCCGTGCATCCAAAGGAGAGACCTTGGCACAAACGATCAGGTCCCGTATAGGTTGTTTCCGCCAACTGACACTGACAAAAGCGATTTGTCAGTGGTGGCAATTAATGGCAAGGCAAATCTAGTTGTCTATATTTATTTTGCGGAGGGGGCGCAGGGGTCAAAAGTGGTAACCAGAAAATCTTGGGACTGGTTTGTTCAGGGGGAGGTCTTGTCGTTGAGACAAATCAACGCAATCAGAATCATATGGTGTACTATTTACGACACACATTTCTACCTCTTTCAAGGCAACGAAAATGCTAGACGCGACGGCACGACGGCTCCCTTGCATCGTGCAGTCGCGTTGCGTCGTCGCCTTCATGCCATTTTGTTTGTACATGCACGACGCGTCGTGCCGTCGCGTCGTCGCCCGCCGCGTGGTGTTGTTTTACGTCCTTTCGATGTTGCAAGTTTCTGCCCAAACGTCACTCCTTTATGGTGTACTATTTACGACACATTTCTGCCTCTTCCAATGCGACGTAACTACACGACGTGACAGCACGACGGTACCCTTGCATCGTGCCATCGCGTTGCACCATTGTAAGCTTGCCATTACCTTTGTACATACACGCTGCATAGCGTCATGCGTCTTGTCGTGCCGCCGCCCGTCGCATCGTACTGTCTTACATGCTTTCCTTGTTGCATTTTTTAATCTAAACGTCGCTCCTTCCGTCACCGTCGCGTCGCACCGTCGTGTGTCTCGTCACCTGTCACCTGACACACGACACGATGTATGACGCGACGTGTGCTTTCGCCCTTTGCTTCATGGTGTTTAAAGAGGGCGCCTTTACTGTTTTTCCTTATTGTGTTCTATAGCCGCCAAAATTGCGTTGCGTCGTCCCGTCGCTCCGACGGCACAACGCGACGCTACGACAGCTCTGTCGCGTCGTGCCGTCGATTCGTGGCATCGCCACCTTTCTTGTTACTTTTATATGGTGTTCTACAGCCGCCAAATGTGTGTCGTGTCGTTCCGTCGCTCCGACGCTACGAGGCACTACGACAGCTTTGCCGCGTCGTGCCGTCGCGTTGTGGCGTCGGCTCCTTTCTCATTACTTTTATGCTGCGTATAATGCATTACGTCGTTCTGTCGTGGCGTCGCGTCGTTCCGTCGTGACGTAGCGTCGTGCGGTCGCGTCGTGTCCTGCTGTTTTGCCGTCGCGTCGTGCCGTCGACCCATCACGTCGTGCCGTCGCCCCTTGGCGTCGTGCCGTCGCATTGTGCCGTCGCACCGTCGGATCGTCGCCTCATTAATGGTAGAAACAGGGGCGCCCTTAGAGACAGAGTTAATTTCAATTTTCATTTTTCATGATCAATTTTCATTTTTCATGATCAAATCTTGTATGCCCTATGCGTGCATTCCACCAAATCGTTGGATTCCTGGGCCAGAGCTCATTAATATTTTATGATCCCACGGGGCTTTTACAATAAGACATGTTATAATCAGGAGGGATCATTGAAACATTTTCTAAAAATCCCGAATTTGGGACTGATCGTTTCCTCTTCGGGGTATTTCAAAAAGCCCCAAATTGCGGACCTATGTTGGATAGAGGCGGGTGGCTACATTCAGAGCTAAGTGCATAGTTTTACTCCTCTTGGGGGGGGGGGCATTTTCGGGGAAAGGTGAATAAAAAATTCACCTGCCTAATCCCCATAGAACTGAAACGATCTTCTGGCCATAATCTTGAATTTCCAGTGAAAATACGTGGCGTTATTTTGGCCTGATTTTGCACTATGGGCGCGTATTTGTATCACCCAAATATGTTGTATATATTGCAAATTGTCGATTAGAATGTCACCAGGTTGTTTTATACTTCCGTGCATTCCAAGCCTTCCTTTCAATAGTTTTTGGAATCTGGCAAGGTACAATTCTATGTGTTCAATCATGAATTTGAAATTATTCATCGGAGGAGACAGGTGGACATTAGTCGTGAATTTTCATTTTATTGCTTCATTTGTACTCTCAACATTCAAAAATGAAGAGTTAAACTCGCTTTCAAATTCAATATGGCCGGCCCCGTGAATAAAGTCTGTTGATCTCCATTGTAAAGACAGAATAGGTCCTCGCTCATTGTGTGTGTATATACAAAATGTGCGGCCGTACAATGGTGGCGCGCTGCGTTTCAGGAGGGTAATGTGATGCTGTATGGTGCGCATTTAGTCAAAATTGAATATGGCGAAAAAAATGTAATGCAAGAATATCATTTCTCGAATTAACAGACCATTTTCTTATTAAATAACCCACTCGAAACTGATAATAATTAACCTGTTTTTTCTGTTTATTGTGTTTTGTTTTTTCTTCATTTTTCACACCCGTTGTCTACAGTCTTGCTCGGGCAATGTTGTCACTTTGGGTCTGTGCAATTGTGATTTGTTGAGTGTGTCAACATTAAAGTTCCTCCAAGACCCATAACAAGTTTTACATTATAATGTCCAAACTGTCCACGTCTTTTTCCGTCTGGTGTCACTGAAAAACTTCATCAATTAAATGAAATAAAGTCTTAATTTTACAAACTCACAAGAAACATTGTACTGAAATTCATTCACATACTGGATAAATTTATTGAAAACCGACTAGTGTGAGAATCTTTGAGCAAAAAAAAATGAGCAGAGCTATGACTGTGAGCCAAACTAGATATTAAAAAAATTGAATTCCCAACTTGACTTAAGATTTACATTTAACAACTACTTTCCGAAAAGAAAAAACTCAGTGTTAACCGAGAACGACAAATTTTATAATAAGTTTCTTTTATTGCGTAGACTGAATTTTCTTGTTTGTTATTTCATTCTCTCTGTCTCTCGCTTTAGTTTTATCTCTGCCCTGAAGATGAGTATATGAATGCCACTCATATCACATCGTCTGTCACACGATTTGGGTCCATTGCGTCTGTAGATCTGACAAACACAAGTCATGGCTTTCTTTGAGATTTAACGATAAATTAACTATTCAGTTTTTGAAACCACTTTTGCCGATAAATAATATTTCAGACAGTCTCCACCTCGATATAGTAAGTCTCATAAACTAAGCCTGATAGAATGGATATACTTTTATAAATTTCTTACTACATTTGTACATAGGCTTAGAGTCAAGTATTGTTGCTCATTTTTGGAAACAATATTGTTTGATTTTGATTTCATGAGCAAATTTCCAAGCGTGGAGGATCAACTGCAATCAAAGTGCTCTTGCTGATACATAATTCCTCAATCTTGCGCACGTGTGAGATTGTTAGCTTGTTTGGTCCATTGTGCCGATCAATGTCCATGCTCAGTTAAGTTGTATGTAACTTTTAAAGTAAAATACTGTCCTGTTTTTACTCTCTTAGGATTCCGTTATTATTTTACTGTGTTGTTAAATATGGAAACACGCATTTTTATTTTGTAACAATAAGTTGGCGAAGAAATGATTTAAATATTTGTAATAAACTGAGGTGTAAAAGGGAGAAAAAACCTTTGTACTTAGTACAGTGTGCCTTTTGTATTACATTTCAGGGTGCTATCAGTATGTAATGTTCGTTACGTCATACAGCTTTGCTTTTCGTTGCTCTGGAGAAAAAAATAACGAAAACAACAACATTCCAAAGTGAAATTCTTCCGTTTTCTGTTCTGATTCTATAGATTTTTTAATTGTTTGCAATTGAATTTATAGGAAAAAAATAATAAAATCCTCGGCTCTTACCATTAATTTGTAAGCTGTAATCCCAACTACTGTGCGAAGATTTACTGAATAAATTCATTCAACTGCGTTATTATAAAACACTTATCCACCGGAAGTACATTAATTCATACATTTCCGAAGTTTCAGAAATAATACGAACAGAAAACATCCCAACGGATATTACGACTAATACGAGCTCATTTGTGTCTGCAATATATCTATCGAAATTCAAACATACCGCCTTTCGTTTCGTCCCATCCCTTGAAACATCTTTGTTAAAGAATATTTCTGAGCTAAGACGTTTGAGATTGATCTATATGACATCCCAAAAAACCTCTTTGTTATAAAATACGCATGCACAGTAACCTGCATACAAACCCTCACCGCCAACTGTCCATACCGAATCCTTACCATGCGTAAGCACACGCGCGTCCTATCCAGTCTTTATAATGGGGATCAATGGCGTAACCTGTATGGTCTTTGCGTACACGGAGAACGCGTGCAAGATCCCAGTTGTAACCACCTGTCTTTCTTTCGCCGATTGGGGGTGCACTTCAGCTCAGGGCGGATAGGGACATGTAGCAGGCCTTGATTCTGTTGTTCTCTTTCATGCATTCTTTCTAACTTTGTGTTTTCATTAAGAGTGAGTTGTTAAAGAAAAGTTTTTTGGGGGGTTATCAAATGTAATTAGAAAGAGTCGCGGGCAACTATCAGCATTGTCCCAAGGAAATAAATAACATTAACGTCAGCCACAACGTTTTAGCTTTTCCTGCTCGAGTTCTAATCTTTCTAATAAATATTTGTAAATCCATTCAAAGATACAACACATCAGTCATTATTGCGTGCTTCTTATTGTAACATGCGGATCTGATGAGAAATTATCAAACGGAGTTGAAGAAAAGACACCACCACCATGATAATATAGGATCTACAGTGTTTTATTCAGAAACACGGACTGATATCATTCAAAGTGTGGTGCTGTTGAAGTTAGAAAAGACTGAACCTATGATTGATGATGGAATATTCTGAGGGTAATAGTATAGTGCAGGCTGGGTGAAAACTTCCTAAACGCGAAGTCAAACTTGCGGTCGTACAATTGTAGACAAATTGTCTGGAGGAGTGAGAGAACTACTTGGAAATTGCCGGGATGGATCACAGAGAAATATTGATAAGGTTGCAAATCTACCACAAATGGGAACTTAATCAACAGTCTTAAAAAGAAATTGGACGAAAATTGGAACAAGGATCGACCGGGTAATTAAAGAGTGACGAATTCTGGGTCCGTGAGAGCAGTTCCTACTTACCCAGATTTTCTATTTGGTCTTATTTCGTTAAAAAAACTATGACTGCAACTAATTATAATACGGGTGATTCACAATAGTGCGCCTCCAAGAGTTTGCAACGCGTTGGCCAACAACGCGCTAAATCTGTCGAACCTTTGAAAACGCACATTAAGTCGACAGATTTCACACATTGTGATTGGCCAACGCGTTGCAAACTCTTGGAGGCGCACTCTTGTGAATTGCCCGTATTAATGAATGGATAAAACCAAAACAAAAAAGTCAACGCCTGCGGCTCAGGGCATGTATTTTGTGGATGTCGGACAATTCGACCGTTTGTCAACTCGACTTCGAACAACTCGACCGTTTGCCAAGCCGTCCGTTAAGAAAACTAGACTTTGACAGAGAGACAACTCGACCAGTTAGATCTCTTCAGATAATACAGTCGTTTTCCCAGTTCAAGATAACGAAATTATTCAGTCAGATTGCAGCTCTACAAAAATTCTCAAATTCCAGTGAAATGTGGTCACCGTCCACCTTGTGTGATAGAGATACCACGGTTACCACCAAATCAGTTTCAAATTTTGAACATTTAATTCAGACGTACGGGATCGACGAAAGTGGTGACACTTTTTCTCGTCCTGGATCTGTTTCGGTAAGTAACCACGCGAGCGGCAAATCTGTTTTCAGCCAGAACCATCGCAAAAAGCTTATTTTCTAATGAAAAATTCCTTGATTTAGAAAACTTGGTTCATAAATGGGAATTCCAATGAATTTTTAAAAAATTGGATCTTGTGTTAATTTCGACTCAACTTTTTCAGCTGCACAGCGCGAGCCATCAACGATACTACTTCGTGCCGCACAGCTGACGAACCCATTACGTCAGGTATATTTCTGCAACGAGATGAGTTCGCAAAGTATATCCGCTCCGAGCTGAAGTGCACCCCCAATCGGCGAAAGAAAGACAGCTGGTTACAAGTGGGTTCTTGCACGCGTTCTGTGTGTACGTACGCAAAGACCATACAATACATGCTGGAATGAAATTTAATAATAGTTCCTCGTACTCAGCGTGCTCCTCGTCAAACGCACATAGACTTGCAGGATTCAAGCCGCGCCTTTGCGGTGAGTATCAAAGTCCAAAGTCGAGTTGGCAAACGGTCGAGTTGTCCGGACCCTTATTTTGCAAGTGCGATGGACGGAAATGAAGGAAAACAGTAAAGGCGCCCTCTTGTAATAATAATAGCAAGAAGGCGACGGTGCCACGCGACGGCATGACGCAAGGGAGCCGTCGCGTTGTCTCGTTGCGTCGCCTGGAGGGAAGCAAGAGAGAGAGAGAGAAATGTTTGTCGTAAATAGTACACCATAGTTGTGTCGTCGCGTCTTGTAGTTTTCTAGTTGCGTCCCGGCCGATCCCTTGGATGGAAGAGGAAGAGAGAGGCAGAAATGTGTGTCGTAAATAGTACACCATAGCGTCGAGCTAGCCGCGCGCACGTACGTACGTACGTACGTACCCTGACCGGCCAATCTCATTAACATATTCATCATATTATTTTCTGGTTTACTGACGCCATCTTGAATTTACGAACGTTGTCATTTTCGTTCACTGGGGATCTTCAAACCAAACACTTATCTACTTTTATCTTCGGCATCCGTGAGAAAAGAGTAATTGCAGCAGTTGTAGGCATCTCTCTACTTCTTCCCAACTGAGCAGGCAAGGGTAAGTTCGAAATTTTTGAACTCTACGAGAGTGAAATACGATGTTATAGCTAGATGGTTACTCGGAGGTTTCACTGACATTTCGCACTTTCTGTGGTAACATTTTTTTCGAGCTCAAAAGTGAAGGTACGACTACGAGTAACTCACTTCAGTATCAGAAAGCTTTTCTTCTGCATGAGAGGATTATTACTTTTATATTCGCCGAATTCTGCTTGAGTGGAGTTTTGTGAATACCTGAATACTGTGGTCATGGTGGTGAACGGACCCACTGGTTACATTTGTCGACAACAGTAAATTTTCATGACGTTTCTGACGCCGAGTAGCCTCGGTCATGTCAGTTGGACCTGTTCAGGGCAATCGTGACTCTTGCGCGAATTCATAAGCAGGGGTCGAAATTAACTCGAATTTTATGCTGGCTAGCAGGAGTACCATTTAGATAATCCTACTGGTCCTGCTGAAAATTTGGTTTTCCTTGGTACTTATCAAACGGTGGTGTAAAACTGCAACTGGTATTTCTTCCAGACATTTTTCCCTTTCAATTGTGGTTGTTTGTATTGCTTGCACAAAACCGATTAATTGATCAACCCTTCCAACTACCGTCATCTAATTTTAGTCGAGTTTAATATGCGCCACACTTTCTATAAAAAAGACACGTTTCCATTGCCTCCCTCACACAATTAATTGAAGCTCATGTATTTACATGCATATCAAAAATTGAGAAAGAGGGTTTCAGCACGTCAAAAAAAGGACCAAAACCATTTAGCGTGACGCAGTACAGCCACAGATCGGTCCTTCTAGTTACTGTCTGAAATGGCACACGGGTACCAGTTCGGGCTGGTTACACTACAGCCTTACAAACTTGAACTATGCATGCGTGATCGATCGATAGACTGCGCGCGGATAATGTACATACATATACATGCACCTTCTTCTGCATTCTTGGTTTACATGTACAGTACGTATTGGGCAACTGAACAGTCGTGGTTTTAGAAATCTCCGTGTATACATCACATGTGTTGTGTACTGTTACCAACTGGGAAACTATTTTCAGCGATGGCAAATAAAGTGACTATAAGCCACGTTGTTTCAAGAGAATAAAGAAAACAGTGTGACATGCAATTTATTTACTGAGACCATTTTTTTGCACTGGCCCGCCAGACCGTCGAGTTTGGTGGATCTGGTGGTCCTGATGATTTTTTACTGGTCTCGGACCACCGTTAATTTCGACCCCTGATAAACCTTCTCGTTAATACCGCATAGGCCTAAGTGATTTTGCACAATGTTAGGAAGACATCTATGGGACTTTGAGAGGAAATAGGGGCAAACAATACTCCTTTGCCTTTTCTACCCTAAGCATGCTGTCACTGCTCTGTCATACTCTGTGTGACGTCGAGCCAACAAGGTTTACACAGTGTCGTAATGCTATGGCATTTTGGAATAAGATTTTTGTGGTGAAATGATTCACTGGTGTAAAAAAGCTAGGCATATTAAATCAAATTTTCCCCGGGTTTTTTTGGACAAACACTTCAAAAATGTCTCAGTTCGAAACGGAAATCTAGCTGGCAGAAAAATTTTTTCTAGAGGTTTTCTATGTCACCTTTTTAATTGAACTTGTTTGAAAATGTAGGACACAAAAGACGTAGCTTTAGAAGAAAAAAAAAGTGTTATTTCAAGTGATCCGGATCTAGGAAAAATCTGGAACTACACGTACGAAATTAGCTGCATTGGAGGTATTGGTTCTTGACACGTCAAAATGAAAGTGCTATGACAGAGATTGAAACCAGTCCAGAATTTTGTGCTTATGTACTGTACTATGTCTGGCTTTGATCACAAATGCTGCTAAGTGCTATACTGTTGTGCTGAATAATGATGGCAACCTCGTGTTCCTTCCATAAAGTGCGGTAAATTTCTTTGTACTTAGCTAAACTGTGAAGATGGAGAATAGGGTAAATCAACCAGAGAAAATAGCAGGGCGGTAATATTTTTGGCAAGGCAGCAAAACTTTAACAGGGCAGTCTGAAATGACTGGTAGGACAACTCAACTGTCTGTGCCTCAAATGGACAGACAGCCCAACCGTTGAGACAAATCATCGATTTAGACGAGTCGACTCGTAATTAGTGCACTTGCGCTTTACAGCCAGCTTGCCCATACCTTTTCTTCAAATTAAAAGAGGAGAAAGGGCTGGGGGACAGATTTACTGTCTCCCACACCAACAGATTAGCAACTGATCATCAGTGAGGCCAAGGTGCCTGTGCACAACGGACTGTGAACCTTACATGCCGCTGGGCTGTTGCGGCCATGCACATCACTGGTTAGGGTGGCCGACGGCCATCCACCAGTTCAATGCATATTGCGTCACCTTGTCCCTATGCACGCCATGCCCAGTGAATCAAGTCACAAATTTACACAACACAATTTGCTCAAACACATGATCTGCCATCTGTGTTAAATACCCCAAACTCTGTCATGTACAGGTCTTGAATGGTTGAGTTACCAGACAGCTTGGTAAACGGTTGAGTTGTCCCATTGGGCGAGTTGTCTCAACAGTCAAGTTGTCCTGTGTCAAGTTGGCAAACCATAGAGTTATCTGACATCCTTTTTTAATAAGGTAAAAGTTGTTTTAATTCAAGATAAGAGTCAAAGGTACAAGTTGCCCATGGTATGAGTTGCCCAGTTGTGCGAAGTACGAGTTGTCCAAAGTACGAGTTGATTGGAAGCGCTCAATCCATCATGGCAGATTGTAGTGTCATTGAACCAACAATGGATCACTGATCAAGATTCTGATCTGCATGAAACAAACAGGCCCACAGTTAGGCCCTGTCCCTTCTATGTGGTTTTTATCACAATGCGCTCCCATAAACTCTACAGAAAGAAGACATTTTTTTGCCACAGGTTCTACATGATATTTAAGGCCCCCCAAAAAATTAGTTTTGCTTCCCATTTCCTGATATACCATAACTTTTCAGTGCGACCCCCAAATTTTTATCAGTGTATTAGAAAAACAAGTTAAAAAAATTTAAATCCTGTTGTCTTTTCTGTCTTCACAAAACATCTCAACAACTTTTTTCACGTCAAATCATTTGTATTCATATGTTTTCCTACTTACATGTACATTCGCAAAAACTTCCATTATTATCATAAGTTCCAATGCGTTTCATTTTGTTCACCGTGAACTTGAAAACGTGCAATGTTCATTGCATTGAAGCAATGCTGTACCACTGCGCCACGTCATGACCAAAAGAAGGCACGATGGAAATGCGGCAACCAGTCTATGCATCCCATTTTTTCTCATAAATATTTAATTAAGCATCCAAATGGAACTCGGTGTTATTTGTCTTCCAAGCTCAACTATACATGTAACAAGCTCAAAAGGACTTTTTGAATTCTGAATGTACATGTAGATTGCGTCATTCGGAGAAAACAAGGGGAACCTCCACCCTGTGTTCGTCGTGGATAAATAGGGATTAATCCTGGATGTACGATGTCACACTTTGCACTCTGCTTATTTTGTTCAGGTGGTTGTAGTTTACACTTTCTTCAACAAAATGTGGGGCTGTTTTTTTTTTTAAATGCTTCTGGTATTCCTTATTTGTTTGGGCTTGTTTGCTTCCACTTTTTTGGAAGGAAACCTTTATTGTTTTCCACAGTGTGATCAGTAACATCTTTTGCATAGGTAAAAATCCCATGCATTTACACATACAGCAATGTGTGGATGGTGCCCGACATGCACAATGCCATAGTTCAGGACAGGCACGGATCAATTTATGACCGGACTGAATCGGGCTACATGTACCTTCAGTTACATGTAGGTGGAGTCTTCTGGTTGTCAAAAAGTCAAACATCAAGGGAGAAACAAAGTTGTGACGGTTAATTCACAGAATATGATTTTATCTTTTTGGTGAATGCATTCTCTGTTGTAATGTCTTTATTTTGAGGTGGCACTGCAAGCTTAAGACGATACTGCCATGCAGCGAAGTGAAAAATGTTACACTGTTGCATGTGGTTTTAGGATCATTGCCTGGGCAGGCCTGCCACATACACAGGCAGCTACATGTACCCACATTGATAATGCACAACACACAGCCATTGGTTTTCCATCATAACTACTGAAGTGGCATGCACAACTTAATTTTATTGGTATTTTTTATAGAATCATTGACTTTAGATAAATTTTTACAATTAACGCAAGGTTTGTCATTTTGAGAGTTGGTTTCGACAGCTTATGCCCAAACTCTTGTCTTGGTAGCCCCTGAAACGATAAAGTCTCTTAACATTTCATAAAGGAATTATTTCTACCTGTCTTGATGGACTAGGTTCATTCAGGACACTGATCATTTGGCCACAGTTTTGTTGCATGTTTCATGTACATGTATGCTGCAGCACACATGGAGTAGTTCGTCTGAATGTTAATGAGTTTACTATCAGGCATAATGCGTGTATGATGGCTTCCATCATTTTGACTACAAGCCCTATTTTTGAGAGACATGTAATCAGAAGCAGAAGTAGTTTTCTTTGGACTTTGCAAAAGTATGTATGTCAAGTGAGTGCTGTCCATCGAATTAATTCGAATTAATTTACCATGTGTGGCCCTGATGACATGCATACAAGGTAAGAGTGTTTGTGAATCTCACTTCCAGGCTTCCAGCATTTCTGTATAAGATTTATTTGCCATTTCTCTACATAGGAGCAACTTGCTTGTTCCTTGGGTAGCTACTGTAGCCCAATGACACACGCAGCAGAATGTCTGACAGGTTGGTAACAAGCAAAGGGAAGGATGGCAAGCAAAAGTACTCGTCCCTCAATCTTTACGACACCTACAAAGGAAAGAGTGTAGAACCCCAGAAGACAACAAGTGAGTCCATGTTTGTTCTCAGCTTGAAATGAATTAACTACTTCAAAGAACACATTATGTTCACTGTGTAAAGTCTTCATATTCTACAACATATTTTCAAGCATTTGGTTATGTCAGTCAGTACTTGCATTATCTGTATTCACTGTGCACATACATGTATCTTGTATCTGAACTGGCATTAGAATTGAGGACGCTTAATGAAGCATTGAACAAATGTACTAATGTACAGTATATTGTGTGCTATGCTGATGTCTTGCTCATGTTTCAAGTGATATAAGTCATTTTCTCTGTGGGGAATTTTAGATGTATATATTTTGATATCTTTTTGAATGTTAATATTACTGATAGGTAAAAACAACAATATATAGAAAGCTATTTCAGAATTTTTATGAAATGCTTTGTTGGAGTGGTGTCTATTAACTTATTTCCAATAGCAAGCCATGGCCGTGGATTGCAGAGTCTTGGTAAAGTTGGAACTGCACGTCGCATGCCCCCTCCAGCTAACCTTCCCAGTTTAAGAAGCGAAAACAAAGGAAACGATCCCAACGTAAACTTGGTACCCCAAGGTGGAACAGGATGGACAGCAGGAAAGGACAAAACAGAAAGGTCAGTCACCTGCTTTGCCTACATGGACATGTAATGTCTTTCTTCCAACCACTTCCTGCCGGTGATTCCGGATCCCGAATCCGGACATGTATGCTTTATATTCGTGGCCGGGGTCTCTGAACTCGGACAAAGGGAATAGGGCCTTGTAACAGAAGACCGTGCTCGGAACAAAAGACCAGGCTGCTGGGAATTACCGACATTTTTACACTTTCAAAAGTGGAGATAATCCAGCCTTGTTTTGAAACAGTATACCATGGTTTGGGGTATTTAGAGTGAGCGGATTATGACCAGGACAAAAGCACTCCACCACTGCAGCAATGAGCGACACAGCACCGCTGCATGCTAATCTGGCCCCTATTGAAAAGAGGTCAACCGCGCACTGAGCCAGGTTGGTGAACAAAAGAAAGTTACATAACACCACACAATCTGGGCTCTTTTTACAAGGCTGCAGGCCTGGCTTAAATACTCAGGCGTTGATGGATTTTGTCTGCCAGGCTAGAGTGGAACCAGACAGTCCTTCACATGGTTTGTTAGTGTGCAGTAAATGAAGATAGGAATTTTAAAAGAATTTTGAACTTCTAGCTACCCTGCTAAATGCACCTGATTGCACCAGTCAGTGTTTCTGCCAGGAAGTTCTTAAAGCGTAGTGGGTCTGGGTCAGGAAAAGGCGGGGAGCACTTACCCTTCCCATTGTTGCTGACCTCCAGCCACTCGTATGCCTTCATCCAGTCAGGATCTATTCCGGTCGTTCGCTTTTTGGAATGCTTTTGTAAGTCTACAGAGGCCGACTTTGCTCAGAGGCTGGCAAGTTATCCTCTTGACTTCCACCATCGATACTTTCATCGTTTTCTCCCGAAACTTTTTGCCTTTTTGCCGGGAAATAGAGGTGATTGGACATGACATCTTTGACTTTGCAAAAAGTCCAAGCAGGCGTGCACAAGCAACACTTTTTACAATATGCATTGTTGGTATACTGCAGCGGATACTTGTGATATAGTATATTGTCCGGCGCACCAATGACGTTAAAATTCATCCAAGTCCGTTGACCGTCATGAAAAAAAAAAAGTTTAGGCTGATTGTACTTTGCGTGAAGTTGAGCACTAAGCATGACGCGAAGCAAATTCTTCCGTATAACACTAGAAGACCTGTTATGTGTCTTGTTTACATCACGAAATTCGCTCGCTTTTGCTCTTCCAAAAGAACTACACGCCATGTACAGTTAATGTACATGCACATGTACATGTGTGTGCGTGTGTCTAGCTCGCCACCCGTAGTGCGCGGCCGTCAGTTACAGTGTCGTATTTGGATCATTAAGTATTTTTTAGGAAGTGTTAAAGGTAACTGAATGGCAACATTTTAAGCGTAGCGCTTAATTTTAAAGCGTAGCGGTAAAAGATAAAACCTAGCGGCCAATCTAATAGGGTAGCAGCAATTCGGTAAAGCGTAGTGGTGCCACTATGCTATAACGCTCTGGGGGAAACACTGCCAGTGCAACAGATTTTGACATGAAATGTTGCAAACAGACTTGTCAAACAAAATCCAGTACAGTTCCCATGTTTGTATTGTGACAGTTTTCCCATATGTAACAGAGAAACCGGTTTCTCTGTTACATGTGAAATGAGTCATAAAGCTCTTTCAACTAAAAACTTCAAAACACTTCATGTTTCTGGCAAAGGTTCACAAGCTAAATGGCGTGCATGCCTTTGTTGAGCTGTGCCATATATTTGCTATGAAAGGAACTTTGTGTTAAACCAAACGAAACTTTGCATACAATTCCAAAAATAGCCAAAAATTAAATTTCTTGGGAAAATGTTTGCCCATTTTTATGCCACCTGAATCCTTATCTAGAAAAATCAACTTGTGATGAGAATACATGGTATGTACACAAAACAGAATTGGCAACAGTTGAAGAGAAACCTTCAGCCTATATTAATACTTTGAGCATTCTGGCCAATAAAAATGAGAATGCTGTTATCAAAATGAAATGTGCACAAAATGGTAGGAGACCATGAAGGGAAACAAAGCACTAACCATGTTGAAAGTGTCCATGTGATTAAGGCACTGAGGTACATGTACACGTGTATACTGTTTTGAATATACTGTACATGCTAGGATTAGTGGCATGTATTCACAGCAGCTACCAAGTCCTGAGCCAGTACTGGCAAAGCAAATACTTTTTCCAGTCAGCAAATCTAAAAGTTATTTCCAAACTAGGCCTAGGGCCTGCAATTTATTTCGACAGTGGGAAAAAGTGATGTCCACTTGTGATATACATGCTTAGCCAAACCATGTTTATACAGATTGCCTACCTTTGGTGCCATTGGATTAGTAAAACCTTTGGGGTGTCTTTTTAGGTCACGATACCAAATAAAAGATTAAATCCATTTTAGCTCTCTTCTACTTGGAAAATTATCAAAAAATGCCTAAGGGCCTACCAGAAACCATATAAAGAAGCTTCTAAGGCCCTTAAGTCATTGTAAGTGGGCCCTGCACACCCGCTGGTACAGCCTTTGCAAACAAACTCTTGGCTCTTCAAGTTACACTCCGACTTCTTTATTTGGCATTCCCACTTTCCATAATCCTAGCTAAAACCCTACTGTGAATGTTGCAATTTCCTGTATCAAAAGACAGACCAATTTCTTGAGATATCTTGCAACATCATTTTTTTTTTGGATATGCAGGTGTAGGTTACATGCATGCAGGGCCAGTGTAGTGTAAATTAGGGTCGGTCGGGAAACAGGAAGCAGGATTTTTTTTTTTTGGCCTTACTGGCCAGAATCTATTAAACTGCAACAGGTCAACAGTGTTTGGGTCATTGCAGTACCAAAGCTGAAAAAATCAAGCACATTCCAACATGGTGTACCACTAGCCAGTCACTCCATGGAGCAGTTGGTGTGCGTCCCCTCTCAAACAAAACCCAATATCATCACCCTAAACCTTTGCTCCTCAGTCCAACAAAGTTGAATAAGTATGGAACTGAGCCAACCAGAACTTGACAAACCCTGCAATTGGAGTTTGAGGAAATTGGGTAGTGCAGGTCAAGGTCTTCGAACTCAAAAGTATCTCTGGTGACTTCCGACTCACTGTGTACTATTATCTCTTGTACGCAAAAGTATGAAGCTGCTTAAGACAATCCATTAATTGCATTTACTGCATTGCAAACTTCATAGCTTGTTATCTCAAATGTTCCTTTGTGCAGCTCATCAGGAGATCAGAAGTCAATCACTACCCAGCCAGGACCAACAACAGCACCAGCAGCAGGAGTAGTAGTCCAGTCAGTCCCAGACAAGCAAGGGGGATCGGCCTCATGGAAACCAGGTGCATCCAGTGCATCCGAAGGTAATACAGTGTAGCATTTTGAAAGGGTTCTGCTGACACCATGACCCCCATGTACATTGGTATGTGTACTGCCTGGCCTTGAAGTGTTTATTATGGAGGTAGTTAGGGCCACCTTACAGAGAATAGATTTCTTTGTTTTTATAAGGAAAGGAAATACTTTTGTGAGATCAGTGACTATTGTGTGGTTTTGGCCCAGTGTTTATTACGCGAGAGATTAGTTGAAGACAGTCCAATGGAGTTGTGTGATGCACACTGTAACACATTAGCAGGGCAGTTGAATATGGGAAAGGTTAAGCCAGCACAAAGCAACATATGCATTCTGCATCAGAAACACTGCCTCTTGAAAGAATGACTAGTACGCTCGGAAAGCACAATTGGAGTATGGAATATGGTCCTTTCTTTGTTGGTTGTGTGTAAATGACATATCAGATGTGTTTTAAATGTGTAAAGATGAAGATCTTGAAAATAGCACTCAGAAATTGTGCCAAGTTTTGATATATATTTTCAAGTGCACTGTTCTGGATCTGCAATAAAGTTTACTTCTCATTGTGAAGAAATTAAAATTTAATATGCACAGAAACAGTATGTACCAATGTGTTCAGTTATGGAAGACAAAAGGATGTTAATGAGATAATTCCAATGTCCACTGGAGCACCATGAGCCATGTCAAATGAAAATTGGGATTTCCTCTGAGCCAATGCCATCATAAGGTATAATGCAAGGCAGTAGGTTACACAGGAATTTTACATACATTATTGACCTGGGACAAGGCAGCATTTTTATATGCTTCCAGTAGGAAAAGCCACTATGCAAAGTGTGAAATAATCAGATCATCAATATAAACATGACAACATATATTGTCAAGGGCAAGTGATCGAGTGGTACTTTGTAGTATTCAGATTTTAAATATGAAAATACTTTCACTAGACTATTTTATCCTCCAAAGGGCTTGACACCCTTCAGGAGTTGACCTAACCTAAATCTGTGCAACAAGAGGCATTAGTTGCACAAATTCTAGGGCCGTGGTCGCATCGGGCAGTCAATGGGAAAGTGGGAGTTAGTCCTGTTAAATAATATCAAGGAGCCTAAGCCTTGAGGTAGTTTGGTCATCATACATAGACCTGTTGCAACTTGTTACATTGATCAGGCTTCTCAAACTCATTGAAGGTTGTTGCTTTTACGAGCCCTCCGAGTCAAATGCTGTGAACGGTTAAAATTAAGGAGAAAGTGCCATTTAGTTCCTGAACTGAAGTAGATTCTTGGGGCAGTAGGTACTTCTAAGTAAAAATGCCCCTGGAGTGCAAAACCCAAACTACCCTTAATTGATCAAATCCTCTAAGTGGTTGTGGAGGGTTTTTGAAGATTTGGGATAAATAGCAAAAGGTGGCTGATTGCGAGGTATGCATTTTATCAAGGTCATGAGTTAGACCCGGTGGTGTTTATGCTCAGCCATGCAGAAATTTATGTCTTGATTTTACATGGAATCATTGTTACTGCTGACTGCATCGTTACTTCATCGTTACTCTGCATCAACGCAATGAGAGGAATTGCAGGATGATTTTGAAGGATTGAGGCAGTGGTCACCCCTCTAACCCTCCTTTGGTTGTACAGCACAAATGTGCACAAATGCCCACAGTCACTGGTGAGCATGTATTTTCTACATGGAACACAAACATGCACAGGTTCAGTGTGTACACAGTTGGTTGCCAGCACAAAATGACCCAAGGTCTTTTGTGCAGTCCTCTTCCCTGCATTTGGTTTACTGCCGAATTATGCACATGAAACAGTGAAGCACAGTTGTTGGGCAGCACAAAAGTGCAGTCTGATATTCCTGTGAGGGACTGTTGGTGCCGTGCACAACACAACACAGCTGTGCTTCTTTGATGTGTTCACCAAGTGACCCAAAGAGCGACTTCAGCATAGGAGGATTAAGGATTAGGGAGCGCAGGAGGATTTTGAAGGATTTAGGTTGAATGCATTTTTTGGCAGGGCAATCGAAGGATTTGATGGGTTGAGGATGTGCCTAGGAAAATTGGCCTAGTGGGTTAGGTGAATAAAGATAGCCCTTGCTGTTCAACATGCCACTGACTTTTACATACAAACTGAAGTATGAGTGTCCAAAACTTTCCTGAATCTTCCAATTTAAACACCTGTGTTCTTTGCAAAGGAGTTGGTGACCTCACCTAAAGCAGCACTTACATGTACATGTAACTAACCCATCTCTTTAGATGTTTTTAGCTTACAGTGCATTTGCTATTCATGTGGAAATTGTAGCTATAACATTATTGTTTTATTTCCCTGTGTTTAATCATAGGCGCAAGTGTTCCAAGTGGGCATGGGCAGGATGTCCCTGGTGGGTTCCACAAGGAGTTCCCTTCCCTTCGGGCGGGCACACCCCCCACAGAGGCCCAACGCAAGGAGCCACCAAAAGAAGTACAATATGGGCCCGGACCAAGCCTTCGTCCACAGAGTAAGCTTCGTTGCAATATACCAACCAGTAATAACAATTCTACTTTTTACTGGTACAGAGCTTCCACTTTTACCAGATACACATACGGACAGAGTAAATACATAAATGATAAACACGATCATCGTGCTTGTGTGCGATCAGCTGTCATAGCATGATCCCATATATGTGTGGCATAAACATGTTGCAGGCCCAAAAGCTGACCGCAGATTTACCAAGGTTTAAAGACAACGTATCACACGGGGGATGTGCGCACGAAGCACAAGACAAGGGCTTTAATAAAGTATGGTGCCTGTTTCAATGTTGCCCGGTGCCTTAAGCGGGTATCCATAATGTAAGAAGGCGAGTTGCAGCCACCTTGCCATGATTTTCCTTATCCCGAGTACCCTAACTAGACATGTACGTGTTCATGGGGTACCGTAATTTTCAGTAAAATGTCCCTGTAATTTGTACTTACGGCTGCTTTACCACTTTTGAAAAATGAAATCAGGTACACCATGCGGTTTCTCAGCTCAGTGCAGCCAACATAGTGTGTAGATAGTACATTCGCTCTACTTATTTGTTTGAAATAGAGGAAACCAGTCCAGAGGGACTGAATAGACTTGTAAAATGTGATGTAAGTACTGTTCACAAACTTGACCCCTCACAAATTGTGTGGTGCGTCAGTTTTGTTTTGCTTTGTCGTTGTGTATTCCATGCTGTTATCATTTCACTGGTCACTTGGGTCCTGTACAAAAAAGAAAACCAAAAGAATTGCCGCATGGTCCACCTAGCCCTGACAGACCAGCCCGCCAAAATTGGTAATGTTGAAGAGTTGGAAAAAATTAAGCTATAACCACTTGCTGCCGGGTGGTTTGAAAAATATATAATCAGGACTTTTTCAAGATTTTCAGTTTTCAAAATTCTTCACAACTTCATCATTTCAAGTAATGGATGTTTAAACCCCCACGAATTACTGTCGGGTGGCCACTCTAGTCTGACAGACAAAACCTATTGACGCCCGAGTATTTCAGCCAGGCCTGCAGCCTTGTAAAAAGAGCCCAGATGGTGTGGTGTTATGTAACTTTCTTTTGTTCACGAACCTGGCACAGTGCGCTGCTGACCTCTTTTCAATAGGGGCCAGATTAGCATGCAGCGGTGCTGTGTTGCTCATCACTGCGGTGGTGGAGCGCTTTTGACCCCGGTGGTAATCCGATCGCACTAAATGCCCAAAACTTTGGTATTTTGTTTCAAAAAAAGCTGGATTTTCTCCTCTATTGAGAGTGAAATAATGTCGGTAATGCCCAGCAGCCTGGTCTTTTGTTCCGAAAGCAGTCTTTTGTTACAAGGCTCAGTTCCCTTTGTCCGATTTCAGAGACCCCGGCCACACGTATAAACACACGGTGCCCGAAACCTGGCTCCCCGGCAGAAAGTGGTTAATAATAATCCTTGTCATGTCCTCTAAATGGATGCGGACTCACGTGGAGCACTTTGAAGTTTTGCCTCTAACGCAAGTGTATTATTGGAGTAATAGTGTAACCGGAAATTTCACCTATCAATAGCATTGGCTTAATATGGAACTTAAGCATGTGAACCCAACCATTTCATCATAGGCAAGCCGCTTAAATTCTGCCTCCTGTTTTTTAGGTTCGATCTTTGCGATTTTAAGAGTGCTCTTTAGGGTCCAGTCCATCCAAAATGAATTTCCATCATTACACCATAATGTTAGTTTGTCAAAATGAAATGTAAGAAATTAAATTAAAAACTGGTTTATCCTAATTTATGGCTGAGGACGAGTTCATTGAAGAGATAAGGATGCCAGCACTTAATGATAAAGCTCATTGGCAGGCTCACTGGCTTCCTCCCCCAAGTCCTTTGCGAAATGAATAATTCAGTGTTTTGGCAAACAGTTGCTTTGCAGGTTCCCAAATTAGGGATTGTTTTTGGTTTTAACTATTTCTGAGCATGGGGACTACGTGAGTCAACTTTTACCAAGACTGCTGAGGAGAGGTTTCATTAAGCACTTAATTCATTTCAATCCAACCCTCTCAAATCAGGCCTATGTTTGAGCCTGTATTGAATGATATAGTTCATTACGTCATTCAGGCGAGAGTGTAAAACAGCAATGGTGTCTCAACCTCAAAGTCTGAAAATTTGTATGTAAAATGCTGTGATTAGGTGGTTAAAACAAGGCTTTTAGAAACGCCAATAGATCATTTTCATGACAGCTGCCCGTAGCTAGATGTCTGTTGAGCATTTCAGTTTTGGGGAGAAAAAAGGCAGAAATTACAGTGCCAAAACAACTGGAAACATCAAACTGTACATCGTAACTGCTCTGTCCGATCTGACCATGTGTGCTTATTTGCCGTGCGGCAATGATTGAATATGGCTCTTCGAAAATTCTTGCCCCAAGCCATAGTTTGGGGGAACCCCCCCAAAAACCCAAACAAACAAAAATCCCAAAATGTTTAGTATAAGGTTAGCTGATATTTCAGTTTGAAACGTCGTTCATTGACGCAGAGCATTTTGAAGGTTGCACTTCCTCAGGGTGTGATTTGTGTCCCAGATCGCGGCATGGACTAGGCAAGGTCTTTGAAGAATACTGTATGTTCCATACTTCGACATCTCTTTATATTGTGCTACCAAACCTCTGTGTTAAAAAAGGTCAAATCCAATTGGTTAAATACTGGTACTATTGCCCTCATGGTGCAGGCTTACTAATCTTTGTAGTAAATTTTAGTTATGAAAGTTTGTCAAAACTTCAAACAAGTTGGTGCCCAGAAATAGCAAAAGAATACTGCTAGGACCCCCAATTTAGCAGACATTCAAATTTCCCAAATTTCCCACAAAAATATTTTAGAAATTCCTTAAAATTGATTAATTCTAGTAGATAATTATTACCTCCACCCATTTATCCAACTAAAAAGATGTTATAATTTGAGGGTGCA